TAAAGATCATGTTCAAAAGGAACGATTTCCCAAATTTCGAAAATTCCTAGGGAAAATCATCATGTTCACAATCAAATGGGAAACGTCATAGCTTGTCATAGCCAATCAATCAACGTGCGGTAACTCTGGGGGGCCGAGGCGCTGTGAAGCGGCTCCTTCGGTGGCCGCATTTGATCCACTGTGGCCACAGTGTCGAGTGCAGGAGAACCGGGGGTCTATGGCATCTAAAAAAGATAGAAGCATCTTTCAACTATTAGACTAGGATTTTATGTTTTGGTTGTTCTTTTTTGGGTTGCTGTAGGAAAATACCTCCAATCCCATCCTCAAAAATAAGGCTTGAACCAGCAAAAGAAGAGTTTAACCACCATAAAACAGGGATAGCTATAGATAGATGATAGATGATAGATGATAGAGGGAAGGTGGATGGATGCATGGATGGATGCCCATGTAATATCATACCCTGCATATGGGCCAACATAAATCGATCCCATACTCAACCAGGATTTCTAGAGGGTATTTAACATTGCGGCGAAAGGATGAATGATATGTGACTTGATTATACCGTACTTGACATTGGGGTATATTTCCGGATAATATCATTTACTGTATATATATATAAAAATAAACAACATTGGGATGCAATGGGACATCATGGGGTATATGAAATACTGCAAATGGGTTTGTCTCAAAAATCATGGGGGAACCGTGGGAAGCCCAAAAATTGTCGTTGGGTGCTGAGCTTTGCCACGGAGTTTGTCTATCAAGACCTATACTGTAACACCAATGACAATTATGATACGGATCCACCATCCCCAAATTCACCAAAACCGGTGATGTAAACCATCAAAATATGGGGGGTATTATCGCTTTACTAAGACTACTATGAGGGGGCTCAAAGAATTGAGGCCTTTCGTAGGAAATAGTCGCCCCAGTGCGGAGGCGAAGCAATGGAGGTCGATGTAGAATCAAAGAAAAGACAAAAGGAAGCAGAAGCTACTCTGAGCTCAGTAACCCGACAATCCAAGACCAAGGAAAATACAGAAGACAAAGATGACAAAGAAGAGACGGCAAAGAGAGAATTATTCCCATCGGCACCAGCAGAATACAGAACATTCTATACCAAAGAGCAAAACAGAGGAAAATAACCGAGATGGAAACAGCAATTGGCATCCATAGAGGAGAGAACTATGCAGGCAAGCACACCGCAAACAGCAAAGAAGCAATCTAGCAGCAGAAAGGAAATACAAGAGCTGAGCCAGCAGCTAGAGGAACAGATTCTAGAAGCCAAAGCAACAATGACAAAGATGCAAGTGATGCAAGAGTCGGCGAAGGTCAGCGACCAACCTCCTTACATACAAGAAATGCAGCAGCAACTTGTCGACCTGCAAGAAAGAGTGAGAAAATTGGAGCAGCACACAGAAAGAATGCAAAGAAACATTACAGATGTCGACATTCTGACACAGCATGTGCATGATGCAGTGTACAACCAGCAGCAAAGAGAAGCAGCAAGACAGACAGTAGCAAAAGGATGGCCTCAGGACTTCACAGATGAAGAGCGCGACCAGGTAATTAGCTGGTACATGGAGAAGGCTGGAGTGGATAGCAAATACACCACATCACACGGCAGGTACATGCACGGTCGCTACAAGCGATCACCAGTCACAATCATACACTGGCAGGCGGGTTGGGCAAAACACACTTCTGAAACATACATGTACAAACTTTTCAAACGATACAACAAGCACAATCCAGTCACAGTCTGGGACAGAAAGAACAAGACACTGTACTATGGCAACCAGCCGCATGGCATCAACTTCGTGCCGCAGACCAGCAAGATGGAAAGAGAGATCAACTTGACAATCCACGCAGCGCTTCACATCGTCACGAAAGATGAGCACAGTGATCTGGCAAGCACCTGGCACAGAGTTGCTGTGAAATGGCAAGACAAATTGGCAGTCAGAACCGCTGAAAAGGCTGTAATCTTCAAGCTGCTCAGGGACAAAGGGGATGCGAAATACATGTACCTACACATACACAGAGACTACTTTGACATTGTGAATGAGAACTGGTCCAAAGGATGGGCTGAGGCAAATGTCAAGACCAAGTGCCCCTCCTACAGCGAATATGCATACATGCTCAAGTTTGCCGTGCTCCGTAGCAATGAAGAGTACTATGTGATGAGAGACGCCAAGTGGGGAGACAAACATGAAGAAGAGCAAGGACAGCATGAGGGTTGACTAGGCCCAGCCTCTTCACAAGCAAGAGCCAGGTGCCTTTTTAAGAAACCAGGACAGAAGGAACTAGGAAGGAAAGAAGGAAAGGAGAGGAGATGCGGTCAGAAAGAATTAGGTGAGAAGTAAAATTTTGAAACTACCTACTACTTATTTTGATAGGCGATTTTCTAATGCAAGAGTTTATGGCAGCCACAAGTGTCCAGTACTATGATACTGTTGACAAGAGGGTGCGCCCAATTTCCGAAGAGTTGGACGACAAACGTATCCGGCTGACGGGGCATATCCTCAGATCCACTGATATAGGAAAGAGACGTGTAGGCAGACCAAGGCAGCAATGGCTTTATCAATCAAACGCGCTTGTTCATAATAGGATCAGGCATACTCAATATAATGGTTACGATTTTCAAAATGAAGCTATTTTGCAAGCAGTGCTGCGACGTGAATTTTAAGCCAAGCGCCGAAGCATCTCATTCTATGCTGCTGCTACCAGCACGAGGTGCATGGCAGGAGAAAAAAAGACACCTATGAATTTCATAGATTTTCCAAAATCAATGTGAGGATCACCATCGCGCGCCCGGGTGATGGGGCTAGCGTGAACGGTGATCGGTGGCAGAGCTTAGGAAGGAGCACAGTGCGAGGAAATTCTTCTCTGGTTGTTGGGGACGATGATCCCCCATCACTTTTTTTCTTTTAAAGGGAGGTTCACACCACCAACTCAGAATTTGTGGGAAAACTTGCACCCGACATATCTGACTGGTTACTCCCTGCTTTCCTGTAGATTTTCCCTTTCAATGCTGCTTTCAGGAGGGCTTTCTGTCTGGTTGCGGAGTGCCACAGCCTTGTGTGCCAATGGAGGTCGGGGACCCGGACGACGAGCATGGGAAGACTTGCCAAAGGCCAGCCGTGGACCCTTCTAAACCTGTATCTATAGCTTTATTTATACCTACATCTATATCTATATCTACATCTATACCTACGTACATATATGCATCTATATCTACATCTATACCTACGTACATATATGCATCTATACATACATCTATATCTATATATACATCTATACCTATATATACATCTATATCTATATATACGTGCATCTATATATATATATATATATACAACTATATCTATATCGATATCTAAGTCTTTATCTGCAAATATATCTATATCTAAATCTATACCTACTACGTATTTGCATCTATATCTACAACTATATCTATGTCGACAACTATGTCCAAATTATCGATATCTATATCTAAATCTATATCTCTATATATATCTACAACAATATCTATATCTATATCTATATCTACATCTATACCTACAACAATATCTATATCGACAACTATATCTATATCTATATCTACATATATCTATATCGGCAACTGGATCTATATCTATATCTACAACTATATCTTAGCTAAACCCAAAAGGTCGCTGCGGCCTGTTTTTGAAGTTATTTAGACGTATTGAACGTGGGGGGGCGTACGGCCATCTGAACGAGGGTACGGCGGGTGTGCGAACGTGCGAACGGGGGGCAAACGGGGGGGGCGAACCTGGGCGAATGTACGCACGTACATACGCCGTACGTGCACGCACACACACACATGCACACACGTACGCACATATGTACGCACAGACGTACTCACGTACGTTCGCACGTATAAACGTACGTAGGTACCATGTTCAGACCCATGTTCAGAAATAAGGTTACCTTTGAAAAGTGACCTCCTAATACTAAATATGCTTTAGGAGGCTTAGGGTCGTACAGAAATAAGGTTACCGTTTATATAAAAGGTAACCTTAAAGGTAACCTTATTTCTGAACATGCATGTGAACGTGCGTGCGTACATGCACATGAACGTGCGTGCGTGCATGCATACGTACGTGCGTACATGCGTATGTGCGACCCCTTCGTGCGACCCCTTCATGCGCCCTCAAGGGGGTGGGCCCGCCCTCAAAATTGCACGGGTTTCGAATACCAACAACTTTGTACCAGTATTCTTGGGTTGTATAGTAGGTGTACAATAATTTCGGCACAGGTTGACTGTACGAATTATCACCAGGCAAAGCAAGACTCGTCGAATTGTTCGCCCGTCCGCTCGCCCCCCAGCTCGCCCCCCCGCTCGCTCGTGCGGGCGACGTTCGTCCACCCGTTCGCCCACGTGTTCGTCCCTACGTTCGCCCCCCCGCTAACCCCTCGTGCGGTTTTCAACATATCCACGGCAGCGCGTTTTTGAGTTTAGCTAAACTATATCTATATCAATATCTATATCTAAGTCTTTAGCTACAACTGTATCTATATCTACAGCTATATTTATATCGACAACTATTTCTATATCGATACCTATATATATATATCTATATCTACAACAACATCGATATATCTATTTCTGTATCTATATCTAAATCTATATCGACAACTATATCTGTATCTATATCTTTATCTACAACTATATGTATATCAGCAACTATATATATATATATACATATCTACAACTATGTCTATATCGACAACTTTGTCTATATCTACATCTATATCTATATCTATCTCTATATGTTTACCTACGCGCGTACATTGCGTAATTTGAGAAGGCACATATCATGTGTAAGTACGTACACACACGTATATATGCATATACCTACATATACATACACACACACACACATATATATATATATATATATCTACACACCTGCACATCTGTATATGTATATATTTAGAAACTCCTAGGCCAGCGGTGTTGGTGCTCCGAGGCCAGCGAGATGTGGGACGAATGTCGCTTTGACATCTCGCATTGTGGCGAGATGGTGCCCAACAGCTTTTGTTGGAACCTCAGCATTGTTCACAAAGGCACGTTGTTGCGGGAAAAATGCGGGGAAAAAGGGTGTCCATTTTTTTGGGTGATTCAGACTGATGTTGTGATATCGAAATTGAAAACGGTTATTTTTTGTTCATAGCTGTAAAGAAATAGAATCACTCAATTGTAATCAATGATTGAATCTTAGGTCAGCCAATTCATAATATTGGGATTTTCACGTATATGTTCAGGTAATTCAATAACTGGCGGCTCATCACACCATTGCTAATACAATGGTCCCATTATTACGAAGAATCGTATCCATCATAGCCAGTATGATTGTCATCGATCAAACACGCAATAAACAGACTTTGTATTAATAATATTTTTGTTTAGTAATATAGTAATAGGACTGATAATGACATGATTTTGAGAATAAGAAAAAACCCATAGGATTAATTTTTCATGTCACTAAGAATCATGGCATGATAGTTGTTATATTAAAGATAGCATTCGTATTGAAAAACCCTATGGCAACGCATGATCAATTGTCATCTCTTGAGCCCATCCAAATCATCCAAATCATCCAAGTCATCCAAGTCATCCAAGGCGAAGTGAGATGCCGAGCGCCTTATGTGGGAGACTCCACCTATGCCAGGCGGTCTTTCAAAGGTGGCTATGTGGCTGGATTTCTTGATCTGGCATTGATATTTTTGTTGATTATTATACATGGTATATAATATATGTAATTATATACGTATGTATAATTGTACGTACATATATACGGTTTTTTCACGCAAAGTCATATATGTATAGAATGTAAAATGTACATAATCATAGGTTTTTGATTCCAGATGTACATAACTATAAAGATGATATATTTACATATTGATATATGTATACAAGTATATCAGTATCTATGCACACGTATAAATTATACACATGGTGTGTACGTGTGCATATATATATAAATATGTATAAACGTAAATACATATGTGCAAAAATGTCTGTATTTTTACACATGTAGATATAGACGTCGATATATACATCCCTATACCATATGTTTATCCTTCATTTACCATTTCATGATGTATTGTCGGCCTTCCAATTGTGTAGGGCTGGAGCCGCTGCCGTGTTGGCAGGTGTGCCACCTTCAACACAGATCCAAACACACCAGTGGAATGGACGCCACCTACTTGTGTCATGGCCCGGCGGCCCAAATGGACCAGATGGGCAGGGAGGGTTATGCCCTGAGACTCGGGTCCACCAAAATAGGACCGTTTAAAACGACACTACACACCACCTTTGTGGGTGAATGCGTGTTGATCCCTGAAAGCCAACATGGTACTAAGTAATACTAACATTGAAATCCCCAAAAGTAGGTTTGGAAGCAGGCTTCATTTTTGGCACCAGACAGTTCTTGATTCAAGCAAAAAACATGCTTGGTTGTTTCACAATAGCGCTCAGTTACACACCCCATTTGTGCAATTCTTTTTGAATGGTGTGAACCCAACCGTATTTGGTCGGTGGTATGCAGATATATATATATGTATGTATGTATGTATGTATGTATGTATGTATGTATGTATGTATGTATGTATGTATGTATGTATGTATGTATGTATGTATGTATGTATGTATATATAGATACATACATGCATACATGCATTCACACATACACACATTCATATATGTATATATATATATATGTGTATATATATATATACATACATATACATATTATATATATATGTATATTCAACCATAGAATGGGATGATGATCCCCGATGACGATCCCATTTTTCAGATGGGTTGATGAACCACTGGTTTGTCCCCAATGATTACAACCCCCGTGCATTTCTTTGGGACGGTGCAGGTTTGCCCAGTTCCTCAGCCTATCCCTGATGGCTACGTGCTGACCGGCGACCAGTGGACTTGTGCCACTGGGTACATCGGACGTGCTCGCACCAGGCTGGAGGGAAGTGAGAGCTGAAAATGGGGGCGTCTGAAAATGGGGGCATGCCCCCAAATGGCTATGTTCTTATGGAAACTGATGATGAACCAGAGGGTACCTTTTTTAAGACAAACCCAGCCATAGCCATTTTTTTTTTTGCAGGGTATCTGAGAATAGCCATATATTCTTGGGGCGCTCGTGAAGAGAACAACATATTGTGGTGACGCAGGGTAAAGGGATCACCTGCCAGGTGAGGTGGTTGGCCCGTGATGGCTGTGATAGATGGTATTCCGCTCGTGAACCATTAGCTGTCCATCTTTGGTTTTTGTGAATTTGACCACCTGGCTGACCTGACCACCAGTGCTGCTTTCTAGTAATCATCCATTTGACCGCTTCAGTCATAATCAGACAAAAGGCGCCAAGGTAGAATCATCTCTTCAATCCATGGGTCAATTGAAAAAACCTTTGAGTTTTGCGACCCAATTTCATCATCCCCAAATCTACCATTTCCATTCATTTCCATGTGTTTTCTCATGGGTTTCCCACCATCCTCAAGCGGACCAGGGTGAATGACCCGCCGTCCACAGGTGTCAACTGGGCAATGGGACCTGTGACGCCGTGCAGGTGAGATGCAGCAGCCCGGGGAAACAGCAACTTGCCACTATGAAAGAGATTAAAGTAGATTGACATGGTTTAAACTATAGATTAAAATAGACGCCCATTTCTATCTTTTTCGGGATTGCTGACTTCTTCTCGTCGTGGTTGTTGTTGTTGTTGCTGTTGTTGTTGTTGTTGTTGTGGTTGTTGTCGTCGTTGTCGTTGTCGTTGTCGTTGTCGTTGTCGTTGTCGTTGTTGTTGTTGTTGTCGTTGTTGTCGTTGTTGTTGAAGTGAAATTTGAAGAGCCTCAAAGGGTTCTTGGAGACTTTCCCCCCTACTTGGATGTGTCTCCCAGTTTGTGCATTTGTTTCATAGTCATATATTCATAATTTATAATCACATATATATATATATATTATATATACTAAGACTATAATCAGGATATAATCATGACAAAATCGTCATATAACTCCTGCTTTATGTAAGATATCAGAAATAATCATAATACAATAACAATATATATATATATATAATCATGATATAATGCTGTTTTATCTAAGATTTTGGATACAATAACCATCATTTAACCATCCTGTAATCATCATACAACCTGCTTTATCTAAGATATCAGATACAGTCACAATGCAATCATCATATAATCATCATACCAGTAGTACCCGCACGAGGCGGGGCGGAAGTTGCCTTAAAGATATATATAAGACCTTTCTCATCTATAGAACTTGCATGCGCCGTGCGCCAGCCAAGCCCGTGCGTGCGTGCACTCTGCGAAAGTTGTGTCCTGCTTCACATGTCACATGTGAAGCTCCACTTCACACTTCACACTCCACACTTCACACTTCACACTGCACTCTTCGCACTCCACACTTCACACTTCACACTGCACTCTTCGCACTCCAAACTTCACACTTCACACTTCTCACTTCTCACTCCACACTTCACACTCCACACTTTACACTCCACGCTTCACACTTCTCACTGCTTTCTTCAGACTCCACACTTCATACTTCACACTTTACACGTCACAGTCCACACTTCACACTTCTCATTGCTTTCTTCACACTCCCCACACTTCTTCACTCCACAGAGAAGCTTTTACACACAGCAAGCTTTCACACACAGCAAGCATTTACACACAGAACACTTACACACAGTGCTTTTACACATGGCAAGCGTTTACACACACACCAAAAAAAAACTTTTACACAGAGACACTTTTAACACATGCACAGATAAGCTTTTACACACAGCAAACTTTTACACGCAACATCTTTTACACACAGCAAGCTTTCACACACAGCAAGCGTTTAGACACAGAACACTTACACACAGTACTTGCACACAGTGCTTTTACACATGGCAAGCGTTTACACACAAACTTTTCCACACAGGAATTGCAGCTCCAAAACCGGATCTCGACGCCAAAGCAGAAAAAAGACGATTTTGAAGCATTTTTTAAAAGGAATTGTAAAAGGAAAATTACTAGCGCCAAAATTGCGAAAATCTGCTGACAAATCACTATCGCAGCCTGGATGCAGCCACTCCAATACGATTTACAATCTTCAGCTGCAAAAGACAATAGTATTACGCATGCAGCCGCGGCGGCAAGCAACCTTGACGCAGCCATTCCAATGCGATCTGCAGAGACTGAGTTGCAAATCACAATAGAACTAAGCGCAACGGCGTCGGAAATTGCAGCTCCAAAACCGGATCTCGACGCCAAAGCAGAAAAAAGACGATTTTGAAGCATTTTTTAAAAGGAATTTTAGAAGGAAAATTACTAGCGCCAAAATTGCGAAAATCTGCTGACAAATGACTATCGCAGCCTGGATGCAGCCACTCCAATACGATTTACAATCTTCAGCTGCAAAAGACAATAGTATTACGCATGCAGCCGCGGCGGCAAGCAACCTTGAGGCAGCCACTCCAATGCAATCTGCAGAGACTGAGTTGCAAATCACAATAGAACTAAGCGCAACGGCGTCGGAAATTGCAGCTCCAAAACCGGATCTCGACGCCAAAGCAGAAAAAGACGATTTTGAAGCATTTTTTAAAAGGAATTTTAAAAGGAAAATTACTAGCGCCAAAATTGCGAAAATCTGCTGACAAATGACTATCGCAGCCTGGATGCAGCCACTCCAATACGATTTACAATCTTCAGCTGCAAAAGACAATAGTATTACGCATGCAGCCGCGGCGGCAAGCAACCTTGAGGCAGCCACTCCAATGCAATCTGCAGAGACTGAGTTGCAAATCACAATAGAACTAAGCGCAACGGCATCGGAAATTGCAGCTCCAAAACCGGATTCGACGCCAAAGTAGAAAAAAACGATTTTGAAGCATTTTTTAAAAGGAATTTTAAAAGGAAAATTACTAGCGCCAAAATTGCGAAAATCTGCTGACAAATGACTATCGCAGCCTGGATGCAGCCACTCCAATACGATTTACAAGCTTCAGCTGCAAAAGACAATAATATCACGCATGCAGCCGCGGCGGCAAGCAACCTTGACGCAGCCACTCCAATGCGATCTGCAAGCACAGATTCCAAAACACCCTATAACTACGCACACACAAGCACACCCAAAGCAGCTTGAAGCCACCGTTACAATGCGGCAAAAAAAAAGGCAAACCGACCCCAGCCGCAACCGCTGCACAGACGAGGTACCTTTCATCGTCGCCTGCAGCCACTTTAAACGGAAAAACACAAGGTTTCGTGCTTCGGCTTCCTCCCCCAAAAAAAGCCCATACAACATCATGCAGCCATCACAATGCGGTTCGCAGCATCAACTCGCAAACCTGCACCTATCTACGCACAGAACAACACCAGAACACCAGATGACAAGAGTCATGCAGCCATTCCAATGCGATCTGCAAGCACAGATTCCAAAACACCCTATAACTACGCACACGCAAGCACACCCAAAGCAGCTTGAAGCCACCGTTACACTGCGGCAAAAAAAAACGACCAACCGACCCCAGCCGCAACCGCCGCACAGACGAGGTACCTTTCATCGCCGGCTGCAGCCACTTTACACGGAAAAACACAAGGTTTCGTGCTCCGGCTTCCTCCCCAACTCATCACTTCCCTTCCTCACCACTTCCCATCGTCACCACTTCCCATCGTCACCACCTCCCTTCGTCACCGCTTCCCTTCCTCACTACTTCCCTTCCTCACCACTTCCCATCGTCACCACTTCCCTTCGTCACCACTTCCCTTCGTCACCACTTCCCATCGTCACCACTTACCTTCGTCACCACTTCCCTTCGTCACCACTTCCCTTCTTCACCACTTCCCTTCGTCACCACTCCCCTTCATCATCACTTCCCTTCGTCACCACTTCCCTTCGTCACCACTCCCCTTCATCATCACTTCCCTTCTTCACCGCTTCCCTTCGTCACCACTTTCCTTCGTCACCACTTCCCTTCCTCACCACTTCCCTTCGTCACCACTTCCCTTCGTCACCACTTCCCTTTGTCACCACTTCCCTTCGTCACCACCCGTCATTAACTGCTTCTTATTCTTTTGTTATGTATTGTTATGTGATCTACCACCCTGCATCATTTCAAGTCGCTGACTTCTATTTGTCCGTAACACGGAAGTATTGCTTCCCAACTTCCTTTGATAATCGTCATATGAGCATCATACAATCAGAAAATATAGTCATCATAAGCCAGCGATATCTCCCCATCTTACTTCCACAGGTGCTGAGCGGTTGTGATCGACTGGAGCCCTGCATTCGACCACCTGAGGCGTGGATGGTTGCCATTCTTGTAATCCTCAGGTAAACTACAAAGAACTAAGGAAAATCAGTATGTCCACAGGTAAATCAACTATCAATGGGCCATTTTCTATAGCTGTTATACTTAGTTTGCGGTAGTGCTATTATTATTGCAAGTAATTATATCATTCTGCTGAGAATCATATATGAGAAGGATAACCACCATGATTATGATGACATATGATGACTATATGATGATTCTGATGATTATGAGGTGAGTTTATCACTGCAGTCTTAGGGATTTGCCCTAGTTGTTATTTGGGGGGATGAGGCAGGGTAAACCGCCAAAACCAGAGTTTCTTCACCTGGAACGTGCGGACTAACCCACATGTGCCCTGGTCAAAACATGGTTCATTTTCCCAGTGTTTTTTGGGTTGGGAATGATCAACCCATGTTTATAGGGATTGGACAAAAATACACATGATGTTTGGATTTCCATGGAATGGATGGGTGGATGACCATAAACGGTATAATTACCATGTTTTGACCATGGCACTGGTGGTAAAACCCTAATTCTACCCCTTTGATGGGTTTTGTATTCCTTTAATCCTGTGTTCTATGATTGGTTTGATTGGTTGAACATCATGGTATTTCCATGTATTTCCTGTGAAAATGGTGAACATTGACTTCAAGGTATGATCTTTGTTGGGTTTCCCTTCATGCATGACTCTCCAGTAATTCAACAGCTGTAGAGCATGGCCCGTTTATAGACTTCAGACTAATGTATCTACAAACATGGTGATTTTCCAAAGCTAGTTCAATTATTCTAAGTTATCCCATTTAATCCCATCAATCACCCACAAAAAATAATCCATATTGATTAATTTCACAGAGGGTATCAGTGTTTTTTTGCTACATCCAGCCTCCCTTTTTCCGTCGGGGGTACCGGTCAAGGCTGCCTGCAGCTTGAACTTCTCTGCTTGTCCAGATCCCCTGGGCCAGGGGGAAGATGCTGGCTGCAGTTGGAGGGTTATTTGTTTTTGGAGACGCCTAAGATTCAAGCCGGAGGGATTCAAAATGATATAGGATTAAATATATAATAGTATATATGTATTTACACACACACAGATATATATATATAAATAGATAGATAGATAGATAGATTAGATTAGATTAGATTAGACTAGACTAGATTAGATTATGTAGATAGATAGATAGATAGATAGATAGATAGGTAGGTAGGTAGGTAGGTAGGTAGATAGATAGATAGATAGATAAGATGATCTAAGACTAGGTAAGATGATCTAATATCATCTAAGATGATTCAGGGACACAAAAGGTGGGATTTTCACCAGAAAGGCGATCTGAGTTTGAATTACACAATTGGATAGTTGCCGAAAGGGCGTAATGAAGATCAGCATTTGTGGGTGACGGACTGCTGTGATATAATCGGCATCCACGATGTCATGGTTTACTCCGTCCACGAAACCTGGTTTATTACAACTGGCTAATATGATATGGGGATATGTATTTTTCATGGTTTTGATCTTGTTTAGACTGGCTTGATATGGTTTGATATGATCTAATCCCATCCCCAGATCCTATCAATTATCTAGCCTGATCCAAGTTAATCCTTAATGATTACCCGGTTTACGGATTAGCGGTTTACGGATTAGCCCGCGGACCGGGGCACAGGTTCCACATTAAGTATTTAAAATTAAAGGTTTTGGGGCCTTCTTTCTTTCAAACAGCATTTACCTTTCCGCCTCAGCAAATCCAAACCCCCGGGAAGCAGAAATCAAGCCGAAAGTGCTTAAAAGGGGTTTGCCGGTGGACTTGCCAGAGCAAAGCCCTTTTAAGCAGAAACCAGGCCGAAAGTGCTTAAAAGGGCTTTGGCGGTGGACTTGCCAGAGCAAAGCCCTTTTAAGCAGAAATCAGGCCGAAAGTGCTTAAAAGGGCTTTGGCGGTGGACTTGCCAGAGCAAAGCCCTTTTAAGCAGAAATCAGGCCAAAAGTGCTTAAAAGGGCTTTGGCGGTGGACTTGCCAGAGCAAAGCCCTTTTCAGCAGAAATCAGGCCGAACGTGCTTAAAAGGGCTTTGGCGGTGGACTTGCCAGAGCAAAGCCCTTTTCAGCAGAAATCAGGCCGAAAGTGCTTAAAAGGGCTTTGGCGGTGGACTTCCCAGAGCAAAGCCCTTTTAAGCAGAAATCAGGCCGAAAGTGCTTAAAAGGGCTTTGGCGGTGGACTTGCCAGAGCAAAGCCCTTTTAAGCAGAAATCAGGCCGAAAGTGCTTAAAAAGGGCTTTGGCGGTGAACTTGCCAGAGCAAAGCCCTTTTAAGCAGAAATCAGGCCGAAAGTGTTTAAAAGGGCTTTGGCGGTGGACTTGCCAGAGCAAAGCCCTTTTAAGCAGAAACTAGGCCGAAAGTGCTTAAAAGGGCTTTGGCGGTGGACTTGCCAGAGCAAATTAAGCCGAAATCAGGCCGAAAGTGCTTAAAAGGGCTTTGGCGGTGGACTTGCCAGAGCAAAGCCCTTTTCAGCAGAAATCAGGCCGAAAAAGTGCTTAAAAGGGCTTTGGCGGTGGGACTTGCCAGAGCAAAGCCCTTTTAAGCAGAAATCAGGCTGAAAGTGCTTAAAAGGACTTTGGCGGTGGACTTGCCAGAGCAAAGCCCTTTTAAGCAGAAATCAGGCCAAAAGTGCTTAAAAGGGCTTTGGCGGTGGACTTGCCAGAGCAAAGCCCTTTTCAGCAGAAATCAGGCCGAAAAAGTGCTTAAAAGGGCTTTGGCGGTGGACTTGCCAGAGCAAAGCCCTTTTAAGCAGAAATCAGGCTGAAAGTGCTTAAAAGGACTTTGGCGGTGGACTTGCCAGAGCAAAGCACTTTTAAGCAGAAATCAGGCCGAACGTGCTTAAAAGGGCTTTGGCGGTGGACTTGCCAGAGCAAAGCCCTTTTAAGCAGAAACTAGGCCGAAAGTGCTTAAAAGGGCTTTGGCGGTGGACTTGCCAGAGCAAAGCCCTTTTAAGCAGAAATCAGGCCGAAAGTGCTTAAAAGGGCTTTGGCGGTGGACTTGCCAGGACTTGCCAGAGTAAACCCCTTTTTAGCAGAAATCAGCCCGAAAGTGCTCAAAAGGGCTTTGGCGGTGGACTTGCCAGAGCAAAGCCCTTTTAAGCAGAAATCAGGCCGAAAGTGTTTAAAAGGGCTTTGGCGGTGGACTTGCCAGAGCAAAGCCCTTTTCAGCAGAAATCACGCCGAAAAAGAGCTTAAAAGGGCTTTGGCACTGGACTTGCCAGAGCAAAGCCCTTTTCAGCAGAAATCAGGCCGAAAGTGCTTAAACGGGCTTTGGCGGTGGACTTGCCAGAGCAAAGCCCTTTTCAGCAGAAATCAGGCCGAAAGTGCTTAAAAGGGCTTTGGCGGTGGACTTGCCAGAGCAAACCCCTTTTAAGCAGAAATCAGGCCGAAAGTGCTTAAAAGGGCTTTGGCGGTGGACTTGCCAGAGCAAACCCCTTTTAAGCAGAAATCAGGCCGAAAGTGCTTAAAAGGGGTTTGGCGGTGGACTTGCCAGAGCAAACCCCTTTTAAGCAGAAATCAGGCCGAAAGTGCTTAAAAGGGCTTTGGCGGTGGACTTGCCAGAGCAAACCCCTTTTAAGCAGAAATCAGGCCGAAAGTGCTTAAAAGGGCTTTGGCGGTGGACTTACCAGAGCAAACCCCTTCTAAGCAGAAATCATGCCGAAAGTGCTTAAAAGGGGTTTGGCGGTGGACTTGCCAGAGCAAAGCCCTTTTAAGCCGAAATCAGGTCGAAAGTGCTTCAAAGGGTTTTGGCGGTGGACCTGCCAGAGCAAAGCCCTTTTAAGCAGAAATCAGGCCGAAAGTGCTTAAAAGGGCTTTGCCGGTAGACTTGCCAGAGCAAACCCCTGGGAAGCACAAATCAGAGGGTATGGTGCATTTGTACTCTACGGGACCGATGGATTTTCCGATGCAGCCTTTGCAGTTCCACCGACTCCAATTGTTGATTCATTCTGGCACGGTATGAAATTGAATAGAAGTGTGGCAGTTTATACATACATGAATACATATCACCAAACGTATAACTATGGTTTATCTGAGACAACACCAGTTTTCTTGCGGGACACGTGTACCTTTGACCTTGAGGGAGATTTGGAAAAGCAAGATTTTCGAATTCGACAAGTTACAAGCGTAAGTGTTTTACTTTGTGTGTCCATTACTTTCTAGTTAGATTGTCTAGTTACGGAAAAACATGCAGACAGTGTTATGATTGTTTGCTTTGGATTGAAGATCTGGGCTTGCGTGATTGCAGTGGTGTCAAAGCAGCTTTGGCTCAACCTTGTCCAGCGCCAAACCCCGCCTTACTGGACCGAAGATGGGCGGTTTGAATGCCTTTCAGTGGATGCTGAAAGAGCAAAAAGTGGGGCCGATACCTGGTGCCGCACTTTGGAAAGCCATGGATGACAAAGTGCCTGGGCGTGCAATCTGCTCCACTCAGTTTAGAAGAATCCTTTTTTTCTTCTTTTTTTGCAGCTCGTGCTGCGGACAGATTTGTGATGCGGAATGTCACAAAGTAGCTCAGACTATCCTTCACATTACATGTCAGATCGAAAGACCTTTTTTTTGTTCTGTCTGCATTGTAGACTTTACATGTCAGATCCTTCACATTGCACGAAGTATTTCCGAGAAGAGGGTTTGACTCGCAAATGTGAGAAGGGAATTGTGCAATTTGGTTTGCAAGGCCAAGCGTGAGTACAAAGAGAAGGCAAAAGCAGAGAGAGAGAAGAACAAACCCCTCTCCCAGGCCCTCCGTTTTGCAGCCGAAGAGTCCGAGCACAAGTCATTTATCTAACTTGGGCCTAAAACGTGAGACAGCCAAAGCCCTTTTAAGCACTTTCGGCCTGATTTCTGCTAAAAAGGGCTTTGCTCTGGCAAGTCCACCGCCAAAGCCCTTTTAAGCACTTTCGGCCTGATTTCTGCTTAAAAGGGCTTTGCTCTGGCAAGTCCACCGCCAAAGCCCTTTTAAGCACTTTCGGCCTGATTTCTGCTAAAAAGGGCTTTGCTCTGGCAAGTCCCCCGCCAAAGCCCTTTTAAGCACTTTCGGCCTGATTTCTGCTTAAAAGGGCTTTGCTCTGGCAAGTCCACCGCCAAAGCCCTTTTAAGCACTTTCGGCCTGATTTCTGCTGAAAAGGGCTTTGCTCTGGCAAGTCCACCGCCAAAGCCCTTTTAAGCACTTTCGGCCCGATTTCTGCTAAAAAGGGCTTTGCTCTGGCAAGTCCACCGCCAAAGCCCCTTTAAGCACTTTCGGCCTGATTTCTGCTAAAAAGCGCTTTGCTCTGGCAAGTCCACCGCCAAAGCCCTTTTAAGCACTTTCGGCCTGATTTCTGCTTAAAAGGGCTTTGCTCTGGCAAGTCCACCGCCAAACCCCGCCGAAACACTTTCGCCCTGATTTCTGCTTCCCAGATTGGAAACGTCACCGTCCTATCTATGCTTTAAACCGGATTACGGATTAGGTCTCGGATTACGGATTCTACTCTTTGGGGCTTCTGAGACGGATTCCGGGATTACGGATTAAGGTAAGGCCCGCGAGCATTTGGTACAGCTTAGCTAGTTAGTAGGGCTACCACAAAGACCTTGCCACCGCACCCTTCTGGGATCCAAAAAGATCATCGGGATTCACCACAGGATACATCGAGGTTTCAAATGAAGCAATGGAAAACTACGGTGCTGTCCCTTAGCTACCCTCTGGTAAACTAATATAACTATGGAAAGATCCACCATTTTTTGAATGGGAAAATCAATTATTTTGATGGCCATGTTCAATAGCTGTGTTAAATTACCAGAGGGTAACTCCAATAACTAGGGTTTATGGAGGAGAGAGAGAGAGAGATATATATATATATAACTATAGTTACTATGGATCTATGGTTTATAAACCAACTTTTTTTTCTGGGGGGGCACCACCTTGTGATAATCTGATATAATCTGGTGATATCATATTGGGAATATGGTGGGAAATGCAATGGGAGTTTATTGAAGCAACTATATATCCATTCGATAATTGAACATCCATTTGCCAGCACTGGATCTATGAACAGGTTTAGGGGTATACTGTATACCTTACAGTGAAATTGAATGAGTTATGGAATGGAGATAGCTGGAATGGATATTCACCATAATACAGTGGGAATGGTGATATAATGGGAATATCTCTGTAAATTCCCATCATTGGTCCCATCCAATCAGTGGATAAGAAGGAAACTGAATTCCTACGGACACCCCAAGGGAATGGGACCCCCATTCCCATACCACTCCCATACTCCGTATAAAGGTCCCATCCAGCAGCTGGTCCCTCCAAATTCCATGGACGAAATCCTGTGGTTTAAACATCGGTCTAGATGGGGAGGGTATAGGTTCAAACTGGTGCCGACACGTAAATTTACAGTGGCAACTGTTTGTTGCGGAGCCATGCTTAAAAGATGTGTTTGACAATTAGGTATTCCATGATGGTCAACAGTGTTGAACCTTGGGATATACTGTATGTTTTTCATTGCGCGTGCTCACATCGATTAGTCATCAAAAGAAATGTGAATCATCGTGCAATCTTGAGATGCACTGGTTTCTTTATTTGGTGCCCAATGGGCAATGTACACAGAGAGCCATCAAAAAATCAATCAACATGGAATGCAATGTCAACCCCGGATTAATAAACCATTGTTTATTAATTGGGGGTATTCCCCCAATAGTCATAATCTGATACTTAAATGGTATCCCCCCAATTAAACAACCTAGGGGTTTATTAATCCAGGGTTGACATTACAACCAACCGCTCAACTGAGGTGTTTGACCGGGAACTGATTGGGACTCATGAACTTAATCCGTTTGAATCCCCGGGGCGAAAAGGTCACTTTAGCGTGGGGGAAGGATCCCCTGGATAGGTATATAATTTGGTTTATACCTAGGTTAAGTATGCTGGTTAAGTGGGATTTATCATGGATAGATGGATGAGTTTCTACACCAACTTATATATAACGTGGAACCCTTCCTGAATTGAAGTAGGATTCCATGTTCAATGTGGCGTATTGACCGGTTACTATTGCATTAAAAACAGAAAGATGATCATCGCAGAAGCTGCCAATCCAATCTTGGCTAGTCACATCCACAATTGGTTTCGCATGCTCACAGGTTCACAGGTGCAGTTTTGAGAGAATCTGCTTCTTTCAATGAATTCAACAGTACAATCGATGTTTTTCAGCCAAGAGTTCAGCATTGAACTGCTCTTCAAGACACCATTCAGAATTCAGACTGCCGTTTTTTTTACGGGTGGTGAGCGATCTCCTTCCAGGGAATCAGAACGTGGTGTAGTAGCGGAAGATGGACTTTGTAAACATGTCGAACAATACACAAACATATATGTCACACACACACACATATATATATATATAGTATATACTGTATATATATATATATTAACATCCGTGGAGCAATCAAAAGCAGAAAACATGAGACGAACGAGCTTCTTGGCTGGATATTGGTGCCAGTAATGGCAAAACTCCAGGAGGAAACGGCCGATTTTGCGTGCAGATGTTGGATACGCTGGGTGGATGCTTCGACAACCTCATCTTGAAGGCCGGGGGCGGCATACGCTATGGAAATGGCTGCAGAATGCAAGGGAAATGATCATGATATGATGACAATACACCATGGGATTTGGGGTGCCCTATTTTTTAAACCCAAATTTAAACATCGAACCCTAACGATATCCTCTTTTATTGGATTTACGTGGCTCATGTGATTCCACGGTAAGTTCTGACAGTTCTCAGAGTCAGGGCACCTGATCTACAGGTGACTTCACAACTTTACTACGGCCTGCCCACAGTGACGCGCTTGGCTCCGTTCGGATTCCCCCTGGACTGTACTGGTTCAGTGGACATGATGACCTTGCCAGAGGAAAATCTCACGGTGGATGAGTGAACTGGGCAGCAGTTGTTGTGGATCTCTGGGCGTCAATGGGGCATACCATGGGCGTCATGGTATACGGTATACCAACAAAATGACAATTTTATAGGGAAAAATATGCCAGAATGACGGATTTTGTGGTACCCTTCTGTTGAGACCAACCCATACGAACAAACTTGGGTTGTTTCATTGGGGTCCATTTGAAGTGTGTGTCCCTTAAAGTAATGTCATTTATAGTTTTATGGATTTTTCTGCGTGACTCCCTAATTTATCCAACTGCCCAGTAATCCCGGGTTCATGATGCGACCGGCAATCTTGCATTACCAGTACCTGGTTCCAACGATTTCCAACGGCCTTTCCATAGCCATGTTATGCCATGTTTGTTTACTTGAGGGCATCGCCCTTTTTCATCCTTTTTCAAAATTCTGAAAGATCACAGCGGCATATCATTCCGAACACACCTTTCTAGTTGTTTTATTCCCACCAATTGGGCCACGTTCAAAACCCAGTTGTTTATTTCTAGTGAGGGAGAGGCAATAAGGACCCCGCACAAGCCAAACCCTGGTGTGCGTAAGCCAGCATAAGCATCAGCGTAAGCTTTTCCTGCGCGTAAGCTAAAACAGTGTGCGCGTAAGCTCCGATCTAAGCATTCCCTTAGCGCCTTCAGAACGACAAGACCTTTTGACCATGGCTCAATTATATAAACAATTATCAACTGTTTCTCAAAACACATATGTTTTCACATGTTTTCACTGGAAAGATGGTTAGTATGGTGGTTAGGGGATGTTAAGGGTAACTATGCCAACATGGCCTTAGTAAATGATTCCAATTTATCCAGCTGCATTCAAGATCGACCTAGCCACATCGAGGAACATCACCGATTTCCAGTTGGCCACCCAGCGCTGCGCTGGTGCGTTGAGTTGCGACGCTCAGCGAAGACGCCTTTGGATCGGACTGAAGTCTCTATTTGGGCAACAAAGTACACCGACATGCTAGTTACCCTCTGGTAATTTAACATAGCTATTGAAAATTGCCATAGAAATAGTGGATTTTCCCATTAAAAATGGCGATTTTCCGTTATGTTAGTTTACCAGAGGGTAGATGTAGTTAGAATGATAAGATCTGGAAGTGTTTGTAGCATTTTGTACCCTTTGGCAATCCAACCAACACAGTTGGTTGATGAATACAGAAGGTTTTAATGTTTTCCTACCCAATATCATGGGCATGGGGATGATCAAAATCCGCTGGGAATCTTCATTAAAATAACCAACCATTGCAAGGGACTTGATATTTTTTGACACATGCTCAAATGAGTAGTCAGAAATGTTGCAAAACTTAATGCATCCAAATTCTGCACATGTCTTCGATGTATTTAATCACAATCCACAAGATGTTGGATTCCGTAAGATCCGTAGGATTCCGTAAGCGGAGGAAGAGATGGGACATTTTTGTCATGGCAATGGAATGCCTGGAATTCACAGGAGACAACAGATTACCTGTGGGGATTTATACAGCGATGTGTGTTGTTTGAAAGTAGGGAGCTCCAAAATGCTCTCCAAAACCCCATTGGAACATCTACCAACTCCCTATTACTGTAACACATTAAAACTGCAGGTGGGCGGCATCCCCGAATTGCAGACAAACCCACATTGCGATTTTTGGTTGGCAGGTGACATTGTTCTGCTTCGCTGTCGGATCCAAGCAAATGATCTACATTCAGCCCATATACATTTAGATGTGTTGAAGCCACCAACTAACTTTTGCATGCTTCCCGAGGGAGTTCACTTGTAAGATATTTTTGGCTGAAAATGTGTTTTCATATCTTTTGATGAGCTGTAGCAGCAGTTCTCCGCAGGTCATTTGAGTTCTGAGATCTTTGGAATGAAACGGAATGAAGCACTCAAAACCAAGAACTTGAAGTCACTGAAACCGCTTGCTAGTCTCAACATGTCTCAACTCTAATATTCCTTGCTTTGTATCCCAACTTCGGGTCATTAAACCACACAAAATTCCACAGGCCTGGTTGGGCACTGCTCCCCTTGTTGTGTGTTGTCTTTTTCCCGGTCATGGCTTCCCCGTGGTCATGTTCCAGTGGCTTATACGAGGATGGTTGTTATCGCATAATTTGTGGATAAGATTGCCAAGAAAAACAAACAAAAAAAACATCATCCATTGATCCATATTTGGAGCTAGAACTTCATGTCATTCAAAAAAAATAGTTGATAGATCATTCCCATCTAAAACACATAATAATCCCACAACTTCCTCCAAGATTTCTCGTGGTTTATCTAAACGATGCGTGGGATGCAGAGGGGATCCTCCCAATGGCATTCTGGCCGAGGAATACACGTTCGACCCCACAGGGCTCTACGACCCGGCGCCAAGCTGTACCAAGGAGCTGGAGGTGACAAGTCATGTTGCAGTTCATGAAAATACTTACTGGTGCTCAGTAGGGAATGGATGGGTTGCTGGGGGTTGCTGGCACTAATTATTATTGATAGTTGTTGTGGATCATTCCCTCATTCCCTACTAAGCACAAGTAAGAATATGGCGAAAAAGTTGAAGACTGCATATGACCCCCGGTAAAACATATAAATATTCTCAGCACCAGTTGCTACTGTATATCATATATCTGGGCTTGTTGCAGCACCCCTGTCCTCTTGCAGATGTTGTGACATATGACACGCGAAGTTGGGATAGAACCGTTGAAACCGTAGCCCTTGAAACCTTGATTTAGGACTGCATCGAATCTATTCATTTTGGGTCACTGATGGCATCAAAGAAAAATTGGGGGAAGATATTGCCAACTTCTTCTGGTTGGTGGTTTGGAACATTTTTTATTGTCCAAGTGAAACTGCCAATTTTTCACAAACCCTTCGTGGCGCACTGCTTTTTTATCTGCGCAGGTGAACTATACCTGTCCGAATCATCAAAGTTATCGCAGTCTGGCGCGAGTCTATCCGGGCGAGGTGGCGTCCACCACCATTCAGTGCCCCGTGAAGTTTTTGCCGTCACCGGACCCGTTGGCGTGGCTTGGTGGCCTCCAAGTCTTGGGCCTTGCCCAAAAATGATGGATAAGTCATACCCCCTATACCCTGTGGCAATTTGTTACAGTTTGCTATATATTGAAAATGGCCATGGAAATAGTTGATTTACCCATTAAAAAGTGTGATGTTCCATAGTTTTTTAATATGTTTACCAGAGGGAAAAAATGGCCCTCTGAGCCTTTGAATCATCAACTCTGGGGTGACCCAATTCTCAGACAAACCCTTGTCCATTGGTACAATCATGGCAAAAACACGATGGAAACTCAACAGATCCTTTGAAACACGATGGAGATAAGCGACATGTGATGGCCGATGGGTAGTTGATGATAGTAGTGGGTACCACTTATGCTGGTTGGTGGTTTTTGGAACATTTGGATTTATTCCATATATATATATACATATTATGTGGGAAGAATAATCCCAACTGACCAATATTTTTCAGAGGGGTTGAAACCACCAACCAGAGTTGCAATATCATTTTGCTTGGCGATATCCTCATGATATCCTCATTGGGTCATATTCTGCAAAGATCTGTGAAGTAGCTGCGTGATGCTTGCAAGCAACTGGTGTGTGTAGAGGCGCGTTTGTAGGTTCGGTCAGGCTCAACAGGACTTCAGTGGGGCAATGTGGGGTACTGCCACATACTTTTGTAAATCTCCAGATGCCAAAAAGTTCTATAGATCTTGGTAAATTATAACGACCTCACTGCGACCTCACTGGAATCATGGTTAATAAGGGAAATCATCCCAAATGGCCTTAATTCAGGTTAGTGATTATAATCTACCCAGATAGATGAATTGTTGAATAATGTTGCATAATGTTGCATCAGACTGAAAACATCTGAAAACTGCAATGAAAGAATTGAAGAGGATTTTCTTTATGCGTTCCAAAGAAAATCGGCAACAGAAAACTCTTCAACTTGTACCCTCTGGTAATTTAACATAACTACATAACTATGGACAATCACCATTTATAGTGATTTTTCCCATGAAAAATGGTTGATTTGTAGCTACTGAGCATGGTCCATTGGTCCTCAGGCTGCATGGTTCGCTACAGCAAGGTGGTTTTTTGCTGTTGATGCTTGGGCTGAAAACAGCGAGCGGTGTTCAGCTGGAACCTTCAAAAAATGGGGACTTGGGGAAAACGCTGTAGCCGTAGCCTTGGCCAACTCTGCCTACAACAGGTCTTTACATTGAACTTTTTTGTAGTTATCTTAAAATGTCTTAAATAGTCATGGTTATGATCAAGGTGCATAAACCCCTTGTTGCTGAAAGCCTTGGTTTTGTGTTTTGGTTGGGGGCAAATCCATTATCAAAAATATCATTAAATTATATTACAGTTATTACAGTCTCATCCCCATTTCTATGGATTGCATCCATTTAAACCACAATTTGTTGGATCATTTTGGTGGCTTTCTGTCTTGTTCTGTTGGTCATTTATCCATCAGGTATCTCATCATCCCAGTACCCCCATCTAATAGGAAGAAAAAACATGAAAAAACGACCCCCGACTGGAAGTTGATTCTTGGTTATTCGTGTTCCACCAACATGCCCGCGATTTAGCTGCTTAATTGACGTGTGTTTTCCGCGATTTGTTGGATGAAATTCAACCAGTTCCATTGCTTGAATCCCTACGTTTGGCGAAATCCCCAGGTTCATTGACTAAATCATGGCTAAATCCGAAATTCTCCATACGGTGGATGGAAGAAATCCTGGATGGTTGAAACCCTATAAATAATGGGATAAACCACCTATCAACTGGTGATTCGGATTTCGCAACCATCCACAGGACATTTCTCCATCTTTATTTGTTCAATCCCCATCGTTGCTTCTTCGATGCCGTTCTGAGGAACAGCATCGACATCTTCCGGCTCAGGCAGCTCACGAGCTGCCCCAATGCCTGGCGTCCGGGCGTGAACGTCACAAAGCCAGCGCCTAGGATGCCTTGGACATGTTCAAAAAGGTGTTGTCATCAGAAAGATTCAGAAAGATATGGTTTTATCATGTTTTATCATGGTTTAAAGGTTCAAAAAAGGTCAAAAAAGAGAGGCATAATTAATATGGTAGAACTACAGTAACTTGAACTAACTAACAATTTTTCAGGAACATGCAGGCTTAGCACTTGCCAATTGGAGGTTTACCTCAATAATTGGATTAGAACCCCAGTTACAACAGGATTCATCCTACTTACCACTGGCCAACTGGGGCGAACCAGCATATATAGCTATACTATTGCTAATATCCTTAGTTTGATTTCTATCATGAGAAATTATGGTCATTTGTTAGCCTACAAAATAGTATACCACTTCTCATTAATCTCTAATAAGATCCTTCTTGGTGGTTTGGAGCATTTTTTATTGTCCATGATATATATGGATATATAATCCTTCCCATTGACTAAGTTTTTTCAAGATGGGATATATAATCCTTCCGATTGACTAATATTTTTCAAGATGGTTGAAACCACCAACCAGGATCTCATATGTACCTATTTGTGTTTTCATGTCGACCCTATCGGGCTTCCCACCGTCGCTGGGCCAGGTGGCGGCGTTTGAAGCCTTGGTCTCGGGCGCCTCCAGCAGCGAGTTCTGCATCATCGGAGCCCCTGCAGCCCTCAGCCAGTTCGCCCAGCACCTGCGCTACGTGTCGCGGGCCGACTGGGCCGGCAGCGAACCCATGAGGACCACCGGACCTCCGCTGGACGTGCTGGGGAAATCCTCCAAATCCACGGAGGTTTTTGCTGAGGGTTTTTGCTGGGAAGATCAGGAATCTCATGGATAATTATATGTTTCAAAATGGTGATATCATGGGGAACATATGGGAATATCATTTGTGTAATGGGATTTACCGGCAACCATGATTCAACATGATACATCGAGTCCTCTATCGGAAGGTGTTTGGAAGTTTAGACCCTCAAAAGGTGTCGCTGGAGCTCTGGGGAATGGATACAGTACCCTTTGCTAAACATACAAAAAACTATGGAACATCACCATGTTTAATGGAGAGGGCGATGGAGAGAGAAATGGGTAAATCGACTATTTCTATGGCAATTTTCAATAGCAAACTGTTAGTTTCCGGGGAGGGTATATCTAGACAATTGTGTCAATTTGGATAATTTGGTGCTGTCATGGTGATATGCCAGGGAATAGCATGGAGATTATCCAGCAGAAATGAGAGATGAAACCATACAACCCATACGGTCTTAGTAGGTAGTAAAATGATAGGTGAGGATGATGATGCGGAATTGCTTGCAATATGTTCAGCTATTTCGTCCGAATTTAAGCATGAAACATGGAGATTCAACCAACAAATAACGGAAAGGGAGACGGGGGAAGACTTGAGGGATTTGATGTGATCAAGACTTTTGGTCTGGGGAAACCAACTGGAATAGCTCAGTACCAAGAAATCGCTTTCCCAAAATGTGGATATTTAATATGAACCTAATGGTCCTAAGCATGAGACTACTTGCAGGGTGCCTCAGATTGGCCCGAGGATATGGGAATATGTATACAGATTTTGGGACTTTGAAATGAGATCCTAACTTTTATCATCTGAGCCCACAACAAAAAAATCGTAAGTTCAGCTCGGTAATTCTTGTTTATTCCCTCAACTTTTTTGGAAAGAGACTTAGTCTTTCTGGGGTATCAGACAAGGCCCATTTCACGGGACACCGTGCGCCTTAAAGTGGATAAAAATGCTTGGCAGCGGAAGGAAAATCATTTGGTTCATAGCATGGTTTTCAGGGTTGACTCAAGTTGACTCCCCCAAAAACTTTCGATGAAACCTAACCGGACCAATATCCATGCAGTAGTAAAGTAGCCTTCAAGACATCATGAAATTTAGCAGGTTCCATGTTCAATTTGGAGTTTTTTTTTTGGTAACCAAAAATGGCGGAGAATCTTCAAAGTTCACAACCAGATTCCGGTGGATAAATTGGTCGAAACATTTTAGGGTGGCAAAATCTATGTTCTTTTGAGTCACAGACATTTGCATGTTTGGTTGGTTTCAGTCCCCATGTTTGTTGCTTAGCATCTCCATGTTGATGTTTACTTAAATCAAGGTTGCCACATTTCTGGTTGCAATATGTTACAATTCCATACAATTCCCACTCTTTTTCTGGCTAAAATTCCACTTATTTTGCAACATGTTCTTGTGGTGGCTGACATCCTTTTTGTTTCTTCACACGACCTTTGCAAGGTGTTTCTTCACATATCTTCGCCAAAGATTGGGGGCATCATCTTGTACATTCCAAGTGTATCCAATTATACTCATTTATTCATTATGTGTATATATATATGCATATATTCATATATTACAATATGTATATATATATAATATATCCGGTACAAACAGCTTAGCCCCATCACCATATCCCATCCTTAGATCTTTCTTGCGGCCCTCCTTCTCTTCGCACGTCAGGATCACCCTCACAGCCTCAGAGGACCAAGACGTGATCGTGGCCGCGGAGCAGACGTGGATCGTGGTGGAAACCACAAACGATCGACCCAGCATCGTTGCAACGCAAGGGAGTTTTGAGGCTGGTTGCAGCTTGGAATCTAGGTTGGAGGTGAAGCTTTTGAAGGTCAGCTGCGAGCCCTGTTGGTTGATGATGAACTTTGTTTTTTTTTCAAAAAAACCTAGCTGTTGTTTGTTTCTTTGATTGCGATTTCTTTTGTTTTTTTTTGGTATAAACATCATAAAAGTCAGATGATCATGATGGGAAAATTCGGAAATCCTATTCAGCAGCCAGTATAAAGGGACGGCATTTCGGCTTTTGAACACTGCTCAACACTGTTTTGGCAATTCATACAAGGTGGTGCCCCCCCAGTTATAAGCTGGTTTATAAACCATAGTAACTATGGTTATAATTATATATCCTCTATAAACTCTAGTTGTTGGAGTTATAAACCAAGTTGGCTAACTAAGGGGCACCACCTTGTAGGGAAGAAGAGCGGAATTGTGAATAGATGACCAGGTTTGAATCGAGATACTTGACTCAGATCAATGAGTAGGGTCACCACCAACCCCAACAACCTGGGGGCGATCAAAAGCAAATGCCAACATTGATGCTGTTCTAAACCAATGGATTCCTGGATGCAATGATTGGGTTGGAGTTATATCCTCTTTGTGACTTTGTGGATCATTTACATATATAATCATATATATATATATATTCATGTTTCTACCTTTTTCAGTGTGTGCACACATATCCCCACCATATCTCATTAAATGCCCATTATATCCACCATAAAAAGGGGCAAAGACCCGGTTTTTGAGATGTGAAAAGGCTGCCAGTGTGGCCATCTGCCAGGTGCGAACTGGAGAAAGTGTGGCCATCACAGGCGCGGGAGGGTATCTCCAGGTGTGACTGGTGTATTTTTTGGCATGAATATACAACAACATATGATACAGATATGTAAATTGGTATAAATTGGTAATATTTGCATATTACATGTTACAATATGTTACAATATGTTACAATACCCATACATATACACATTTGTATATCTCTGTGTGCTGTGTTTATGCCTATGTATTGAGATATTTTGACCTTTGCCCCCCATGGTTCACTGATCCCGTGGTGTTCATTTTGGGGCCCTTCAGGTCGGCGGATCGCTACGCTACTGAAAATGGCCCAGTCGAAATAGTGGATTTACCCAGAAAATAGTGATTTTCCATCGTTTTTTGGTATGTTTACCAGAGGGTAACAATATCCCCTCTGTTTTGATTAAAAACGTCTTTGATCTCTGATGTTTCTGAAGTTTGATTCATGTTTGAATCACAGACCCCCAAGGTATCAACATCTCGGACGCCGACATGAGCGACGGTACGCGTTGGATGACGCTGCTCGTGGCTGCATCCATCGGTCGGCTCTACGTGGATCCCTCGTTTTTGCTGTCACCCTTGGGGACCCTGGAGCCGATATCAGGCCACAAGCTTCGGTGGGGTGATCTGAGATGGGTACCCGGCCTGGTAAACATACAAAAAACTATGGAAAATCACCATTTTCAATGGGAAAATATGGGAAAATCAACTATTTCGACTGGGCCATTTTCAATAGCTTTTTGTATGTTTACCAGAGGGTAAACGGCTTGGAAGTTGTGATCACATATAGCCATCATATAAGTGGTTGGGTGGATACAGCGAATTGTTCATGCAATTTATATCTCTCAACCCGTCAGCTCCAGCAACTGTGATTCCCAGTTAAACATCTCAGTTTTGGATGATTCGACCCAACCCCATGAAAGATCTTGAAAAACTTAAGTTAAGACTTAAGACCATAAAAAGAATTTGGTCAGTCCCACTTCACTCACCAACCTGACCAACTCCAATCATAAAAAACACAGATCTCCTTCCCAACTTCGACATCCCTTCCCCGTCCTCGACGTGCGTCCGGTAGCGAAGTAGGCCGTTTGGACGGCGACTTCGCGTTGCGCCTGCGCGGCAACGGCCCAGACCTCCAAGGCTTGGTGGAGGCGCTACGCTTTCGCATGGAGGCGCCGGTGAAGCCCAGCCTGACCACGCGGCCGCTGAATCAGCCACCGGGACAGCAACGTGGAACTTGGGTTATTTTGACCATGGGGAAATTGAGATTGGGAAAAATGAGAGTTAACATGAGTTAACTATGGTAGAACCATTATAACCATGGAAAATGAGCGTTAACATGCGTTAACTATGGCATAACCATGGAAAAATGGGGAGTTATATAACTATGACTATGACTATTTTGGTTGGGGATGATTCCCAATATTCACTATGGCTTTAGTTGATTTTACCATGGACAATTCAGGAGTTCGGGAGATTTGGGGGACTTGGGGACACCCACTCAACTTATTAGTTCCTTGGATCTGAGTATCACCAACTATCAACCATACCCAGAGGCTCCATGTATAGTATATTTATATATTTACCTACATTTGGGCCATTTGTTGGGTAAATGTAGGCAACTATTCCATACATTGAGCATATGGGATAATTTGGGGCCTAACCTTGCTTATATGGAATAGTGTTGGGGAATGTCGAATCAATGTTGGGATATCACAGCAATAATCGAATCCCAATCGAATCCTCCAAGGATATCACAATGATATCTATCGTGAATACGGCAATTCAGCCAAAGTCTATCAGGATAGTAGATGCAAATGAAAATGATGAGGGTTATGATGCTTATGATGCTTATGATGCTTATGATGCTTATGATGGTGATGACGGTTATGATGCTTATGATGGGGAGGATGAGGATGATGAGGATGATGAGGATGATGAGGATGATGAGGATGAGGATGATGATGATGATGATGGTGATGGTGATGGTGATGGTGAGGGTGACGGTGACGGTGACGGTGATGGTGACGGTGGTGGTGATGTCGATGGTGATGGTGATGGTGATGATAGGAGCCACCCACTTAAGTCATTTAGCTCACTTGGCGCAAGCGTTGCTTGGTTGCAGTTTTGATTGCTGATTGTGGTATGCTTTTCATCTACCTGGTCTATTTCAAACATTTTCAAACTCGGCTGCCCCTGGCTGGTGACAGGGTGAAATGACTGACAAGCAGGAAGTACCTACAAAGGAAGTTCAAATGCTACGGTCAGTTTTCCCTCGAAGCAAAGACCAACATGTTCAGTTTTCATAGTCGGACATGGCAAGATGTTGACCATTGTTGACCTATGTTTCATTATTTTTCATACGGAACAATCACATATATCACGGTGTTTGTTGTGTTGTCCCATTTTTTGAGCGATTTGTGGAATCCAATCAAATCTGCACGCTCGCCGAGGTCGGAAACTGAGGCGCCGGAAAGCAACGTGCGGTCGACGTTTTTTGTTCGCCCAAATCAGAGGATAGGGAGGATACTGTAGGTAAATCAACATCAGAAGGTTCGTGACAGATTTATTTGTCTAAAAGGTTGCCTCTCATTCAAAGAGTCTTTCCCAGAATTGGTTTAATTTTAAACAAAAACATACATGAACACCAACATATATTTGGGTGTAAAAACATTGATCTCCAGCACAGAAAAAAAAAACAACATCGAAACATGTTCAGAAGGCTTGGTCCATCTTGGTCCATTGGAGCTGGACATAGACTGACATGAAAGGCGATCATCTCCTACATCTTGTCAGATGCTTTGGTTGAGACTTTGGGTCACTGGATGGATCTCCGGGGATCTGTTTTAAGGTGATCCACCCGTTGGCGAAGATGGGAAAATGATGGAAAATGGATGATGGTCCTATATTGAGAAGATTTTCCTAGTCAAAATGGTGGTTTCCTCAGCTATAGCTATGTGATATAGATTGCCAGTTCGGGCAAGATGATGGGAAATGCGCAAAATTCCATGACATTTGGCTCTCTCATGCTTTCTCACTATTCCAGAACTGACATTTTTCGAGAGGAATCTATGATCATGTGATGAGTTTAGGGGTCAAGTTACACCACCGCCTGTGTTGGCTTCCCTTGGGCCGCCCAGGATACGATCACGCAACAGGCTGGTGCCTTGCGAAATCATCAGGTGGCTGGAAAGGTGGTGGATCCTGAAAGCGATGAGCCGGTGGAGGGTGTTGTCACTCGGCTGGACATGGCCCAGTGGGGAAGCTCCGGGGGTTGCATCCCAGGAAGCTACGGTTTGGTGATTGGGGTAACATCCAAGAACTATGTAGATCAATGTGCCCTCTGGTTATTTAACATAGCCATGGAAAATGGCCCATTTATAGATGATTTTCCCAGCTAGAAACCCTCCATTTATTTTTGGGATTTTCCATGGCTATGTTAAATAACCAGATGGTAGCAGCAAACCCCCGGGGATTCCCGGGGCCCTTCGCCTCGTGCCCGGCGAGTCGACTCCGTCAGGAAGTGGTCCTCATCGCCCGCGACACGTGGCACGACTACCTGGGCTACACCTTGGAGACGAGTTGCCACCTGGAGCTGGTGGGCTGGAGCGTGGCGGAGTGCAAGAGCTATGCGGAGAACAACGGCTTTCCGCGCTGAAACAAACGCGGAAGGGGTGGGTGAGTTGGTTTCTGATGTTTCTGGCCATGGATACTGGAGATAATCTGGAGATATATTACCATAATATGGAGATGAAATGATGTAAGTGGAGGTGCATCCAGATTTATGGAGTATCCCTGTATAAAATGATTGATCATCGGTGTACCCCATTTTGGACACACTCGAGTGGGTAAACCTTGCTTGTGTAGGTACGTTTCTGTGTTGGTCACTTCCATCAAAGACTGGGATGCTATGGATTGCTAAGCAACACTGATGAATAGTAAATTCATATACATTTTCATATACAACACGTTCAATATATATATATATACACATATATATACTGTGTACATATGATGGGTTTAAGCATCATTGGCTTGATTTTGTTGGGAAAATTTCCAGGAAATCCCCTTTTTTTTTCATGGTAAAAAGCCCAGGGGTTTGCGGTGAGTTCCCGGATGTTCCCGGTTTCGATCCACTGAGCCAAAAATGGGGGCGAGGCTACATCAGCTTCACCCACGGTCTCTCCACTGCGGGTGGGGCACAATCCTGCTGCTTCAAGAGCGAAGATGTGGTGCCTCGAATGGTGTGGTGAAAATCCATGGGGACAATCGAAGATGAGGATTCCAGGATCCGGAATTGGTTGAATGATGTTGAATGTTTTAGATTTGGTGACCTCTTATGCCAATTCTCTTTACGCACACATGTATAATCATGTATATACGCGCAAGTAAAATAGTTTGGTGCGTCGATTTCTTCCATATTGACTCCGTGCAGATGCGGAAATCATTTTGGGAGGGTCGCATCGCATTGATTGATTTGCCATTATGTGTCCATATATGTCCCAAGTCCACAATCTTAAAAAATTGCCATTCTGGGGTTATCTGGGGTTTGGTTTCTGCAGAAACCGGCGTTTTTTTTTTCCGGGAAAAAAACCGGACTTAGGAGCTGATCCTGATGAATTTGGTCTCAGAGGCCAGTGAAAATCTCTACATCTTTCAGCCCGGTGGCTACTTCGTGCGGGCAACCACTTCCGCGGCAGGGATGTTTGCAGCTGGGCCTAAGCTGGTGATGTTTTCATCGTGGACGTCCACCCTAGGTATACTCTTCGGAAATCAAACATGACATGGCTGGGAAATCCCCGAACTATAGATCAAGGTTTGAATCTGTTTTAATGGGAAATTGATCTATAGTTTTTGGGTGATTTCACTTGCCATGTTTGATTACCAGAGGATAGATCCCATTCAAACAGGAATTCAATCTCGTTGAACCAGTTTTTTTCGTTGGTTAAACACATGTCAAATCCCATGATGAGGTGTAAACTATTCCCATCTATTCCCTGTCCCTCGGATCCAGTAGAGTCAAGCAGGTCCTTGGACTGCCCATTTATGACCGTTTTACTGGGGAAAGGAGGGATGAAAATCATGTAATTTGAGATATTTGAGGTGCCCCAAGTTGTGAAAAGACAGAGCAAATTGTTCTTCCAGTGATGCATTCTACCTGACGGTTCAGGTTAAACTATGTTAAACTTGCACTTTGGACTTGCTAGAATGACACCTCGGCAAGGGCTAGGACTAGGAGCAAACACCAAAACATACCAAAACATTTTTAAGCGCGCTAGCGCTAGAGTTGACATCAGGTTGACACAAGGGGGTCACAGGGGTCACCATGAATCCCCATGTCAGATTGCGGACTTCTTGGGCCTCAGGCTGCAATTATGCCCACAGGACCTGCGGACATTTATTTCACCAAAGCATTGTATGCGACACGAAATCTCAGCATTGTGGTTCCTTGGCCTTGAAGGCGACACGAAAGTCATGGCCTTTTTGTTTTGGAAGCAGCAACAAATAATGGATTTATAGGGATCTATATAATGGGATATATATATATATAATGGATATAATGGGGATAAAACGGGGATATAATGGGTGGCCCAAAATTCTCGAATTAAAAACTATACTCTTGAGGTGGAAGTCCACTCATTGGGAAGGGGTCCGTTGATTTTGATTGCACCACGGGGAAGAATAGCAAGTCCCAAGTCCCAACAACATTTTTGAAACTTCAACATGTTCAGTCATGGTTTGTACGGATTTCCTCAGCAAATGAAGATCCCACGCAAATTAACACAATAAAATCCGTGCTTTATCTATCTTGTTTATTTACATATCGTTATCGTCATACAGTTTATGTAGCGTATTACATCCATATTATGATATTATATATGTGTGTTATCTTTGTTTGTAATTCCTGTTTGTGCATTCCTTACATTTGTCTATATCCGTATTTTTCTTCATGTGCGAAATGCGGCATATCATGGCATATCTCTTATTTAAAAAACAAACAAATATCCATATTCCAAGCCTTAGGCCTTTCTTTTTTTGAGATTTTTTCCAACCAATATCCCCAACTCCCCAAGTCCAATATTTTTTCACCATCAAAAATACGGCGCCCTTTTCAAAACACAAAAAACATCCCATAAAAACTACAGCCCTTTTCTACAAAAAACATCGAGGTGAACGACAACATCCAAGTTGGCGGATCCGCAGATATCTACCTTCAGGCCTTGGCCGTGGTGACCATCTGGCGCTTCGAGGCGGGTCTAAAAGCGTGTTGCTTTGGGTTTTTACCATCGGAAAAGCCACGGGACAATGGGAAAACCATAGGAAAACCACTTGGGAAAATGGAGGTTATTGGAGGTTTACCATGGTTTAGCCTCTGGTAAACGTTTGCAGTTCGCGAAGTGGAAAAATCCACCATCTTGAGTGGGTACATCCGCGAACTAAATGGGCCATGGCTTCAATAGCGAACTGTTAGTCATTACCAGAGGGTACCATACCATTTCCAGTAGAATTCAGTAAAGTACAGAGAGTACAACCATCATATTTTGGCAAAATACGCTGTATTTTTTGTTCATTAATGCTACTTCCAGTACCAGAACACCATTGTTTGAACGATTTTCAAAGGAATTTCGTCAGCAGAAGGGATGATTTTTCGGCTTCAACGTTTGCAGGTGGATTGGATCTCCAACACGGGTTCGCCCGTGGATTTGGACGCGCACGCATTTGATGCCTGGGACTGCCATGTGTGACTCGGGCTGTTTGATGGCGTTCATGTTGAAGAATGTGGGTAAAACAAGGTAAAACAATTCTAACCCATGAATTCGCATTCTTTTCCAACATTCGGTCTCAATACCTTTATCGTTCTTTTAAGCTGGGGGAGATGCAAAAATTTGATTGATGCCCATTTCTCCTGGAGATCGGTTGTGTCAGTTCAGTGGCAGACCCAGTGATGTCCTAAGGTGGTTTTTGCATGCTTGAGATCATGGTCGCCAAGCGAGGAAACGCACTCAATCCAAGAAACGTACTCAATCCAAGAATCGTACTCAATCCCCACTCAATCCAAGAAAGGTACTCAATCCAGGAAACGTACTCAATCCAAGAAACGTACTCAATCCAGGAAACGTTCTCAATCCAGGAAACGTACTCAATCCAGGAAACGTTCTCAATCCAGGAAACGTTCTCAATCCAGGAAACGTACTCAATCCAGGAAACGGTGTTTTAACTTTCGGGGAGCACAGAATGAAGTTGTAAAAAAGTAGAAAGTATGTTGGCCATAACGAATGCGAATGTGAGATTTATGAAGCTAAAACCGTGGAAGGTGTGCAAAAACGACATCGTTCTTTTTGGAACGTACTTTTTACTTTTGCAGAGTTGATGGAGGCGACCTGGAAATGGGATGGGGCTGCTGGGTGGGGAACTCAATCCAGGAAACGTAGTCATTCCAAGAAACGTACTCAATCCAAGAAACGTACTCAATCCAAGAAACGCACTCAATCCAAGAAACGTACTCAATCCAAGAGACGTACTCAATCCAGGAAACGTTCTCAATCCAAGAAACGTTCTCAATCCAGGAAACGTTCTCAATCCAGGAAACGTACCCTCCGAGCTATGGACAGCAAACCTGTTGGGGGTTGTGCACCTTCTAAAAGAAGGAAGGTGCAATAAAAAGGTACAAGTTTGGAAAGCAACATGAAAGGGGAGAAAAACAGAATCAAATTGAGTGTGGGTATTGCCAGCACTGCTTGCACAAGATGTGTACCTAAAACAACCTATGATATTCCCAAAAAACATAAAGAAGGGTCAGCTTCACGAATGCAAATGTGAGAGTTAGAACAATGTCATAAACCATCTATTTACTTATGGGGATGACTGGGGGATGGTTTATTATATTGTTTTAGCCACATTATTTTTGATTTATCAAACCTGACATTTGTAGTTTTTAAAATGATTTCTAACGAATATAATATGGAGATATGATAGGGATATTATGGGAATATTGGGGTATGTTCGCCAAGAATGTGGTGGGCTTGTCTGCAAAAAGGGTATACCCCCTCAAACGGCCATTGGAGTTATAAGCTGACAAAATGAGGTCAGACCGTGGAAACGGGGGACTTGCGATATGTCAGAAGAAGAGGTTTGGGTTCTCATGATGGAGAGCTGTTTTTTTGTTGGCGCCATTTTTTCACAGAGAAGATCATATCAACTCGAAGGCTCCTGCTTTTCATACCGACAGGAACGAGGAGCGAAAGAAATACGTGTGGGCCGTGTGGGCCCTTTTTTCCACGCGTGGTTTCATGACATCGTCAGACATGGCATGGCTCGTTGATTTGCCAGGTCATCTTTCTGAGAAGCTATGAATATTTTTGCCCCGTAACCATCCGTAACCATCATTTGAAAAATACCTGAGGATACGTCCAATAAATATGATTGCCTATAGAATCATATTATATTTACCCAAGTAACCATCATATAATATTATTTGCCCTATTTTAATAGCTCCCATAGCTAAGTTTTTTCGAGCTGAGGTGTCCCAGCTGCGCCACTGAGGTATTTTGCCAACCGCATTTGTCAGCATGATGGGAGCCATGGACTCACGGTGACCTTGAATCGAGATCCTTAGCATAGATGTCCGGCTTTCCCATTGGTTGGTTGATGAAAAAAGAGGGGTTTGAAGAAGCTCCTTTAATAACAGGTTTCCATGATGATAAATGGGATTAACCAGCTCCCGGCCCCTCTATTTTTACCAAAAGGACATTTTGATCCTTCGTCTGATTTGGTGGGGACTGGGGATGTACCTTCTGGTAAACCAACAGTTTGCAAACTGGAAAATCACCATGTTTCATGGGTAAAACAACGAACTCAATGGCCATTTTCAATAGCTATGTTAGTTTACCAGAGGGTAGTTCGCCACCTGATTTTTCGGTGCTGCTTTTAGTGTCAACCCCGGAAGTAACAAAATCCCGCTGTGAAAAATTGGGGAGTACCATCCATGACTGACCTCTATTTGGGGGGATGGGTGCATAATGAACATGGATTTACGAATCCGGAGTTGACATACCCTCTGGTAAACTAACGATAACTAACGTAGCTATAGAAAATCACCATTATTAATGGGTAAATCCACTATAAATGGTCATTTTCAATAGCTACGTTGAATTACCAGAGGGTATTTGTTTCACCTTTCCCAACGTTTTGCAACATCCGTCCAACACTTGTCAACAGTTGCCGACATGTTCCAACATGAATTGCATGTAGGAAAAACCACATGACACAGAACTATTGCTATAATTTGATTCCTTGGGTGTTTGTGTTCTATATATATATATAATATATTGACAAGATTTGACAAGTATATATAGACAAGTGGGGCAAAACCACTTTTCTACTATTTTGGTTCAAGCAATTCTTTAATCCATTGTGGTGGCTGCCAGCGGGCGCACCAGGCGCCTGGTAATTTCGGGTGTTTTCTATGTTAAATGGGTTCGTTGGGGGGTGGGTGGGTGGGGGGGGATGTTAACGTTCATTGGACTTACACACTTACGTGATGCTACGCTACTGCACGTTCTCTTCAATTTACACAACTACGTGATGCTACGCTACTGCACGTTCTCTTCAATTTACACAACTACGTGATGCTGCGTTGACTGGGGTGGAGGGGTGGGGGGTGGGTGGGTGGGTGGGTGGGTGGGTTGGTGGGGATGTTAACGTTCATTGGACTTGCACACTTACGTGATGCTACGCTACTGCACGTTCTCTTCAATCTTCACAGAAAAGTGAAGACTTTGGTGGGGTCAGAGGTGAATCCATCTCTGCGACGTCGTTGTTTCCAATATGTGTGGAGATGTAATCTCCAAACTTGTACGCCACTGGTCATGCTGAAAGAGCTGGCAAAGTTGGTGAAAAACAACGACGGCGACAACTGCTAAAAGAGTTGAAAAGAGACGTTTTGATGCAGAAACGCTATAAAAACGCCAGGCGCCTGACGCGCCCGCGACCTGGTGGTTGCCACTTTTCTGGATGAGTGATGTTCAAACGGGATATGGATCACCCCTTTTCCGAATGTAATCAGTTTCAAAGTAGTTGAACACATATTTTCAACAATTTACTTAGATAAGTTAAAGTTAGTACTTAGTACAGCCATAAACGTAGATGTCTAGCCTTTGTGAGATTAGACGGGCTTACCATGCATCCAATAAATCATATTAACTTTTAGCAAGGGATTAACTAACCACCAAGCAAACTAGGAGTTAACGCATTATGAATTATGATGTGTATAAGTTATATCCATATATAATTGCATTATTGAATACCATTGTGTCATATTGCCCATATGCTTTCCATGTTTAATGATTGAATGTTTCAGGCACCTTTCACGTTGACGTTAGCGCGTTAACTGCAACAATGCCTGTTTTAGTGGGATCAAGAAACCACCTTTGCAACTCCAAATTTGTGGGTTATAAACACTGTTTTGATCTATTTTGTTGGGGACAAACATCCACAAAAAATGCAACCCTATTGTTGGTTACTCCCAGTTATAACCCTGATTTTTTTTCGGAACATCATGGAATATGTCACGCACAAACACGCTGACCAGCGGCGAGGACAATCGCGACGTGATCCAAGGGAAGGAGGTCATCACCATCCACCAGTGGCCCTGCGATGCCACGGTGGCGGCCAGTGGCGGCTACCGAGATATTTGGCGTCTCGAAAAAGCACGAGGGGGAAGACTTGGTGGCTCATCCCACTTAGTAGCTTAATGTAGGTTATATATGGTGATATATATTATGTTATATGTGGTTATATATGGTTTTATATGGTTAAATATGGTTATATATGGTTAAATATGGTTATATATTATGTTATATCATCTTATATCATCTTACATCCCTGGAAAAAAGTGGGATAAGTCGGATCAGTTCACCTAATTACTGTGACTAGGGTCTAATGCAATTACTAAGCGAACTATCAGGATTATCCAGTAAACCTTGGACAATGTGAATTTACCCTATGATTATTTAACATAGCCATGGAAAATGGCCCATAGAAATAGATGGTTTACCTATTTAAAAAAAATGGTGGATCTTTCCATGGCAAACTGTTAGTCATTACCAGAGGGTAATCGGTCAAACCATCAGAAATCGGTCCACCGGAAATCAACGAAATGGAGCTTCGAAGCCATAAATTGCGCAACATGGCGAGGATATTGTTGTGCTCTGCGCGGCTGTTGAACAGCAACTGAAACGGTGCATGCGTCAAAAATTGTGGTTGGAAGCAAAAAAACATTGGCAAGTTCGGGACAAGAACGGAGTATAAGGTATAACCGTATAACCACACAACTGCGTAAAAGAATTGCTGAGTGGTTCGTGAATGGGTGATTTTTCAGCTGTCCTGACGGATGAATATAGCGCCCTTAGGATCTGAAAAAAGAGCAACTTGAGGGCCAAATTCGATCAATGATGACTAAGATTGCGGAAGCCTGCGGAAACCATAGTAAACCATAACCCTCCCTTAGTCAAACATGGCAATTGGACATCCCCCTGTAATCTCCTGTATATAAATGGAAGTTTTAATGGCAAAAAAATATAAATATTGTATTTTTATCAAGCCACGTTTGATTGCCGGAGGATACCAGCAACTAACCTTAAAAGAAGGACCTGGGACCTTCCCTCATATGAAGCAGCTCCCAGAAACCATGGTTTAGTAGGTCATTTAGATCTATTTGGGACTTACAGGGGGTGTTTGATTGTTTGATATTAGGCGGATGTGATGATTGAATTTGTATATACACATACATGACATATTATGTATTCTGGGGGCCCAGATTGGGGCAATTTATTTTTGGGCGGTAAGGGATGATCTATGAATCTATGGCGTATGGTTTAACACAGTCAACCTATGTCAAACAATCCACCAAGCAATCCGAGTTTGCCCCTGAGAATCCTCCATTTTTAGCGGATTTGGAAGTCTTCCCACGCCCAAGTCATGGCAAGGTCGATGTGTTCGTTCGGGTGATGGTAAATCAGTTACAAGTTGATTTTCGAACACCCATCCACTAGTTCTACCTTTTCAAACCAACAGTTCATCCAGTTATTAACTCACCAAACTTAGTAACTTAGCTAACTTAAGCAACAACTCAAATCTACTCATGTCTTGTTGGGAAAACCCCTTCCTCCCTGGGAAAATGCTGCGGGTCAGCTGCCGCCCAGGAGCTGTTTGGCCTACTTTTGGCTTCAGATCTTCTCCTACACCGAGGACACCTTTGCAGATGTGGACGCTAAGGTGAGCATCTTCCGACAAGGCCACAGGGATCCACAGGCTACAGGGCGTGAAGTTTGGAATGTACAGTAAATGAATGTAAATGGGATGTAAAATGGGTGTGTTTGAAAATGGAACATTAGTATATCATAGTATATCACTTTCCAATGGATTAGAAAATGGATGAAAATGGAACATATTAGTATATATAACTTTCCAATGGATTATTATCACTTTTCCCGTTGAATGGCCGATTTGGGGGGGTATGCCCCAATTGCAGACGGACCCAAATGGGCGCCAATGGGAATGGGTCAAAATTAGGTACCCCCAAAATGAGATGGTCAACACTAGAAACTGCCAGAATTTGTGGTCAAAAATGGTCCAACAACTGTTTTTCATGGTAGGTAATATGTCTATGCTTCATGGATATTAAAAGAACAACAAACCATTTCACTGGCACCTTGCGCGCATCCTGGATGCTAAGGCACGCTGGTGCAGGAGATTCAGCTTCCGGCGGACGGCGATCCCAACGACTTTTGGGTGGGCTTTGCCTTGGACTGGAGCTCCAGTACCGTCCAATCCCTCCAGAATCAGACGGGCAACTCCTCGTTGGCGGAGGAGCCATGCCGGTTCTGCAAGGTTCTGCAAGGGGTCCTTGGGGTTGGAACCATCCAGCACCGCCCCGCTAGGACTTCGTGGGTGGCCGGGGCGACTATCAGCTCCCGCCCAGCAATGACGTGCGGCGCCTGGCGCGAAGTGCACCACTGCGGCGGAAGCGGATGGAGCGCTGGCAGGAGCAGCTGCAGAAGGATTGGAATAGCGAGAAGGAACCGCAGGAGATGGGAAAGTAGCTTGCCACTCTGGGTCTCCGGCAGGGTGGAAAAGGATAGGGCCTTAGGATAAGGATGGAACAAACCAAAAGACTTTCACCCAGAAAGGGTTTGAAAATTCGGCCCAGGGTAAGGAGAGTCATAGTATGAGAGCGCGGCAAAAAATCGTGAATTGGATTCTGCTCGCATTCATTCGCCAATTCTACGGTGTAGTTTGGGTGGGGAAAAACCTGGAGAGATGGTCTCCAAATGGACATGGAATCCCATTCCCCTAATATGAAAATTATTGTATTAAATTACCACTACCACCCAAGAAACCGTGGCAGGTGTAGAATTTGATCTCTTCATTTTGGAGTCTGTATATAGGGTATTTGGATGTATTTGGTGTATATTGGGGAGGAGGGATTAACGTGTTTTCATGTGTTTTCTCATTTTTTCCTTCATTGCCTTCACATAGCATCCTCAAGGCTCCCATCCATTCTTTATAGAGACAAGGTCTATAGCTGACCTTCGCTGCTCCGATTTTTTTTTGGCCTCACAACATGGTCGCGGGTCAAAAAGGGGGGTTGTAGCAGTGTAGCATATCCTCAAGTGTGTTCGTGTTTAGCATCAACCTTACATATATAACTGGTTGGTGGTTTGGAACATTTATTATTTTTCCATATGGTGGGAATAATGATCCCAACTGACTAATATTTTTCAGAGGGGTTGAAACCACCAACCAGCATATAATATGTTCATTATGTTGGATGATTTTGGCCCATGCCATGGCTGAGGATTTCTTACCTCAGAAGTTCCGAACGAAGATTGCAGAGCACCGAACTACAGGGTCTCTACGCTTCAGAGCAGTTTGATCGGAAGAACTTGGAGGGAACCGCTTTGATTTTCTCCTTAGAAGCCTGTCAGACACAGGAACCGAGGAAGCTGGCGGGATGGATTCGCACCAGCTATTAATCGATACCGGAGTGATATGAAGATTTGAGGCATCACGGCATCACCTTTGCAGTGGTTTTGTTTGAACAAATTAGATCTATGTCTCTAAATTAATAGCGGAATTGTTTCTGATGTTTCTAGAATGTCCTTGCAATGTACGATGATCTCCGATACGAATGCCTTCATGGCGCATGGTTCAGTGTAGCTTCCCGAAGGTGGCAAAAAGCTTTCCAAAAGTGTCCAACTATGGTTGCTAAGTTTTGCTAAAAAAACTATTATAACTCCTTGCCATTCCGAATACGGGATAGACAACTGGTGCTTTGTCTCGACATGATCAATGGGTGTATCATCAAGTATCATCCACTCTGTTCCCCAGTTTCTGCTGCACAAAATTATGGTTTTCGGTTCAACACATGCCTTTTGACAACCAACAGTAACGGGCAATCCACAATTTATGGATGCTCTACCAATAGAACGCATTTTTTTTTTTTAATGACACTGATCTTAGAATCTTAGAATATCTTAGTTGCCAGAGGATGTCATCATTTTCATGTTGCCGCTAAGGACAGTCAGCAGAAGTTCTACACGGCCTGTCAAGTGGTGCTCGCAAGTGACAAGTTCCTGCCGTATCCGCCACCCAGCTGGGCACGGCTCCTGAGTCAAAACCTGGATTTGCTGAAGATGGTTGAAATTCGCAAGTGGAAACCCACAAAGTACTTGGGGATCTTGGGGCATCTCAGATTTCGTTGTTATTTTTTTGGGGTTCCAGAAGCAAATCCAAGCAAATGAGAGGAATCCTTTTATACACTATAAAGGGTATCTAGGGGTCTGTTGGACTTTTTCTTAGACAACTGGACTTGGGGTATGCTGCAGAGCTGTGTTCGAATCACGTGAGGAGATAGTTTTTCTATCCATGTATTTACAGTATACAGTTTCGGATTCAGAGATCATCACACAAATGTATGTCTAATGTTTAAGTTTCGGCGACTGGCGGCCTGTATGATTTAAGAGATACTCGTACCCGCGGGACCCACTCGCCATAACCTCCGGATACCTCCGGCATCCAGAATCCCGTGGCCCAAGTGCCCAAGGAAATTGGAGTTGCCAGATGATGGTTCGGTGGAAATTCCTTTGCCATCGCCCATGACCTTCTACGAGCACCTCGGAAGCTGACACCAGGCGGTTGAGATTCTGGAAATGATTGATGTTTGGCAACCCCCAATGGTGATTGAACCAAGAGAATATGGGCTTCAACCAACAGGAGTATAATGGTTAATATCAATTTTCACTAGTTACTTGTACCCTTTGGTAATATAGGAGTTTTCTATGAAACACCATCATTAAACGAACGGGAAAAGTACATTGGGATCTAGGTGGTTTAACCAGGGTTTGCAGGCAGCAGGCAACGCAGATTTGTGGCGATTTCAAATGGGACATTGTGGAAACTGGTGGTTTTGAGCTGAGATTTCAAGATCCATTCCCTGCCTGAAGGGGCTTTGGTGATTGATTTTTCCAACGATTGTTGGATCTGTGCCCTGCTGGTTGTGCTCCCAATGGGTAAGGGCCTCGCTTCGGAAAGCGCTCTCATGCATCGCTTTCGAACGCGCCTCCTCACCATCATCATCATCATCATCGTCATCATCCTCATCATCGTCATCATCGTCGTCATCGTCATCATCATCATCATCATCATCATCATCACCATCATCATCATCATCATCATCTTCATTCCTCACCATCATCATCAGCATTTGCATCATGTTTCTTCTTCCGTTTATTCCTCTTCTTCTTCTTCTTCTTTTTGGCCATCCTCTTCCTCATCAGCCTCATCCTCCTCATTATCCTCATCGTCCACAGCACGATCATCATCAGCAGAATCATCAAGTTTCTTCTATTTTTCTTCAGCATATTTCTTCTTCTTCGCCGCCAACACCATCATCATCATCATCGTCATCGTCATCATCATCATCATCATCACCATCGTCATCCACCTCCTCATCATCATCAGCAAGATATAAACCCTAAAGGTGTCGTGGCTCTTCTTACATCAAGTGCAACAAGATATAAACCCTAAAGGTGTCGTGGCTCTCCTTACATGAAGTGCAACAAGATATTAACCCTAAAGGTGTCGTGGCTCTTCTTACATCAAGTGCAACAAAATTTGTCTCTTCTTACATCAAGTGCAACAAGATATAAACCCTAAAGGTGTCGTGGCTCTTCTTACATCAAGTGCAACAAGATATAAACCCTAAAGGTGTCGTGGCTCTTCTTACATCAAGTGCAACAAGATATAAACCCTAAAGGTGTCGTGGCTCTTCTTACATCAAGTGCAACAAGGTATAAACCCTAAAGGTGTCGTGGCTCTTCTTACATCAAGTGCAACAAGATACAAACCCTAAAGGTGTCATGGCTGTCCTTTCATTAAGTGCAACAAGATATAAACCCGAAAGGTGTCGTGGCTCTTCTTACATCAAGCTCAACAACAAATAAACCCTAAAGGTGTCGTGGCTCTTCTTACATCAAGTGCAACAAGGTATAAACCCTAAAGGTGTCGTGGCTCTTCTTACATCAAGTGAGACAAGATATAAACCCTAAAGGTGTCGTGGCTCTTCTTACATCAAGTGCAACAAGATATAAACCCTAAAGGTGTCGTGGCTCTCCTTACATTAAGTGCAACAAGATATAAACCCTAAAGGTGTCGTGGCAGTCCTTAGATCAAGTGCAACAACATACAAACCCTAAAGGTGTCGTGGCAGTCCTTACATCAAGTGAGACAAGATATAAACCCTAAAGGTGCGTGGCTCTTCTTACATCAAGGGCAACAAGATATAAACCCTAAAGGTGTCGTGGCACTCCTTACATCAAGTACAACGAGATATAAAGCCTAAAGGTGTCGTGGCTCTTCTTACATTAAGTGCAACAAGATTTAAACCCTAAAGGTGTCGTGGCACTCCTTACATCAAGTACAACAAGATATAAACCCTAAAGGTGTCGTGGCAGTCCTTAGATCAAGTGCAACAACATGTAAACCCTAAAGGTGTCGTGGCTCTTCTTACATCAAGTGCAACAACATATAAATCCTAAAGGTCTCGTTGCTCTTCTTACATCAAGTACAACAAGATATAAACCCTAAAGGTGTCGTGGCACTCCTTACATCAAGTACAACAAGATATAAACCCTAAAGGTGTCGTGGCTCTCCTTACATCAAGTGCCATAACATGTAAACCCTAAAGGTGTCGTGGCTCTTCTTACATGAAGTGCAACAACATGTAAACCCTAAAGGTGTCGTGGCAGTCCTTACATCAAGTGCAACAACATATAAACCCTCAAGGTCTCGTGGCAGTCCTTACATCAAGTGCAACAAGATATAAGCCCTAAAGGTGCCGTTGCTCTTCTTACATCAAGTGCAACAAGATATAAACCCTAAAGGTGTCGTGGCTCTTCTTACATCAAGTGCAACAAGACATCAAGTGCAACAAGATAAGAACCTCAAAGGTGTCCTGGCTCTTGTTACATGAATTGCAACAACATGTAATTAAACCCTAAAGGTGTCGTGGCACTTACATGAAGTGCAACAAGATGTAAACCCTAAAAGTGTCGTGGCTCTTCTTACATCTAGTGCAACAAGATATAAGCCCTAAAGGTGCCGTGGCTCTTCTTACATCAAGTGTAACAAGATATAAACCCTAAAGGTGTCGTGGCACTCCTTACATCAAGTACAACAAGATATAAACCCTAAAGGTGTCGTGGCTCTTCTTAGATTAAAAAAAACCAGATATAAACCCTAAAGGTGTCGTGGCTCTTCTTACATGAAGTGCAACAACATGTAAACCCTCAACGACATGTAAACCCTAAAGGTGTCGTGGCTCTTATTACATGAAGTGCAACAACATGTAAACCCTAAAGGTGCTGTGGCTCTTCTTACATCAAGTGCAACAAGATGTAAACCCTAAAGGTGTCGTGGCTCTTATTACATGAAGTGCAACAACATGTAAACCCTAAAGGTGTCGTGGAAGTCCTTACATCAAGTGCAACAACATATAAACCCTAAAGGTGTCGCGGCAGTCCTTACATCAAGTGCAACAACATGTAAACCCTAAAGGTGTCGTGGCAGTCCTTACATCAAGTGCAACAACATATAAATCCTAAAGGTCTCGTTGCTCTTCTTACATCAAGTACAACAAGGCTTTTGTTTCATATATTCACCTTCATTTTCTGTGGCAGGCGTGGGACCTTTTGACATCGACCTTCATTTTGCATGGCAGGTGTGGCACTTTTGTACATCGACTGTCCTTTTACGTGGCAGGCGTGGGACTTTATGACATGGTTGAAACGAGTCAAATTCTCATACGAGGAGGTTTTTTGTGTTGGTCTCGCTTTGGAACGCGTTTTTCTTCCAAAGTCTCGCGCCTGTCAGTAAATCTGATGTGTGTGTGTGTATGGCGGGGTTTCCATGAGATGTTTTATTTTGTGTTTTAAAGTGATGCAAAATGGCTGTGTTCTAAAGTGATGCCTGAGAGTGTGTTCCAAAGTGATCCTTTTACCCTCCAATGTCTAGACATGGGCTCCTCCCTTTTTTCCCAAAACGGAACTGGTTCCTGGAAACAGGATTCTTTCCCAATAGTTCTCAGTTCCCTCTCGTTGAGGTTAAAACATGTATATATATATCTCTTAAAAGCACCACACCAATAGCCAGAATAATGCCTTCAGCAAAGCTTGTTTGACCCAGCAGATTGGACCCAAAGTCCTCGTAGTCCTCGTAGTCCTCGTAGTCCTCGTAGTCCTCGTAGTCCTCGTCCCTCTGAGGCAAGTTTACAACTCGGTTTTCGTTGGAGGAAATGGTTCCTTGGACTGGCCAGACCCCATTGGGAGAGGCGTGCAAGGGTAGTGTGATAATACACCAGAAACACTCAGGTAGGTAGTTGCAAGATGTTGTAAGACCATTGTTTTGATGGTTAATGCTCATTTCTATGTGCTCCCATGTAGCTTCGCATTTACCCGAGCAATCACCTAAATGGTGGTTGTGGGATTTGGTTTGTTTGATGCTTGTCACATTTTTCTTGAAGTTCCGGTGTGAACCAACATGCTGACGAAATCAGTCGGTCATGTTTGTTTGTCACATCTATTTACTGATCATCAATTACATCATTTTCAATCATCAAAAAGAAATCCACACATTTTTGCTGGTTACCTATTCTAGACCATAGATGTCCTTTTCCATTGGTTGGTTGATTAATAGAGGGCTTTGAAGAAACCCCCTTTAACAGGTTTCTATGATGATAGATGGGATTAACCAGCTCCCGGCCCCGGTCAATTTTTACCAAAAGGACATGTTATTGGCTGCTATGGCATATTTACATAATATACAATTTATAGTTGATTTACCCATTAAAAATGGTGGATCTTTCCATAGTTATGGGACAATGATCGGCCTTTCTAGGTACATCCCCATGATGGTTTTGGATATTATGAGGACATCCTGGGGATATGGGATACTTCAAAACCTGCTAGACCCATGCTGGTTCCCTATTCTATGCTCTGGTAAACTAACATAAATATGGAAAATCACAATTTTTAATGGGAAAATCCACTATAACTGGCCATTTTCAATAGCTATGTTAAATTACCAGAGGGTAGACCCATCACTTTTCTTCGCTTTCAGGTTACGTCACCTTCGGTGGCCCCTCGGTGAACCGCTCCAGCAGCTCCGACAGCCACTTCTCGCGGCCCGGCGTCAGCGCGCTGGCGCACGACCTGGCGCCGCATCGCTGGGGCGCCACGGTGTGGCTGGAGGTGGAGACGGTGGACCTGTTGGACACGCGGGTGCCTTGGGAAAGGATGGGTGAAAACCGGGGGAAAACCGGGGGAAAACCGGGGGAAAACTCGGTGAGTTTGAAAAACCGTAGGTTTTTTTTGGGGTGCAGATCGACGACAAGTGTGTGTTGGAATATGTATAGTCGTATATATTAGATTATATGAGTATCAATGTCATTGGTGATAGTGATAGGGATATGGATCTGATTTAGTTGATAACAAGACATAATCGTGATTTGAGGTGATTTGGGTGGGTATCCAAAGTGTGGAAGAGTCGGAACCAATTTTTATGAACCCAGTATGGTTGCTTCAGAATTTTGACTGGGTACAAAGTGTCCAGCATTGGCCAACTACTACTTGTTACAACCTGGTGCCCTCAACTTGTAAGTTGGTTTATAACATCATTGACTGCTATAGGATGATAGGATATTATAGGTAGATCTACGATAAATAAATAAATAAATATATATATATATATATAGATTCAATAACCGATATCTACTATAAACCAACATGAACCGAAGAGTTCACAAAAAGGCCCCACCCAACAGCTCACCTTTGCGTCAAGCTGAGGTGGTGATCACCTTCGAAAACGTGGCCACCTTCAGTTCCTCGGAGCCGGTTGGCCGGTCCGAAGACATCGTTGATGCATTCGTTGGTGAAGTATACAGTTGCCATAATTAACCATAGCTATGGAAAACTAACATCACTATGGTTTATATAACAACTAATATGGTTTATTATGGTAAACTGACATAACTATGGAAAAACTATATATATATTACTGGTTGGTTTGGAACATGAATGTTATTTTTCCATATATTGGCAATAATAATCCCAACTGTATATAATTATATATATATAACCCTCCGGTAAACATACAAAAACCTATGGAAAGATCCACCATGTTTAATGGGAAAATTCACGAACTAAATGGCAATTTTCAATAGCTATGTTAAATTGCCAGAGGGTATATGATTGTCTTACTGGTGCTTAGTAGGGAATGGATGGGTTGCTGGAGGTTGCTGGGATGATTATTGAAAGTTATTGTGGATCATTCCCTCATTCCCTGCTAAGCACCAGTAAGTTATAATATGCTATAAATATGGCTACAATATATTTTATGGTTATAATTAATGTTATAAATTTCACAGGCCGTCCATAGCATAGCTATCGGGATCTATGAATACTATACTATAGTTATAAGAGGTTATAAGTATCATAGACCATCATAAACCATAATCGGAGTTGTATGTTCACCAATCACCAACTTAGCTATCGTTTGGGAACCCCACTTTGCAGAATCAGTGGCATGGGATACGGGATTGGCAGGCAGTGGTTTTCTTCCCCCTTCAGATACCCATGAATGAGTATAGTTACATAACATAACTATGAAGTTGTTGGCAACTAGACTCATTATGAGCCTTATGACCTGTAACTATAGTTCATGATAGTTCACAACCATTCACAGTACATTGACTTAATGATGTCATTCATTTCCTCTCACTTGGTGCACCTACTTTTTGCAGCACTCGGTAGCAACTTCCCGGTTCGCACTGAGGTGACCGCTCCGGGCAAAGCAGCAGTTTCCAGATTGTGCCGGGCCTTGGGTCGTGACCGAACGTCGTGACCCCTGGAATCATGGTGGATGCTGAAAAGGGGGAATCATCCCCGCTGGTCGCAAGCTTCAGGTGAAATATCATGAACTATCAGAATTTGTCGAGGCAGTTTCATGCTTTTTGACAAGGGATGATAGGGATGCTCCTGCCGCCGGTACCTGGGGATTTCTTGGTGCTATCTGAATGAATATTTCTGGGGTTATGTACTATGGACATGTTTTTGGGATGCTTTTCTCACGCGGAAAATAACAAACAAACAAACAAACATACAAACATACAAACACACATACAAACAATTACAAACATACGTACGTACGTACATACATACATGCATGCATGCATGCATACATACATACATACAGACATACATACATACATACAGACATACATACATACATACAGACAGACATACATACAAACATACGTACGTACGTACATACATGCATACATACATACATACATGCATGCATGCATGCATGCATGCATACATACATACATACATACAGACATACATACATACATACATACATACATTGTAGTGTATGTATTGCATGGATTATATACGTCTACATCCTGAGTTGATCCACGGCCCAAGCTTTCCAGGTGCTTTTCCTCATGACCCACCAAGTCATGGTGAGTTACCAGCAAATCTCCGACGCCGCAGCGGCCGCCAATGCCGCCATTGGCGTGTCGCCGGCCATCTTCCCCACGCTCGGGGTGGAGTTCGTGCCGGATGCCACGGCGTGTACCAACACGTGTCCCAACTGGGTGCCTGGGTGATACATCGATGTAAATGGGTGAACATCTTGATGAAACTACCCAGAAACCTGGTTTTCTAGAAATAGATCATTTTTTTCCAATCTAAGGATGTACCTATAGTATATTGTGACTGTTTATTGAACATTTAGTGTGAAAATGGGAACCAAAGTTGAACGGTGGCCTTTTTTGCAGAGATCAAAATAGTTTTATAACAGTTTTATAGCCAGATAGATATTTCAATGTGAAATGTGCAATGTGAACATTTCATCAGCTTGATAAAAGGTCGGAGTGGAACAATTTTTCCCAGATTGAAGCCATGCACTTAATTTCTTTTGGGGTTCTAGTCCAATATGTTTTTTTTTCCCAATAATTAGTTTCCTCCAAGGGTCTGGTTCAGATCCTGAATGGCATTCATATCCGGACCATTTTCGTAGATTTGCTGAAGATGATTGTCTATTTTCCCAGGGGGCGGCCGTGAAGCAAATCAGAACCCTTTGCACTGCGGAAAGATTTTGTGGAATTATGGACTGCAGTTGGCATGACCAGTATCCGTGTATACCTGAAAGACAGATATGACCATTCATTCAAGGAATATCAATTTTGCGGTGCTCTCCTTTTACAGGGTAATGATGACAACTGAAAACCCAACTATTTGCTAGAGCTACTAGATTCCTAGATATCATTTTCCAGCCAAGCATGCTTAATCGTGTCAGACTAATGTCATTTCTGGATTATATTATAAAGACAGTTTGATTGATGAGTGAAGGGAGTTCCCCCTAGAAAGCAGTGACTTCATTTGCTACTACTTAAACCAGAAGCCTGCCACACTAAACAACTAAGCAGCCCAGGCATCAATATTCATCCGGGGTTGATATTGCGGAGCACCCAACAACCAGCATAACCGGTAAATCCTGTCGCTGTCCTGTTAAATCTGTTAAGGTGCGCGAGAGCTTTCTGGAGGAATGTGACATCGGCACAGTGCTTACGGAAGGATGCGACAGCAGCACTTGTAGGGTCCTACCCGGATACAGCTGCAACAAGGTCGGGGTTGAACGGGTGAAGCGATGGAGAGTCCTGACTTCATCCAGGGATTGGCTGGTGGCAATATCTTCATAATCTTCATATGTCGAGCTCAACAAATGGGATAAATGGGATGATGATCCCAATGACTTTCATATTTTAAGGGGGGAAGCCAGCAGGGTGAGGCTGAAGCCAGTTAGGTCAAGGGCACTTTATTGTTGATATTGTTGGGTGCTGTTTAAGATGGGCGGGGGGAATAGCATGAAGTAACATCATGTTACACACAATTACTTGTGTGTAACGTTTGTTTCAAAATAGGTTGGCCCTGTCGTGCAGCAGCCCCTCATCCAATTCAAAACTGATTGGTGGTTTGGAACATTTTTTATATTTCCATATGTTGGGAATAATCATCCCAACTGACTTTCATATTTTCAGAGGGGTTGAAACCACCAACCAGAAAAGCTTTGAAATACAACTTCAGGTGGAGAAAATGAATCACTCCAATGTGGTCCCAGCCTTGAAGAAGTTCTATTCGGGTGCCGATATCCACAGATTCATAAGTGTCCTCATTAAAGTACCTTGCTGTGAATAGCAAATTTCACAATCCATGTTCGTCATATTGGTGCTTGTCTATATCAAACCACACCACCATTGTTTATACATCAATAAATAAAGACATGTACAAATATATATATATAATAATAATAATATATATATATGTGTGTATCATGTATCATCATATCCTGATTTTGTCCATCATATCCCCATTCCTAGGTATTGTATATGTTTTGGCCGCAAGTATCAAGTGTTAGTCATTGTTAGTCCATGACGTCTTCCCCAACTGCATCCAACATCCCATCCCTGGCTGGTGGGCCACCAGATATTTCATATTGTCGATCATTGCTGGCAGGATGAATGATTTGATGAATGATGAGTTTAAGCGGTTTCTAAGAACAATGACCAAGGCTGGCTAAGGTATGTTATGTATGTTTTTCCGGTTAGATGTTGCACCAACCAGATCCATTTCTTTGCTCATCCCGTAGGGCCCGTAGTGCAGCGATTTCAGCCAGGTGCTCACGGGAACCTATGCCAACCAGCCTAGAATGGACGAATGTGTGCCCATCGTGTGTGGCAATGGATTGAGGGAGACGGGCGAAGATTGTGACTTGAACTCTTCATGTTTTTGGTTTTGGCAAAGGATATAAACCACCGGTTGGACTTTGCAATGGTCTTTGATTTTCCAGGCGCGTTGTTTTTTTTTTGATCCCCTTACTGGGGGGAAAAAACGCGAATTAGATTGGATAAGGTTAGATTAAGTTGGATAATCGGACAAGCAAGGCGCACCGACAGCCAACTTGGAGGCAATCGTCGACAATTGTATAACGATTCTGAGACACATTTTAAAAGCTGAGCCACATGATAAATTTCATGATGAAAAATCTAAACATTGAAATGGCGTATATATATAGTATACACATCTAAAACACAAGTCATGATGACCAGTCTTACTTCGGTGTTTAGCTCCTCACTTCGAGTGCAGCTTTTGCAGGTCTTTCTTCACCAGTCGCTCCTCAAAGCAATATATACGGTATGTGCCAAGATGCAAACAAAGACATCCATGTACCTACTGCACATGGTCCTACATGTACCTACCGCATGTATACAGGTATCTACTCTATGTATGTTTGTATGTTTGTGATTGTGTGTGTGTGTTTGTTTGCCTATCTATGTTTGTTTGTGTGTATGCTAGGCTGCTAGTCTATCCTATCCTAATCTCTTAATCTATCCTGTCCTATGCCATGCATCTATCTATAACTACCTATGTACACTTTGGTGGTGTAGGCGACTGCAGTGATAAGTATAGCATCATGCATTGTAATTGTGCGTTGGTTTGACCGTGGGATTCCGGCTTGGGTAGGTACACACGCGGAAAACATATATAGATAGATACAGTTTTTCATTCAGTCATAGACACCGATATGTTTGATTGATGGATGGAAGACATGCTGCAAGCATGCTGGAAAGGTTGATGAAAGCCTCCAATATACTAAAATGAATGTCTACTGTCTCACGAAGTCTTGAAGTTTTGGTGCGCCTGCCACTTGTAAGAAGATGACTCTTGATTTCAGCCTTCATCTCCAGCGCTCACCAGGGATGCCTTTCCCACCAAAAAGTGATGGTTTCTTTCTGAAGTTTGGTTCCGAGGCGATGATCGAAACCAAGCTGATGGCGACGGTTGCTCATCCACTTGTCAGGTGGAACTGGGCTACACCTGTTCTCGCAGCGATTCTGCACATGCGGACGTGTGTCACGGACAACAGCCTATCTTTACGGAGGATTTTAGCGCGTCGACCTTCGATTTGGAAGGCCACATGTTGATCTTCAAACCAGCACCAGAGGGATCTGAGCATCGTGGAAAGTATGAGATGTGCAACATGGCAATGATTTCAAAGTTTTGTTTTCCCTGCTTGCGCCTTCATTACACAGCTGATAGCTACTGAGAGTTTCCCACCTGCTAAGGCAAGCAGCCCCTGCTGAACTCGTTACATCCAGATGTTCCCTCCACAGCAGCTGAAAAGCTGAAGATCTTCGAGGATGACGACAGCGTGGCGGTGGACTTGCCCGAGGCCTTCCCCTTTTTTGGCCGTGCGTGGAGGAGGATCTACGTGAACTCCAATGGCCACTGGGACTTGTTTGGAGATAGGTTGATAGGTTGGGGTAAGCCAGGTGTTGAAGCTGCTCCGTTGTGTAAGTTTTAAGGGGTTGGTTTCCTTCAACCGTGACCTTTCTTCATCATCCTCATTTCTATAAGTGTTCCCTTTTCAATGAAGACCCTGCGTTGTCAGCGGCTGTACTGTAATTCAACAACAGTTGTGGAAAATCATCATTCAAATTTTAATAGGTATAAATCGGCCATTCCCCATAGCTATGTTAAACTACCAGATTACCAGATGGTTTCGTTTCTTCTGTGCAATGCTGCGAGGTGTTGTCACCTTTGAGCTGCCCTACGAGAGTCATAGGGGTACGATGGAGGGACACTTCTTGGCCCCGCGCGTGGCAGCTCTCTTTGCTGATCTGGCGCCTCAGGAGGGCGGCGGAATTTACCTCGAGGTCATCAATGGCACATCAGCATCTTGGATGATAGCAACGACGATGTTTTTTTTTTTGGGGGGGGGAACTAAACATATTTAACTAAACCGCATTGGTCCAAGATTCTTTATGATTCATGGGGCTCTTAGTAGGGCCCCTGGAATCAGATCATTGACTAGGCCACATTGCGAATCGACGGGGTCACATGCATGTTTTTTTTGGAGGGTAAGTTCTTTCAAGTCCTTATAATATGAAATATAAGTTGCTTATTGGCACAAATCCTGGCCCATCATTTTTATCGCTAAGAAAAAGGAACACAGTTTTGCTACCTTAGAAGTGATATTTAGTTCCCATAGTAGTGTTTCAGGGAAGACGTGCCCCAATGCCTTATTTTTGGATGGAATGAAGCTTGTTTTTGAGCTATTTTCCCCTAGTCAATCCAGTGAAAGTCATGCATTTGTCAGTCAAATCTACATCTTTCATAATTCGTGCTTGTTAAATTCGTGTTTTCGCTGGCTCAATCCCATTTTTGTTGGTTCAATCCCAACCTTGTTCAGTTGAATGACTTTTTTGCTGGATAAATCATGTGAAATATTGTGAAATTAAATCCACCTTGTTTCCTGGCCCATAAAGTAGTTTGGCTTTTGCCCGGCTTTTCCTAAGGTCCTGTTCGTTATCCCCTGAGGTTTGCTTGCTTCTTAAGCCATCCTAAATCCCAAGTTGTGTTGGTTACCCTAGGGTATAGGTTTACATAGATATGGAAAATCACCAACCATTTGTAGACAAATTTTCCTGGGGTTTCCCCATGGGTTTTCCACATTGTTTTGTAAACGTTTACCCTGTAGTGTAGCTATATAATCATCATCTATATAATGATGCTTGGAACTCAATTTCATCATACCAAAAATCATTAGTCATAGAGATAATGATTATATTAGATTGATGAACCATATAGATGATGATTTTAAGTTATCGCCATGAATTGGATATTTCTGGCTGAACTACACCCATTTAAAAAAAAAAAAACGGGCCTCAGGATCCGCGCGTGGCGATTACCTACGAAGGCCTGTCGGAGTTTGGACGGAGCACTTCGCAGAGCTCCTTCCAGGCCCAGCAACACCATGGCAACAGGATTTCTTTGTTTCGGGGGTATAGATACATGATAACATTGTACAGTAAAGTTGGTGCAAAAGGGATGTTATATTATGTTATATATGTTTAAGTTTAAGCATCTAAAGTGTTTCACTATGTTTCACTATGTTTCACTATGTTTCACTATGTTTCACTATGTTTCACTTGTTTTTTGTTATCTATCAACCTTTGGGTTCTGTTTCTGGCTGGGCTTACTTTAGGTTGTGATGAGAACAGGGAAGGATAGAATGCAAAGGGGATCAATTCTGCTAGAACTTCCAATGGATGATGCTTGAAGTTAGGATTGAGCTACCCTCTGGTAAATTAACATAGACCCTGGCAGATAGGGGTTGGAAGACTAGTTTCAATTAAAAATTGGCTATTTTCAGGGTCTATGTTTATTTACCAGAGGGTAGAACTTACCAAAACAACCTAAAACCAAAGTTGTTTTAGTTTTATAAGTGAAATCACCATCCATAAGATTTTTCAAACCAACCATCACAAACCATCCGAGCAGTTGGTTTCTGGTTTCTACAGTGCGACATTGAAAAGATGGGGATGGATCGAAATGATCCCGCTAAATTGCTTGAGGTTGAGCAATAAGTTTTGTAAATAGAAAACAATCATAAAACTGTTCTGTTTAAAATATCAAAAGAACACTTTTAACAAAAACTCAAAGAAATATGAACAGATATAGAAGAAGATCACCCTCTGGTAAACTATATAACAGTTTGCGAACTTGAAAATGGCCCGGTCGAAATCTGGTTGGTGGTTTGGAACATTTTTTATTTTTCCATATATTGGGGATACTCATCCCAACTGACTTTCACTCCATCATTTTTCAGAGGGGTAGGGCTCAACCACCAACCAGTAATCATTGATAAACCATATTATTCAAGATCATCAACCATTAATATTAACCATTATTAACCATTATTAACAGTATATTAACCAACATTTAGCCATGAAAAATGATGGACATGTCCAAAAAGGGTCGCCTTCGTGGGATCGTCAGGTGGCCCTCTACTTCGACGGTCGGATCCGCGTGAGTTGGTCCTCCGTCCGCGCCGCCGCGCCTTTCGTTGGGGTCTCAGGTGGAGCGAGGCCATCCAGACAGTCCCTGCACTTGGAGAAGGGAGACTCGGACAGAGATATGTTGCCAACATGGGGGTTGGTAAATGTCATGTAAGGGATATAAGATGTAACCAATGTTAGATAACGTCATTTACCTAATATTATGGTATAGTTGAGTGTTGGGCCCTGTTTAGTAAATATGTAAATGTTCTAGTTATTTGTTGAAAATAGCATAGAAAAACTCAACAAGAAGGGGGAGATATGTCATCTCCAACAGATACCTTTTCAGGTGATGTTTACCGACCGCTGTTGGTGCGAGAACCTTCTGGTGGATTTATCCTCTGGCAAGCAGTGGACAATCCCCTATAATCCATATATGGATGCTCCATTGCCATGTTTGATCAAACAAAAAGACCAGTTGAATGGTATAGAATGTAACTTGCAACTTGGAGAAAGGGCAACTCGGCTGGGAACATCTGGGAACCGCCTGTGCCCCCCCGGTCATCAATCCAGACTTGAAAGGAACACGCACGGTGGAACGCCCTGCAAGCTGTGGAGGTAAGACTCATTCTTTTCAACATGTTCCAAACAAGTATGGTTGATTGCATTAAAGCACTATGAAACCCTTTAAGGCCAAGCATCCTTAAACCAATATATTTGGCTAGTATAAAATATATAAATCCCTCATACCAATTATTGAAGGCAAGGCTCTTCAGTGCTTTCACTAAGGATACCTCTTGCTGAACGTGTCCGACTTGATGAGTCGCCCGCACCGCACCTATTATGCCATGGTTTCTACCGGACCTGTGGATGGATTTTAGCACCCATTTATGGTAAAAAAAAGGGATAGTTGATTATTGGGTTTATCACATTAGAATACCCAGATGCTCCATGTAGTATAGTATATTTACCTACATTTGGGCCATTTGTTGGGTAAATGTAGGCAAATGTTCCATACATTGAGCATATGGGATACATTAGATCCATTTAAATCCCCCCAAAAAAATGCAAACATGTTGTTGGTGATGCGAGATCATACCCTATATGAGCCTACATCAGCCTGAAGTGGATAGAAGATCGGCTTGGACAGCTCCTAAAATTGAAAATTGGGTGTACTCCATGATGATACCCTGGTAAACTATGGTAAACTGACATAACTATGGAACATCACCATTTTCAATGGGTAAATCAACTATAAATGGCAATTTTCAATAGCTATGTTAGTTTACCAGAGGGTAATGGGCTGAAGATGTTTTTTCACGTCGGCTTTGCAGAGCTCTGCAAGCTAGGTCGGGGCATCACTGCGGAGTATAGCTCCAACCTGGGCTTGTACACCCAGGAGAACTGACACAGTTGAGGTTACAAATGGGGAGAACTTTACAAGCATATGGCGAAAAAAAGAACATCAGTTCAGATATCCGCATATGTATACACACACATATATATATATATACATATGCACAAACCCCAATTATTACAACTATATATATATATATAGAGAGATCGTTTCCAAGTATTGTCCCAACATTTTGCTGACTATCACCGTCCATCATGGAAAATCGTATGACCAACCAGCATGAGGTGGCAATTTGCAGGAGTTCGTCCATGGTCGTCCATGAGGCTCCAAAATTCACTGACATTCATTGGATTCATTGGCGTTTTTTTTGATAGAGACCTTACTTGCCAACCGTCAACCTCAGATCCTGTACTAGTTGGGCATCCCCATCATAGCATTTTTTCTTCTGTTTTGTTTGTTTTTGACGCCTATGGTCACTTTGCTTGAAAAACAATCCCATGCGAAAGTCTAGTTTTGAACATGCATGATCATGCATGGGTTTGTGGGTACGGTATGGAAAAGTACCGTGGGAATACAGGGCCTGTGCTAAATAGATGCATCCACATGCTTTCTTCACTTGTTTAGTCAGATGGGTTGAAACCCATGACAAAAACATGGAATGGTCGAGTTTGAAGAAGAGGAACCTGAAGCACTGTGATTGAAGGGTTCAACACTTTAGCTGGGGACCATGTCTTTCCAAGTGTTGCGCGTCAACCCACATTGACATTAAAGTGCAATGAATTTAGAGAGGCAACATCAGAAGTAAGTCCACTGGAAATCATCTGAGGTTCCTTTTTTTCTTCCACCCCCAGACATCTTGGAGGTGGGCTTTTGCATCCTTTCCAAAAGGACATGACCTGGGAGTTTTGGTACAAGTTGGATTCCTTGGGCACACAGATGCCCATCATCACCAACGCGGTCAGCGGCGTCTGGAGCATCGGCTTGTTGTACAACGAACGCATCTTCCTGGTGCCATGGCGATGCCGTGGCGGTGCGTCATGACTTGGCGATACATCCTATACCTTCTGGTAATCAAACATGGCTTGAAACTCCCCGAACTAAAAGGGACAATTCAGAATATTATATATACATAATTATACATATATATAAATATATATATATACACATTTTTTATATGTCTAATTATGATTATATTATATATATATATTCTATCCCGCCATGGAGCTGATTACCACATCATCATCTTCATGATTTTTTCGCGAGCGCTTTTGATTCAGAGTGGGAAGCCTGACATCTTTTGGGGCACTGGTGACTGAACGAACTTCAGGGTGACAGGTTTAATGGCCAGATCTCTCTGGGATGTATGGGAAAACGGTGGTTTAATGGCATTTAAATGGGACAAATCTCTACAATATGGTTAAAACAACGGGAAAATGGTGGCTGAATGGGATTTAAATGAGATTTAAACGGAACCGTAGTGGGTTATAACCAACTATTAACTATTATCGGAATTAATCTGGGTAAAACAATGCCATAAACCACCCATTTGGGAATGGTAAGTTGGTACCAACTATAAAAATGGTGATGACTGCGGGATGGTTTATGACATTGTTTTACCCACATTAACTACATGTTTGCATATTGATAAAGGCCATACTATGCAACTCCATCAGTCTCAACTACCTCGAATTTCCTGTCACATGTTACATCCCACTATTCCTTGCACCCGTCAGACTGCTTGTCTCGCGTTTTTAAGGATGTGAATGAAACCGGCTATCTGACTGTCGGGGTCCAGGGTCGAACAGAGACTGGGTGGTGTGTTTGGAAAATGTCCAGTCTTGGGGTAGTGAATATCGAGTGGTCTACCATCTGGTTATGACTAACAGTTCGCCATGGAAAGATCCACCATTTTTAATAGGTAAACCCAGGTAAACCATCTATAAATGGGCCATCTATACCATGGCTATGTTAAATAACCAGAAGGTAACAGTCTAAGATGGAGATATAGCCAATGAGGGTAAGCAGTGATGAAGGATCAGAATGACTCTTGTAGATCTTGAATGTTCAGAAGTGGTAATGTTAGTAAAGCAATATCTAATGAACCCATCCATATTTTCATGGTTTACACCAGCCATTTATGAATTTCTGGAAAAATGGGGATGGTTTAATGTGGTAAAGGATTTCCGCTTTTTTTTCTCCATTGAATCCTATGACATGCTAGGCTGTCACCGTCAGTTTGCCCATTTTCTCCGTGATTACTGGTGAGCGTCCTCCTTTTTGGTAAACCTTTCTTTGAACCACACAGTACTGAGAATACCTGGTGGGTTCTATGGAGTACACATCCACTTCCTGAGCCGTTGATTATCCCCAGTTGCTGGTGACCGTGCCCCTTTTTCGAAGCCACGAACTGCTGATGACATCCTTCTTTTCATTTTGCTGGACGAGATCAGATGTATACCTTTTATCTATATCCTTTTATTCTCCTTTTGTTGCGTTACATAGTCTTAGCAAGGTTCTGCAATGATATCTCCCAACTCATTCTGTGGATTTGTCTTCGCAAGGGCCATAGATATGAACTTAGACCATCATTCCTGCAAAATCTCTGAACAACAATGAAAAAACATATCAACCGAAAGGTTTTGGGTGCCAGAAAGCTCTTATTGAAACATATTGAACCATATTTAAAACTATTTGAAATATTATGAACTATTGCAAAAATTGGCTTACGACGCTTTCCCTGACAATTACATCAAAACAAACCCTTAAGTGCTAATCAAAAAATGAAATTATCGTCAGGGACGCGAATAATAATCAGTCTCCAACCAATCAAATTTTAGTATTAAGATTAACACCTCAAATGGGATCTTGCTTCTTAAAATTGTTTTCTAAAGACGATCAATTAAAGATCAAACTGACCAACCTGAAATTTCCCGAAAATGACAATCTGGAAAAACATATTATTAATTGTGGGGGGGTTGAAATAGGAAGAGGGGATTAGCATGGGAGAGAAGGAAACAGGCGGACAATTGAGCCTGTGAGATTGTGGGTTTTGCTTGGATGCACTTTTGATTCCTTTTTTTTGACAACAGAAAGGCTCCAAAATGAAGGGGTTCTAGGATCATAAATCATAAGCTTGATTTCCGAAGATTTGATTCCAGAACCCTCCCAAAACAAGCTGCCAAAGGTCTAGAAACAATTCGTTGATCCCCAGGGCCCCCTTTTATTGCGTTACATAGTCTTCACTGTTTGAGCCATGGCATGCCATTCCATCTAGCTTGCTGAAGTTACTAAGCAACATAATTCAGATATATTCAGATACATGATTTTCAGCTTGCTGAATGGTCATGGTTGAAGTAAACACCCAATGGGTCAGGGGTCTATCATGGCTCTCGGTAATTTGCACAAATAAAAACATACAAAAACATTAGTGTGAATTTGACGCCGTCAAACTACTTCGATGGCCTGCCAGGTTGATGTCTACATGCCGCTGTACGCTGCCATTGGTTCAACTTGGCCAAAGGGCCCTTGAGCATGCCCCGACATGAAAACGTTTGTGGGACTTTGGGTGCCTGCACGTGTTTCCCCCGAAAGGACATCCAACTTAGAGTGTGGTTTGTCGTGGTTTGGTTGTTTCAACTGAACTTTCCATATTGGTAGGCGGAGCTTAAGTGCTCCGGGGATCTTAAGTGATCCAAACCGTTGCTGAAAGCCATGGCCACTGGAACTAGTGACAATGCCGAGACCCTCACGAAGGACACCTTCATACCACGGTTTGACAATACAACTGCTGGTTACAAAGAATGGCGAAAGCGGATACAGCTATATGCAAGACGCATGGCCATTCAAAAACGAGAGTCTGAAGTAGGGATTTCAGTTTTGTCCACTTTAACTGGTGCCTCCTGGCGTCAATGCGAAGACCTCGAAGTCAAGGATTTAGAAACGGCCGATGGACTGGGAAGAATTCTGGACAGGTTAGACGCGCAGTGGCAGTACGATGCAAAGATCGAAATGCCAGAAGCCTTCGAAAAGTATTTCTACAAGACCTACCGCACCATGAATCAGACAATGTTGGACTACTGCACACAATCTGGACAAGCCTTGCGAGAGTTGTCAAAATACAAGGTGACACTCCCAGATGAAGTTGCTGGATGGTTGCTGATGCGCAGAGCTGGTCTGACAAAGGAGCAAACACAGCTGATTCAAACAACAGTAGGAACAGAAACAACAGTTGAGAAGGTTGAGAAAGCGCTCTACCTCACCCTTGGCCAGAATCACAAAGTGCCCTCCCCTGCAAAGTTCAACAATATGCGTGGTCGATGGAAAACTGACCGTGCCCACTTTGCCGAGGACGAGGTGTACTATGAAGATGATGGAGAATACCCTGATGACACTGCCTATGATGATGATGGCAACCCAATTGACTATGATGGGGACGAACTCTACTGGCAAGAAGAGGAATGGGATGATGTGCAATCCACTTACTATGGCTCAACAGCTGAAGACGTGCCTGCAAATGACGAAGTTTTTGATACTGAAGAGTTTGACCGAGTCTATGCTGCATACGCTGACAGCAAACGTCAGCTGAATCAACTCCGAGTTTCTCGTGGATTTTTCCCTGTGGTTGCAGTTGCTGGTGGTCAACAACTTCCACTTGCTGCTTCCTCCTCAGCCTCCGGAAGTCAATCGCCTTCCAGGACTGGTTCAAAAGGGAAGTCAAAGGGTAAGTCAAAAGGCAAAAAGGGATCAAAAGGTTCAAAGGGATTAGGTTCCCCCAAAAAGAGTATGTCAAGTATCAAAGAAAGGGGTGAACATATGTCTTCAATGATGTGCTTGCGATGTGGAATGTTCGGTCACATGGCCGCCAACTGCCCCACCAAGAGCTCTAGCACTTCACCGAGCAAGAAGCGTCCTGCTGACTCCAGTGCAAATTTCGTTGGAATGGCTCAGCATGTGATTTCCGACAGCAATAGTTGGGTTACCGTAGAACCTGATGCTTGCATACAGGATGGTGGTGCTTCAACATTTTTAGCTGGTTCTGAATACGTGCTGAGGTATCTGAAATGGCTGGAATTGATTGGAATGGATGTGAAACACTTGCACTTCAAACGTTGCGACAAAAGCTTCAAGTTTGGAGGTGATGGTGAAAGTGTCAGCCGTTGGATGGTGCAATTGCCTGCAAAGCTAGGTGATAAGGTTGGTCGCATTCAATGTTTTGTGATCTTCGGTGCCACTCCTATGCTGCTAGGTCGCCCAATTCTGGAAATGCTGAATGCTGTGGTTGATTTTGGTGGTAAAAGGATGAGCCTACTGGGTGGTGACTGGCAAGAAATCCGCCGCGGAAAAGGTGGTGCAATGCTGTTGAAACTGGCTGATGGAGTCAAACATGGCTCAGAACTCATGGATGTTCAGTTCGACCTCATCAGTGAAGATGATGATCACGATCAGGTTGAAACTATGGCTAGCTTTCTGAAAGACATGCATGCTGAAAGTCGCTATGCCCAAATGACCGAAGTGGTGCAGAACTTCATGCAAACCAATGCCAAAGAACCCAACATGAGCGATGAAATCCTCCAAGCCGATGATGATGCTTTCCCAGAAGCAATTTCCTTGCCTGAATGCACGGTGAAGAAACTTGAGAACATGTGCAATCAACAAGCCGCTGAAGTGCACAACCAAGTCTCAGGTATGATTCACATGGCCAGAGATGGATCTCGAGCCAAAATACCTGTTGTTTGGGAAGTCTACGTTGGAGCAGGTCGCCTCTCGACCGAAGTCTCAAAGCTTGGTGCTCATGTTGAACGTTTTGGTTTGAATGAAGGCTGGGATTTTACACTCAGCACACACCGCAGAGCATTTCTCCACAAGATCGACACCGATGAGCCTGATGAAATTTTCATGTCCCCAAAGTGCACGTTGTGGTCACCAATGCAAAACATCAACATCAAATGTGCTGCTGATGCCGCTGACTTGGAAGAACGACGTGAGATTGACCATGGAACCCACCTGTCCATGTGTCACAAGGCCTACTGGAAACAGGTACGAGCAGGTCGACACGCTCACATTGAGCATCCTGAGAGAAGCCGTGCCTGGAAGACCAAAGCCTTTTCCACTCTTCCTGGCTATGCTGCCTTGTTTGATCAGTGCGAGTACGGTGCCACAACAATCAATGATGATGGATTTCAGGAGCCAATCAAGAAATCCACACGTATCCAAACAACCAAGATGTCCATGTACAAGCTCATGAACCGCCGATGTCAAGGTGATCACACCCACTGCCCCTTAGAAGGTTCTATGCCTGGTGGTGGTCAACGATGCCGAGAAGCTCAAAACTATGGCGTTGTTTTGGCAAAGCATCTGGCGAAAGCCATCATGGATGACGAGGATCTCACTCAACAGATCTATGCAGTAGATGATGCTGAAACTGGCACTTTGCGACAATTGGCTACGGCGCATGGATCTCATGCAGCTCGAGTTGCCCACCGTCTTCACAGAAACTTGGGCCATCCTCGAAAAGAAGTGCTGCTGAAGCTGCTTGAAGGCAAGCAAGTGAGTGAGAAGGTCAGAGAGGCAATCCAATCTCTGCACTGCCCCCATTGCCAAAACTACGGCATCAAGAAGGGTGTATCCCCTGCCTCAGTTGAACGTGCTGAGAACTTCAACCAAGTGGTTCAAGCTGATGTAATGTGGATTGAACTTGACAAGAAGAAACGTGTGGCAATTCTTTCAATGGTTGATGAATGCACTCGATACATGGCTGCCCGCATTGTGTCCGATGAAAAGTCCCCCTCACTGATCAAAGCGTTGGAACGTTCCTGGATTAGGTTCCATGGTCCGATGCAACAACTCAAAGTTGATGAATATGCTGGATGGGGATCCGATGCATTTGCAACCTGTGCAGAAAACCATGACATTGAGCTCAAGATTTCTCCTGGACAAGTTCATACAAGAACGAGCGTTGTTGAAAGACGACATCAACTGCTACGGCGTGCTGTTCAAATCTACATGGATGACAATGAGATCGCTGGAGTGGATGCCTTGCATGAAGCTCTCAACTGGGTTGTGCCCTCCCTCAACGAGCACACCTTTGTGAACGGCTTTACACCCACACAACTTGCAATGGGTCGACAACCTGCTGTTCCTGGACTGATGTCTGAAGAGCGCACGAAGCCTCCACAGCTGTCTGAAGGTCAACACCTTCAGGAGATCCTTAAGTGCCGATCTCAAGCCCAACAAGCATGTGCCAAAGCCGATGTTGATGTCCGATTGCGAAGAGCCTTGCTGCGTCAGTATCGTGGCCAAGATGAAGAACTGGTCGCTGGCGAAAGATGCCTCTACTGGCGTGAGTCAACGGATCGCTTCCACACCATCAAGTGGAAAGGTCCTGCCGTTGTGGTCGCAGTTCAACTTGACCCCGACACTGGCAATGTTGACACATACTGGCTTGCTCATGGAACAGTGCTGATTCGAGCTGGAAAACACCATGTGAAACGTTTAGTTGATGCTGAAGGTCGAATGTCTTCTCCTGTGGATGCCATGCGCCAAGTACGACAGCGACGAGTTGTCCGCCTGATTGACCTTCACAAAACCAATAAGAGGTCAATTGATGAGTTGGATGAAGATGATGCTGACTTTGACTTGGACGACAACCGCAAACAGCGCAAACATGGCACTCCTCCACATCAACTTCAACTGCATGACCCAGCTCCACCAGAATCTCCTGGACCGATTGCTGATGATGCTGCAACGGAACATGATGTTGAGATCTTGGATAGCCCAGCTGATGCTGATGAGTTCCATGATGCAATCGAGCAAATGGATCGCCAAATCGATCAACTTGAACAACCTCCTGACTCTCCATTTTCCTATGCTCCAACAACTCCTGCCGAGACAGTGATTGCCGACAATGATGAGCCCAACACCAACAACAATGATGCCAACACCACTGCAATTCCGCAGAATGAGATGCCGGCAGATGAAGATCTACCTCCTGTTCCAAGCGATGATTCTGAAGTTGAAGATGGTCAGAACGTGGCAGTTAACACATTGCCTGCCAACGATGACCAGCCAGCTGCAGCAGTTAACACTTTGCCTGCTGACAGTGGCAACACCAATTTCCAACAAAGACGCCGCAACATGGATCAAGGAGAAATGGCCTGGCTCAGAAACTTCCAGCGTCAGAGAAGACCCTTGGATGAACCAAAGAATGACCCTGAGCAGAAACGCCAAAGGATCTACAACAGTGTCGAAGTTGGTTTCTACAGTTCCAATGGTGAGCACAACAAGTTTGCAGGTGACATGTTGCCTGATGGTTGGACCTATGATGAAGTCTCCAACTCCTTTGTCCTTGGCAAGACCCAAGACTTTTGGTCAGTTGAAGAAGGTTTCCTGGTCCGAAATCATGTCATTGCACGTGACTCCTCATGGAGACCAACTGCCGATGCCATCAAAAATGTCCCCATTAAGTTGGGAGACTTGCAAGCCCTGAAAATCACAATGCGTGAAGGTGCCTCAACTATGATGGTTGACTCTGTTGCTGCTGCCGAGCGAAAGATTAGCAAGGATGGTTTCTTTGGAAAAACGTTGTTTCCTCTCACCAAAGAAGCTGCCCAAAAGCTCAAGATGCCATACATAAATCTCAAGAAGAAGATCAGTAAGTCCACTTCCGGCTCCATGGAAAACTCACCCTCTGAAGTCTGGATGGCTGCAACTCGCCCTTTGAAAAAGAAGAAGGACAACGAGGCTGATTTGAAAGAATCCCGCATGACAGTTGAAGACCGCCTCACCTTCATGACAGCAAAGAAGGCCGAGCTGCAATCAATTTTTGAGAATGGAGTTTGGCAACTTGAACTTGAGCCTGAGAAAGCATCAGAAAGCCGCATTTTGAAAGCACGTTTTGTTCTCAAATGGGCAGATGATGGTAAAGGTGGCACAAAAGCCAAAGCTAGACTTGTGCTACAGGGATATTCCGATCCCGACTTGCTATCTGGTAGCCTTGAGACAAGCTCTCCAACCTTGAACAGAACGTCAAGACAGGTACTGCTGTCCATTGGTGTTTTGAACCAATGGGAGTTTCTATGTGCCGATGTGGCTACAGCCTTTCTGCAGGGAGACCAACAAGCCCGTGAACTATGGTGCAAACTCCCCAGAGATGCTTGCACGCTGCTGAACATCAAACCCAACTCCTTGATGCGCCTCCTCAAGCCCATCTATGGCCAAGCAGATGCTCCAAGAGCCTGGTACCAAGTCGCCAGACGACGACTGGAAGAAGTTGGATTCACCCAGCACAAACTGGATGGTTGTTTGTTCAGACTGCATGATGCTGAAGGAAATTTATGTTGTTTGGTTGGATTACACGTAGATGACATGCTGATTAGTGGCGACCCTCACAATGCCTGCTACAATTCAGCCAAGAAGTTGTTGCGTGAAAAGTTCAATTTCAAACACTGGACTCACATTGATGAACGTGAGAAGCTTGATTTTTGTGGATGTTCGTTTGTGAAAACCTCCTTTGGTTATCAACTTGGACAGCCTGACTACTTTAGCAAGATCAAGCCGATCACCATCGACCCGAAGCGTCGAGACTCAGCAATGGCCACACAAAATGAGGTTAGTGCTCTCCGAGCGGTGCTTGGTGCGCTTCAATGGCCCAGCACGCAAACAGCCCCGCAACTTGGTGCAACAGTTTCTCTCCTCAGTGGTCAGATCACAGCTGCTACAACAGAAGACTTGCGTGATGCAAACAAAGCTCTAAAATTCTCCAAGGTCAACAACGATGTTGGACTCCAATTTCGTCCTTTAGGTGAGATTTCAAATATGGTTTTGGTTGCAATGAGCGATGCCTCATGGGGAATTCGACGTGAAGGCCACAGCCAAGGTGGTTACCTTCTCATGCTTGCTCCGAAAGAAATCCTGGATGGTGAAACCACAAATTACATCATTTTGGATTGGAGAAGTTTTCGTTTGCCCAGGGTGTCCCGAAGCTCTTTGAACGCTGAATCTCAAGCATGCGCAGCTGCAATGGATAGTTTGGAATATACCCGAACACTGATCCAAGGATGTCTCAATGCTGACTACACTCTGCAATCTCCAGGTGAATGGGTAATCAGCAAAACAGCTTTGGTGGTTGATGCAAAAGCTCTGTATGATTCAATTCGTGCAGAAGTTCCCCAGCTTTCAGGTGACAAACGAACCAAGATTGAGGTGATGATTGTGAAAGAAAAGATGCAAGAGTGCCAAACACTTTTGCGATGGGTTTCAAGTGAAGCACAGTATGCTGATGGCATGACCAAACCCTCAGCACGTCAGTTGCTCACTGACCGCCTTAGAACTCACATGTTCAAATTGCAAGCGGATGAAGATTTTGTTGCTGCAAAGAAGAAAACTCAACAACAAAGAGAAGCAAATGCCCGCAAGTTTGCCCTCTCAAAAGCTGCTAGCAAAATAGGTGGTTTAGCTCATTTGATTTTCATTTCTCATATCATGCCCGTCACTGGTTTTTCCTCCGATGAAGCCTCATGGTCCGATGATGCAATGCGCCTATTTGTGACTATGGTGATGTCTTTCCTCACTGGATGTTTCTGTATTTGGATGCTGCTTGGATTTCCAAAGATACTCAAACTGGAACCAAAGCGCGTGGCCTTCAACCTTGCCAAGCGCAACAAGAGCGTTCAATGCGAGATCGAGTACGAGGAGATGTCTCACATGTCCTATCAACTACACCTTGAACAACAAGACAAGGCGAGACTGGAAGACAGCTTCAAAAGGGAGATCGAAACACTGGAAAGCTATGCGCAGGTGATGAAAGATACAAGCGACACAAACAAGGAGGATGCCGACAAGTTCTTAAGTGAACTCAAAACTCTCAAAGTACGACTTCAAGATGTTGAACAAACCTTGACAGCAAAGATTCAAGAAGTGATTGAACTGGAAAGGCAGATTTACCACGTTCAAGATTCTTTGGATCGAGCAAACCAAGCAAATGCAAACATGCGCGAGCTCCACGACCACGAGATCGAGTTCCGCAGAGAGGTCTACGCCCTCAACAAGGCACATCGCTTCCACCTCTTCGATGACTGCGAGACATTGATGCATGCACGACCCATCACTATGTATGTCTGCAAGGAATGCGAAGAAAGACGTGAGAAGGAAATTGCCGAGATGGATCAATACCAGCACGGTTGGCGCTGACAGATCTGGAACAAAGGATGGACTGGAATAATTCCCATCCGCAAACGATGGATGGATTGGAACAGTTCCCATCCGTAACCTTACGAACAACAGTTTGCAAAATACACTTTTTACATATGCCCGGCAGACTGGAATTTTCCTGCCGATGAATGCAATGCAATTTTCCATATGTACTGGCGGACTGGAACTTTTCCCGCCGACAACAACTGGCGGACTGGAACTTTTCCCGCTGAAATGAAGCAATTGGTTGCAGATGAAGGTATCTGTTTTTGACCAACTCTTTTCCTCCAATGTGAATTTGACGCCGTCAAACTACTTCGATGGCCTGCCAGGTTGATGTCTACATGCCGCTGTACGCTGCCATTGGTTCAACTTGGCCAAAGGGCCCTTGAGCATGCCCCGACATGAAAACGTTTGTGGGACTTTGGGTGCCTGCACGTGTTTCCCCCGAAAGGACATCCAACTTAGAGTGTGGTTTGTCGTGGTTTGGTTGTTTCAACTGAACTTTCCATAATTAGTATATATAAACCCAATTTGTGAACCAATGTCCATTCAAGTTCTTCTTATCATAGAGAATCGCAGTCCAATTCATGCTGTAATTTACCAGATATCATCAGACTTTCAGGGCTTGCAGCTAACATGTCAATTCACTTATTGCTCCATATATTCGATTTCCGGTTGCATTCAGATATCATTTCCTTTCAATCCATATGCTTCCCAAGAAGGTACTCGGCCACCAAAATCATACCTAAAATTACCTAAATGATACTCCTTGTGAAGGGATTTGGATCCAAAGGGCTACATGGCTTCAATTTTGGCTGTATATGGCAAAATGCCAGATGAGATCCAGATATCAATCCGTCCAATTGTTCCAATTGTTGCTTATCCATATCCCATTTTTGGTGGTGCACATATATAAAAACACCATACCATGGCATACCATGGCTTCATCCCCCAGGAATACAAGGAGCAGGTGAGCGTCTCCCCCATTGTGGCGAAGAAGTGGCTCCACTTTGCCGTGGTGGTGAATCGTGGGGCCCCCTGCAGCACGCAGGACGAACCAACCTCTACGGTGTGCTCGCAGATTGAGGCGCTCTTGGGGGGTTGGGGGGTAGTTGGGTGATGGGTGAGCTAGGTGGGAACTGGGTTTTTGGATTAGTTCACCCTTGGCGCGTTTTTTCGCGTACCAAGGGTGGTTTTTTCTGACTTGGATTTGTCCAGTACTGGGGGACTTTTTCCCGCTGAACCCGGGAACAACATGGAGGAACCACCAAGTACTTTTTTTAACAGTGAAACATTGGGATTTGACCTTCAAAAATTGCGAATAAACACAATTTTTGGCCTATTCAACCTATTGAAAGATTGGGGATCCAAAATGCATGGGCCAACCTTGATAGAGTTTGGTCTTTTATTGTTTCTCCTCCTGTTGGCCATATATGAAGGTATGCACTAACCAGCTCGTGTTTTGGGAAGGGTATCCTCGATGGTTCCGGGTGAACTTTGGATCACCCATGAGAAGAACACCTCTCAGCATCCCCAGATGAGTCGTAACTCCTAGTTTGGACACGTTTCGTCACCTAATTCACCATGATGTTTGCTGTAACACGATGTTTTCCATGTTGATGAATGGCCGCCCAAAGCGTATGCTGATCCCAGTTGACGAAGACCAAAGCCCAATGCTTGGTGACCACATGATGTTCGCTTGTTGAATCTAAAACCCATGAACCCCCATTATCATTAAATCCTAAGACATTGAACCCCTTTAAATATTTGACAACGCAGCCTACCGGCTTTCCCTTCCCTTAACTTAGTGCTTAGCTAAGTTGGTTTATGATTCCAAGAACTAGCCGTTATGGTGATATAGTTGTATCGTTTAGACAGCCATATAATTATAGTTAAAGTGGGGGGTATCCAATTCCAACACCCTCCGGTAATCTACCTATGATAATTGGAATTTTTATAACTATTTTGAACATATAGTTGTCCATAGCTATACAAAAAGACTACCTATGGTAATCCAACAGCCATGGTGGTTTAATCTAACATAGCTATGGAACAGCCACCGCGGCTTCCAACGGGGGTGCCTTAGGTCTGGGTGGACCGTGTGAAGATGATGGACCTGCGCATAGGGACGGAGGGAGGTGGCGCTAACGTGGGCATCACCTTCTATGACGCTCGGCGTCATGTGGTAAACCCCGGTGGTTGCCATGCCATTAAAGGGAATTGGCCCCAAAATCACGGTATACTGTAATAGGGATTGAATGGGAATCCCATGATATCCCAAAATGCCATAAACCAGCCGTAACCATCCCATGAAATTTTCGATGGTTTATTTCATTAGTGCCATTTCCATCCCGATGTTCATAATTTACGTTGATTCAAAGAAAGCAGCCATTGAATATCCCCATTGACTTGGATGATAACTTGGAAAATTAGGGTCCTCCAAAGGGAAGCCTAAGGAAGAACAATAGGGATTGAACATGACTTAAATCAAGACAAAAGGATACAAAAGGCGGGACCTTAGTCAAAAAGACATGTCAGCCATGTGATTTGACCAGGATAGTGAACATGATCGAAAACCACCGTGATTGCAGCAGACCCCAGACTGCTTTATTGGAAAGCCATTTTGATTGTTGGCGCTGACCTTGACATCATTGAGGCCTTTTGGGACAACATTGCAAAAGCTATTCCGGCAAAATATGAAGATTGGACCAAGATTTTGCGTGCCGATGCAAACACAAGATTTGGAGATGCACCAACTGTTCACATTGGTGATTTGCAACCTGAAGTCAGCAATCCCAAGAGTGAACCTTTTGTTCGTTTCGTTTGCCAACAAGAAAGAAAGATTTGTTCATACCAGCAAGTTTTTCGGAGCATCATGAAGGACCTGCAGGTACTTGGCAACATAGCAATGGCGAATGGAAACGACATGATGTTGTTGCCTTTTCACGCCATATCCCTCTACGGCACTGCAAACCTTGGATAAGCGAAGAGATAGATGTCTCCCTCACCAAGGATGACCATAAACCAGGTGGCGATTGGCCGTGATGAGAACGGCCTGTTTAGAACTGCTGCATTGAAAGAATATCCACATGCGTTTTCGGCTGCTGTGGCAGCTACAGTCGCAGATCAACTTAGAGAAGTAGTTCGAACATGTTCGAACTAAGACCTGGCCAACAAGTGCTTGCCCAAGGATCCGTGAGAATGCCATGTCGTTGCCAGACTATCAAGGGGCCTAATTTTGTTCGTAATTCGAAAATTTGGCATGTGCAGCAAGGATTTACCCAAAAAAATGCAGAGAATCAGAAAAAAACCAGGAGGGTTCTCTCGAGGGTGGTTTGTCTGAGGACAGTTTCGAAGGGCTGGCCCTGGGAGGCAACGAGTCCCTTGGCGTTAGACGCAGATCACCGGCTCTCCAACGATTCATTGCAAGAACCATGGCCTTTAACCACCAACATATTAATATAGTATATATAGGTATAAATGGTTGAACATCTAAAAAGTTTAGGTAAATACATTAGGTAGGTATAGAGTTCAAACCATCTATTACAAACATAGAAGTGGAAAATCAACCATTTGTAGCGCATTTCGCTGGGAAACCATGGGTTTGCCACATCTATATTAGTTTACCCTAGGGTGACAAAAAATCCAACAATTATTCCCTTGAAGCATCTCTTGAGTCATTGATTTGTCCCGTGATAGATATCCCGTGGCAACACCAAACCCTATTTTTTAAGAGGGAAAACGTATAGATCCTCCACTCATGTTGTATGCTTCCTGGCAGGCATGTTTGTCACAACCAGCTTCTTGCAACAAGGCTGTAGGCCTCAAGTTTTCCTGCGCTGTGGTCCATAATCAAAGATCCAAGTGATTGAAATTTCTGTTGATCTACAGGAAAAGGATAGGTATCATACATAGTCTACAGTAGTCATGTTTAGTTTGTTCCTGCCCCAGATGTGCCAGGGCAGTAGGGCAACTGATCCTCAGTCACAAGGTGGATGACCCCCCACTTGTATGATCATTCAAGTTAGAAACTGGTCAAGAACCACAGAAAATATGCCCCCCTATATGATATATATATATATATGTGTGTGTGTGTGTATGATGCTGATGATGATGATGGTGGTGGTGGTGATGATGATGATGATGATGGTGGCAATGCTGATGGTGATGATGGTGATGATGATGATGATGATGATGGTGATGATGGTGTTGATGACGATGACGATGACCAACATGATGATGATGACGATGATGATGATGATGATGGTGGTGGTTATGATGATGATGGTGGCAATGCTGATGGTGATGATGGTGATGATGGTGATGATGATGATGATGATGATGATGATGATGATGACGACGATGAGGATGATGACGATAATGGTGATGATGTTGGTGTTGATGACGATGACGATGACGACGACGACGACGACGACGACGACGACGATGATGATGATGATAATGACCATGATGATGACCTATAGGTCGCGGATTTACCATACGAATATTTAACGAGTTACGTTCGGACTGTGGGATGATCCACCAAGTGGGTTCATGGAGAGTGTCACCTGGAGATTCTTGCTGAAGTCCCGTGTCTAGTGGCTTAAAGTATCGTTCCATTTTTCATGACCCATTTATCACCTTAAGATAAATGTTCACTATACCAAGGTGGCCCAGTTATAAGATCTTATAAGTTGGTTTATCAACCCCATGAATAATACCCTCTGGTAAACTAACATAGCAATGGAAAATCACCGTTTTTAATGGGAAAACTCACTATAAATGGCCATTTTCCATAGCTATGTTAAATTACCAGAGGGTAACTAAAATTAACTATATATACTTATATCATGTTGTATCCTCCAGGAGGCTCCGCGAATTCACCACGGTGAGGTTGTCCGCCGACGTGCCCAAAAGCATCGCGCAGTTCCGCGTTTACGGCCGAGCGCTCTCAAGGGACGAGCTAGGCCGGGGCGGTTGGGAGGGAAGTCGGGGAAGTCGGTCCTGGTTGAAACATGTGTGAAATCTTCACCTCTGAATCTCAAAATGCTCACACATTCCATGAGTCCCAACAAGGAGGGCCGGTATGGTCTAGTGGATACGACGCATCCCTCATGCGCTCATGCGTCAGACCCGGGTTCAATACCCGGGTGCAACGCTAGGCGGATATGCAGGCCAGGCTACCCCACCCGTGCAGTTAAGGGGATGAGCTAGTCCGTAAAACACTCACACCCATAAGTCCCAACAAACTGCGGCCATTGATCGAAATGGTTGTTGCTTCCGCCTCAATTAACATGAGGCTCCTGCACTTACGCCAACGCGTCGGTGGTGGATTTGGTTATGAGCTACGAACTCAACGGGAATTTCATGGATTTGGGTTCGGACGCTCGGTTTCAACGATGCAGGGCCGACCTTGTATGACTATGGAGAGCTGCCTATTTATAGATGATGATTTACCTAACAAGTATGATCAAGTATGCATGTTGATAGCCCATAACTATGGGAAAGCAGAGTTTTTTTCCGTTAACATGAATGTGCGTGTGGGGAAAACACATCGAATCTTGATACATATGAATATTCAACAATTATATATTTTGATCTATCATAGTGTATCTTGATGTATCGAGACCAACCGGGCAGTCCCAACATGGCCTGATAATCCATCATTAAATAGATGATTTTCCCAGAAAACTCCAGTTGGGTCGGGGGTTTTCCATGGGATTTTCCATCTCTAAGTTATTTTACTGGTAAACCACTGGTGTCCCATTCCGAAAATTACATTCATGGTGTGGTTTCTCCATGGTTTTCCAATGTTTTCCACATCGATTCTAGTTTACTCCAGAGGCGACCAGGCTACCCCTCCCCGACTTCCGAGTCTCAACTTCAAGGACTTTCCCTTGTCCATGTCTCCAGAGACGGTGGCATACTATGCTTACGACCTCCCGGAGCAGTGCAGCGCTGCCACCGTGGAGGAAGACTTGAGCAGCGCTGCGGTCTGTGTCCCTGCGGCCTCCTGTGGTAACTCGGGTGTCGTCGTTCCGGGCCGCCCGGAGTCGTTGTGTTTGTTTTTTCTCCATGGTTTTGGACCGGAAGAATCATGGTTTATTTGAGGGAAATCATCCCCCCCATGTTTGGCCCAACAATTCAGGTTAGTGAAATATGATGATTTACCGATTTACCCAGAAAAATGGGGGGCTAAGCGGCTAACCATTAAACAGATTTGATGTTTTTTTTTTTCATTGTCCTGGGATTTGGACATATGGGGTGGAGCATCACATATATATGGGGGGTTAATCTGATTTGTCCTGGAGCCGAAGTGGATGGTGTAAACATGTGTAAACCATGCCCCAATTCATGAGTCAGACCAGGTCAGACCTACCCCTCCACCGCAGAATTGGTTATTCCCAGACTATTTGGGGTCAATTCTTGGGTTTTCCACCATGACTTCAGTTTTTTTTTTTTTAATGGAATACTGTAGTGAGAAGATTATCCGTAATGTCAATGATAAACAGCGGCTCAGCATATCATATCCCAGCTGCAGATGGTTTTCAGGCATCCTATGGGGACTACCACAGTTTGCTTTGGAATATCATGTCCAGGGAACACGCATATATATATATATATATGATGTACCTATTCAACATGGTGATTGCCCATGATTTCCATATTATAGCTATGACACATCCTATCCGGAGGATAGTGCACAACAGCGCTACCGTTCAAAAAGTCAAATCAACCATTATTGGTTGACTTACAAGAAGATGGCCCCCCCTCCGTTATAGGTTGCTTTTTAAATCCCATTAACTATATAGTTAAGTTAAGTTATATCATGTCATATCCTCCATAAACCCAAACGTGAAGCGGCACCGTGAACTGTGCATTCGTCGGCAGCGTGGGGCCCTCAGGTGATGGCTACAGGGAAGCCTTTGAAGCCTGCGATGATGGAAATTTGGCACCTGGAGACGGATGCTCTGTGTCTCGACAAGGCTAAGGCAAAAAGGCTATGGATCATAAAACATGGCTTGTGAAAAAACAATGATTATTCATGTAAAACAAAAACATATTGTTTTTTTGTTGATTTTTGGATAATTCATTATTGATTACTTGGCGTTTGTTTTCTATGGCAATGATGCAAACATGATGCATTGGATAGTAGATGTTCGGATTTTGCTGTATATCGGTGATTAACATATTTATTCATGTGACATGTTCACTGAAGATGATGATTTTCTCGACGATCACCATGGACCATGACCCATTGATGTTTTAACGGTCAGAGCCATTCTTGCCTGGCCATGTTGTAGACTAAAGGGAAGGATGGACATTTGTCTCTTTGGATTGGTTTCAGGGAAAAAAATCAACCGGAAACCATAGATTTCCCCATGACATGGTGGGGTTTCCTGAAAAAAACAACTTACCCTCTGGTAAACTAACATAACTATGGAAAGATCCACCATTTTTAATGGGAAAATCCACGAACTAAATGGTGATTTTCAATAGCTATTTTGAGATAACCAGAGGGTAAATCCGCCAAGTTCGTCCTTTCAACCAAGGAGTACTGCCAGGTGGAGTTTGGCTACGCGTGCCGCGACGTGGCACAGCTGCCGACGACCACCTTGTCACCCAATGATTCGAATGCGACGAGTTCCAGCATGTCCAACGGGTCAGGCGCGGCCTGGGTTACTACAACGTGGGGTTTTCGTTTGATAGTTAATTATATAAGTTTATAACTCCAAGAACTATGGTCAATAATTGGTCAATGGTTTATGAATGTTTATATGTATGTTTCATGATACTTATATCCTTCAGTATCCATGGGGTTAATAAACCAACTTAAACAGATCACCTTTCGGGGACCTCAGCGCCGAGGCCAAATCTCCCTGTGCGAGCCGAGTGTCTGTGGCGATGGCGTGCTGGACAACGGCGAGGACTGCGACGATGGCAACAACGTGAGCTCCGATGGATGCAGCGCTTGCAGCGTGGAGCCGGGCTTCTACTGCACCATGGCGATCTGAAAAAAGGTGGATAAAGATGATGGTTAAACTACGCAAGTAACAGTCTGAAAAGGTTTAACAGACTTACCGTAACCATCCTTAGCCACTTTTTTAGTCAGTTCCTGCTTTTCTGTGCTTTTCTATTTTCATATCAACTGTTGATGCAGTCCTTGGTGTAGGCAGAACACTGGGGAGATCTACGGCATTACTATCTTATTTGTAGTCAGTTTATTGTTTTGTCAAACTCCTGGTCCTGGAGTTGAAAGAATCTTTGTCGCTTTCAATCTTAGTTTTGGCTTGGGCATGGTCAAATCAAAACTCAAATTCCAAGTAATCCAAGTAAACCATCCCGCTGTTGCGTGCCCAACTTTACAAGATCTACTGTTGAGGCTTAATTCTCAAAAGCTGCCTCATTTTCGACTTGAGCGCCACATGTTCCAACTTATGCACTTCGAGGTACTCGCGTGCAGGGCCAGCTCTCCAGTTGCGCAACGCGGTGTGGTGATGGCAGACGTGTGCTGATGTTTGAGGAATGCGATGATGCCAACACGGACTCCGGGGATGGGTGCCGTGGCGGGGAAACCGCAAACACCGCAAGACGTTTGATCAGATATGCAGAGGAACGCCTGAGAAAACGTGGCTGATTTTGTTTTCTAGTGATTTTTGGAGTTGCATTGGAACTCTAGTGATTTGTTGCCGGACCAACTACTGTTGCTGCTCGCCAATTTTCATCCCAGGTGCAGCGCCACTTGCACAGTGGAAGCTGGCTATGTTTGCCAAGATGGGACGGAGATGGTCCGGGACAACTGCCATCCCAAATGTGGCTGGCTGCGTCTTTTAAACATGGTTTCGTTGTGTTTCATATGTGTTGTCAGCTTATGATCATTCTGCTTTTGTGTGAAACATAATTTTGTTGTGTTTGATATCGTTTATTTTTTTTTGTGTTTGCTAGCTGAGGTGGTTCCTTATATTGGCGATGATGATGATCTATGATTAATTATTGCCATGATTATGAAAGGCATTTTTTCATTGTGACTTTAATTGCAATTATAGATATATATTATGATGTGTTAGTATGAATATCATGATGGTGATGACACTCCCAAGCTATTCCTGTGCTCCGGCACCGTCCTGCGGCACCTCCACAGCGTCTCGCCCGCCCAGGCGGTGACGGTGTCAAAGTGCCCAGTGAGGGCTGCGACGATGGGAACACGCTCAGCGGCGACGGCTGTTCGTCCAGTTGCAGCATCGAAATCGGCGGCTCGGCCTGTTGCGCGCCCTTAGCTCAACGGGCGTGCCCTGAGCTTAGCATCCGATAGCATCCGATAGCTAAGTTGACGCGCACAACATCTAATAACTTTGCGAACGTTTGGGTTTATGGAGGATAAAACTGTAGTATTCATGGGGTTATGAGCCAACACACATCACTGGGGTGCCACCTTGTGGGTCGCGACTAGCTACCAGGTGGCCACCCCCAATTGCGTTGGTGTATAACACCATCTAACAGATACATCATGATACATCTATCAAGCCAAGTAGGGCACCACCTTGTATGGCATGGTGATTTAGCAATTTAGCCATTGAAATTGGACTTACATAGCAACAGCAAAATACAAACCAACTATATCTATGTTAATAGATCAATCACGGTTTTTTTTCTGAGACAATGGATTGTATAATCAGCCATGCCTTGGAAACGCTAGAGAATTGCTGGCATGGATCCAGATCCAGCAATAACGGGAAGATAATGCAGGTATTGTATAGGCTTGGTGGTGCTTGACCATGAAGGATTACGGAAAAATTATGATTGACCATGAGGCTTGGTGGTGACAAAGTAGACTCACATGAAGCCTGCTAGTAGGGCTTCATGTGCGCAAAGTAAGAGTTTGTAAGGAACTCCAACCCCTATGTATGTATACTATATATATATAATTGAATGGAATTGGATGCTTATTGAAGGATTTATTGGGAGCCAGGGATGTTAAAACATGATGAATTCCCTAAGAAATGGTGGGGTAAAAAGCACAGTTGCCCACAAAATCAATGGCATGGGCACAACTACACATTCCCCGGTTCATGAACAAATGCTGAACCAACAAACTATTGATATTGTGTGTGTGTGTTCTGAACTTTGTCCAATCAGTAAGAGTTGAGCCTCACTGTTCTGACGAGCTAAACCTTTGTTTCCCACATTTCTTTAATGTTGTGGAGTCAAATCGGGCAGCCTGATCCTGCAGTGTTTGCAGGCAAATACCACCTTAGGGAGTAAAGCAGTTGCTTTGAATGCGCAAACTGCCTAATTTTCAGCACTATGCTTTTTCGCGGCAAACCAGATTGCCAGCCTGCCCAAAACAGCAAGTTTGACTTCTTTAGTGTGGTTTCATCTGATTTGATGAAACAAAATGAACCACAACCTACCCACGTCCCATATTGGGGGATGGTCATCCCAGCACCATTAGTGATTCATATGTCCATTGGAATGAATCTCATGATGGTGGGATGATCACCCGTGGAGCTGGCAGGTTATGCCTGCCACGGTGGCAACTCCAGTCACCGCGATGAGTGCAATCTCACGGTCTGCGGCGATGGCTACGTGGAGGGCGCAGCTTCTTGGCGGCGGGTCACCTTTTGTCACCCTCCAGTTATGGCCACGGCTATCCGGGCGGATCAGTGGAAAAATGATGGTCATTTCTGGAGTTTTCCATTGACGTGTTTCATTATTACCCTCTGGTAAACTAACATAGCTATTGAAAATGGCCATTTATAGTGGATTTTCATTAAAAATTGTGATTTTCCATAGTTAATTATGTTAGTTTACCAGGTTACCAGAGGGTATCTTAAATGGTTCCTTCCCAATGGGCATGTCCGGTCGGTGGTTCGTTTCTGATTTGGAATTGCGGACAGTAGAAGTTATTGGTGCAGCTGTGTTGAATGTTTTTGTTCCAGACCTGATGGCAACGGAGAGTACTGCGAGTGATGTGGGATCAGGGATACCTGGGTGTATAAATAATTATAACGACCTCACTGCGACCTCGCTGGAATCATGGTTAATAAGGGGAATCATCCCAAAATGGCCTAACTTTTCAGGTTAGTGAAATATGATCTTTTACCCAGAAGAATGCTTTCATCCCACTTCAATTTCGCTGGCTGTTTCACCGGCTCTTGGTAGCCTCCACCCTGAGCAACTGCTCAGTGGAAATCCCCCCTGTTTCTTGATAAACAAACTCCTTGGGGACCTTGTTGGTTTCAACGGTGATTAAAAACCCATCCCTTTTTCATTATTGCCCAAGGTTGTATAGTCCGGCTTTCTAGAGTTACAGACTTAGTTTGATAAATAAAGATAGAACTGTTTTTCCCCAGGATGTCATAGTTCATAATCATCTAATTCCAAGCTTACCATTGGTTCTATCTATTTGGGTCGCTATGCACAACATCCCAATTGTACTTGCTGGCTCATCCCACGAATCGTAGGTCATATCCCTGTGGGATATGTAGAGTTAATCCATTTAGAAATGGGGTGAGAGAACCTACTACAGTAACTAAGTGGAATGAGCCACCAAGTTAGTAGATTAGTTCGTTCATTCCGTTCATTCATTCCACTTTGTTTCTTGATGACACATGACATGTCACAAGAGTACCCTCTGGTAAATTAATGTTTAACTATGGAAAGATCCACCATGCTATTCATATGGGAAAACCCACTATTTCAATGGCCATGTTCAATCCCATAGGATCCATGTATGGTATATATGCTAGCATTGGGGGTATATTGATGGTAAATGTTACCATATATAGCATACATGGATCCTATGGGATAGTGATTTTGGTTCACCAGAGGGTTTCACATGTTTCTCGGTCCCTGCGGTTTTTCGCGGCAGGAAGAGTGCGATGACTTCAACGACTTCGGCGGCGACGGCTGTTCCGCCGTGTGCTTGCGGGAGATCAAGGACGTGGCTGGCCCAATGGGTTCCGAACCACAGCCCTAAGATTATTGGAATTTCTATGGGATGCAATGGTTATTTGTAGATATTAAGAGTCAACAAGAATGTAATGAATTGATGATTATAGCAAATATGGACTAAATAACAATGATACATTATGATTTAAGATAGCTATTGATGACAATTCTACGGAGCCACATCATTATGGCGACTCCCGACTCCCATACGACTCCCGACTCCCATATTGCCCCCTTACCTGGTCACCTTGATGTCGATCGTTGATCTCCACAAAAAAACCTGGTTTTTACCATTGAGAATTTTAATGTTCCCTTGGAATTTTGGGATGATCTTCATTGCAGGTTGTCAACATTCATTATCATATGGGTATGGATCAATACCTATTAATACCATTTTTAGGGGAATGAACATCCATTTACCAGCTATTTTGATGTTCACCAGGGGTACAAGGTTTTGACACACTGCCATATGACCTTCAAAGATCTGGCCACCAGACTTGGGTGTGTCTCGGCGTAGAGACTCGATGCCATTCCACGGTCTTGAACAAGTTCATTTCCCCAGTGTTAGACGGCCGTTTATGATGGGGTCATGCTGTTGATCAAATCGATTCATATTTTATATGAATCCGTATTCTGGCATATATACTTCAAAAACTGCAAATGTAGAGCAACACCCAAACGTGGATTTTGAATTTACTTTAAAACAGCTTGGCCGGTTTTATCCCCATTACTATAGTTTCCATTCCAGGAATTGGACTGAGGGAAAATCAACAGGAAGTCCTCCCAATATTTTTTTGGTAACCATATAATATAGTTATCCATTGATCCGACGTTGCTGAATATGCAAATCTCAATTTATTGCAGCTGTTTGCAGGTGAAATCCCATTATCACCTGGTTGGTTCCCAGCTCCCCTGCGAAAAGCTAACAACTTCTAATCCCATCCCCCGAATATCAAACAACCCCCAGAAACCATCGTTAAGTAGGGGATTTGCACCTATTTGGGACCATAAAATGGGGCTGATTCATATTAGTGCTTATCCAAAATTTATCCCAGAAAGACCGCAACAAAAAGACGAAAAATCTCAGGGAATGGCTGGGAAGCGGTATTTTTTCCTCCACGTTTCGCCCAGTTTTCACCTTGGCTCAACCTGGTGGACCCCGCACCCTTGGTGCCAGGAGGTGGCGTCCAATAGCGACACGCGGGTGGTGGTCACCGTTCTGCCACTGGGGCAGATCTGTCGGATCTACAACGCGCGAAGCCATGAGACATCGGAGGTGCTCTTCTCCGTTGGGGGTGGACTTCTTCCACACAACACATGGGATTTCTGATGGGATTAAAGCATCACTTATTAACATCACTTAGTTGGATTTAACCATCACTTAAAGAAATTTAAGCATCACTTATATAATGGGATATTTATAAGCATCACTTGATGTGATTTAAGCATCACTTAATGGGATTTAAGCATCACTTGATATGATTTAACCATCACTTAATGGGATTTAAGCATCACTTAATGGGATTTAACCATCACTTAACATCACTTAGTTGGATTTAACCATCACTTAAAGAAATTTAAGCATCACTTAATGGGATATTTATAAGCATCACTTGATGTGATTTAAGCACCACTTAATGGGATTTAAGCATCGCTTGATATGATTTAACCATCACTTAATGTGATTTAAGCATCACTTAGTGGGATTTAACCATCACTTAACATCACTTAGTTGGATTTAACCATCACTTAAAGAAATTTACGCATTTAAGCATCACTAATGGGATTTAAGCAACACTTGATGTTATTTAACCATCACTTAATGGGATTTAAGCATCACTTGATGTGATTTAACCATCACTTAATGGGATTTAACCATCACTTAACATCACTTTGGTGGATTTAACCATCACTTAAAGAAATTTAAGCACCACTTAATGGCATTTAAGCATCACGTGATGTGATTTAACCATCACTTAATGTGATTTAACCATCACTTAATGGGATTTAAGCATCACTTAATGGGATTTAACCATCACTTAACATCACTTAGTTGGATTTAACCATCACTTAAAGATATTTAAGCATCACTTAATGGGATTTAACCATCACTTGATGTGATTTAACCATCACTTAATGGGATTTAAGCATCACTTGATGTGATTTAACCATCACTTAATGGGATTTAAGCATCACTTAATGGGATTTAACCATCACTGAACATCACTTAGTTGAATTTAACCATCACTTAAAGAAATTTAAGCATCACTTATATAATGGGATATTTATAAGCATCACTTGATGTGATTTAAGCATCACTTAATGGGATTTAAGCATCACTTGATATGATTTAACCATCACTTAATGGGATTTAAGCATCACTTAATGGGATTTAACCATCACTTAACATCACTTAGTTGGATTTAACCATCACTTAAAGAAATTCAAGCATTTAAGCATCACTAATGGGATTTAAGCAACACTTGATGTGATTCAACCATCACTTAATGGGATTTAAGCATCACTTGATGGGAGTTAACAATCATTTAATGGGATTTAAGCACCACTTAATGGAATTTAAGCATCACTTGATGGGATTTAACAATCACTTAATGGGATTTAAGCATCACTTAATGGGATTTAAGAATAACTTAATGGAATTTAACCGTCACTTAATGGGATTTAAGCATCACTTGATGGGATTTAAGCATCACTTAATGGGATTTAACCGTCACTTAATGGAATTTAACCGTCACTTAGTGGGATTTAAGCATCACTTGCTGGGATTTAACCATCACTTAACATCACTTAATGGGATTTAACCATCACTTAATTTGATTTAACAATCACAAACATGTTTGTGTTTTTTTCAAGGTATTTAACCATCACTGAACATCACTTATATAATGGGGGATTTAACCATCACTTAATGGGATACAAGCATCACTTAATGGGATATAATCCCATCACTTTAATGGGATTTAAACATTTTTTTCACAGCACAAAAAATGAGATTTAAGCATCACTTTGTTCGATTTCACCATCACAAGCTTGGGATTTGTTTAATGGGATGTGTCATGGGTTTTAATGGTGGGTATCTCCTGGGAACGCATGGGAATCTAAGCCGGCGTCCCCGGCGTTGGTATCGCCGAAGGAAACGATTTAGAAAATCAAAGGATACCCTGCTGTGAAGAATGCATGTTCCAGTGATGTTAGTAAAGAGTTCCAATGATTTTGAGGTGTAACAACAAGTGGTCTGGAAGCATCTTCTCAACAAGTGATCAAGGAAGCTGGAAACCTGCTGCGGGGAGCTGGGAAAGCATGTAGTATAATAGATGCAGCATATCTTATACACTGAATATATCATCGATAGTTAATTGTTTCACTATGCGTACACATATGGCACATGGTGAGGCATTCTATACTACATATATAGATACATATATAGTACGTATTTCTATCGAGTATGATTTCAATGGTGTTTACAGGATGGGCCCCCCCAGTGATGTTTGTTGGCTTATAACCCCCATTAACTAGTTCGTTATATCAGTTATATCTACCATAAACTATAGAATTCAGCCACTTATAAGGCAACTGAACGCCATCTTGGGGGCTCCATCCTGTATGGAAAGTACCATGACGTCGACTCTTCAGACTTCGCTTGGACCGTGAGATATGTCCAGGACACGATGTACCACTTGCAGAACACCATAATCACCGGGGATTTGTCGCAGCCAGCCCCTTGGTTTACGAATATATATATATATATATTATAGTATATATATATAGATATATACAGTATATATATATGTGTGTGTGTGTTATTTTATATATATTATATATATAGGTTTCTTCGTTTTTGGGCCGAAGTCAATTTGCCGGACTTTTCACTAAGAATTCTCACTCAAGGCATGTCCTGAAATTTGGGAGCCAGCAACTTTCTCAGGATGTGGTGATTGATTCAGCCACCAGTATGACCCAGACTCCACTTGCCAAGTCAGTGACCCTCTACCAATGACCTCAATATGACTCATATAAAAATGTTCCTGTTTTTCTCAAACCACCAAGGAACCACTCACTTTGGAACATTCTTCGGGGATGGTCTTGAGACACCACAATGACACCCCGAAGTTAGCGGCAAACAACTCGATTCTTATCCCCTCAAGGGCAGTACATGGGGTTTTCTCACGATGTGCAATCCCCAGAAAAGCAAATGCTTGTCATCATTGTCTCGTTTTCAAAGATGTTATATTTTGGCGCGTTTCCAATTTTCAGACACATTCCCACAAGAATCCTTGACAAGTATGTTGTTGGTTATATCCCAATCTATAAGTGATTTTGTGGAATAATATGGCGTTGTCAAACCAACAGTTTATCATTTCAATAGTTTTAAATCAAGATGTCAGATCATTTCAGCATGTTTCCCGTCTTAAAACTTCAACAAAAACCCAGCATTTTTTCTCGGACAGCCGTCCTGAACGCCTGAGGATGACTTGCGCATCCGCATCCGCGTGTTGAACGGCTCTATCTCCATGGAACCGCTGGTGGCTGACTGGGTTTATCCTTGGGTTTGTCCATGGACTGCCAGAAATGGAGGATTTTCCATGGGATTTTCCATATCGAACTGTTGGTTTACTGGCAAGTCAATGAACACTCCCCCATTTTCTGGAAAAATGAATCAAACATCATTCACCACTGCAATCTGGTAGTTTTTATTCATGGTATTATCCGTCCGAACTTGTGAAGATGCTCCCCAAGCTGCAAAACATATCGGGTCTACATTGCAGCCTGCTTTCCAAAACACTGTCCAATCCAATTCCAAAAAAAAGATGACCCCTATGCGACTGACTAACAAATGATAGGTTTTCTTCCCACCAGCAATTTGATTGGAATTATGGAACAGTCCCAAGGACACAGGAAACCCCCTATACTTGGAAAATATCATGGGTTTTCGGTGAGAATTTCCGTTTAAATCCAGAGAGAGAGAGGGAGAGAGACAGAGGGAGAGAGAGAGCCATAGTGGCCATAGTGTTGCTTAACAATGCTTAATGCGTTCCCATTTTTGATGGTTAACCTTCACACATTATTGAAACAAAACCTAACCTCTGATAATTTAACGTAGCTATGAACAATCACCATGTTTAAGAACGGTAAATCATCATAAAACATGTGTAAACGGATCATGTTCATCCATGTTCCATAGCTATTTTAAATATCCAGAGGGCAACATTTTTTTAAGTAACCCCATAGCGAAGCCCAAAAAGATAGCGAAAATCCTACCACTATTTTTGGCAAACTCCTTGGTACATCCTCCCGTTTTCCCGTTCCAACCATCGGGGCCAGGTGAAGCTCTACCGGTCGCAAGGGCGCCTAGATGCGGTGTGGGAGGCCATTGTGGAACGGGAGACGGGTGTGCGATTCTATCCCTATGGCGATTTGATGAAGGACACCTGGCAGTGGAGCACCTGGAGGCGGATTTTTCATGGGCTTTAGTCCATGGGACCATAAATGGGAGTGGGATTTATAATAGGACTTTAAATTATGGGATGTAGAATTAGAACTTTGACAGGGTTTATGTTTGGTTTACATGATGGAATCTATTTCACTATTTATATATGATTTACTGGTGCTTAATGGTGATTAATGGGGTGTGGAATAGGATGGTACTGGATGGTATTGGAATATAAAATAACTTTAATGGGATTTATAGTTTATAGATGTTTATACTGTTTAATCCAACAAAACTGTAAAAGCAAGAGCATGTTCATTACTTCAATGCGGCCTAACTTTTCTATTTTTTTGGGATGCCTGTGTTTTAGGACTATATGACGACCGGTACGTATAGAGGTATATTAATATTATAATTTAGATTTACCCAACTATTTCCCATAGGATCCATGTATGCTATATATGGTAACATGGATCCCATCAATATACCCCCTTTATGTTAGCATATATACCAGCACCATGGATCCTATGGGTTTGAATATGTGTGTTGACTTTTTGGGATGGGTTGCAGCAAATCTGAGGACACCATCATCTCTGGAAACCATTTCCAGGTGCGAATCCCACTCGTGGGGATGAACGAAGCACCTGGTTTGGCCCGAGCTTTTAGGAGCTAGAAATGATGGTGATGTTTTTTTTGGTGGATGTGGAGGAAAATTCTCAAGATCTGGGTTTGAACCACGCTTGAACTCAAATGAACCTAGTTTTGATCTAGAATAGCTAAGAATAGGTCATTTGATGATGTTCTACTAGCATCGTTTGAACATAGAGTAGTCCAAAATCCAATGTATATTCAATGTATCCATCATATCTTATACTATTTTTCCAAGGTTCCCATGGCTTTTCCATGGAGATTTCGATTGCCAGAAAATTCCGCCGGAGAGGTGGATCGTTTCTTGCGCTACTACATGTACATCTTGCCGGAGCTGCACTTCTCCGGCTATATTCAGGCGGCTGATTCTGGGTTTCTGACAGATTCTGGATGGTTTGGAGATGGGAATCCAAATCCAAATAATCCAAGGCTTTCTCAGGTTGGAAAAATCGTGAAGCCATTGAAACAAATATGAATCATTGGTTGGAAATGTTGGAACAATGTTATTTTTAGATACTTGTAACCATGTACAGCCCATTTACGATACATTGGATCATTTGATTTACGACATCAAAACCCGATCTTAGTGCCTTTCTTCAGGTTTCCCCAGGCATTCAGCCGCTACTGAGGTGCTCTTTAACGTGATGTCGGGAATGGTCATGAACCACGGAGCAGAGGTCTGTGAATCCAACGTGGTCATCCGGGTGGCCCCTGCAGCTTGGAGGCGTTGGGACTCACTGGATCTACCGAAATCCATGGGGATTCTGATGGCATTTGGCATGATTCCGACGTCGGAATCAGATTGGATGACGAAAACAGGACAGAAAGCCGTTGATCTTGTGGTGCAACATGGTGCAATTGGCTTAACATCTAGAGAAAACTCTGACAAATTGAAGCAAAAACCATGGTTTCCCGCAAACACCACCCTAAAATCATCTTAAATCTACTCTAGTTTAGAAGTGCAGTCTTGCACTCAGAAAAGGGTGGTTTTCCATGGTTTTCCTCCTTGAGCTGCGAAACCTTGTTTCGGAGGTCCAGGTTAAAAAAAACACAATCATTATACCTGTGCATGAGTTTCTTGCACTTAGAAAATTTGACACCAAAAAAGAGCCAGATTTCCACGCGCGTCAAGGAGATTGATCCAGCTTTGGAATATTCTAACTCATAGGTGTCAATATTCTAAGCGTTTTTTCCAAATCATTCAAACTGCATGGCATGGGTTGGAGAATATTCTATCTAAAAAAAACTATACCCTCTGGTTATTTAACGTAGCGAACTGGAGAATCACCATTTTTAAAAATGGGAAATCATCAAACATATTCAAACATCATCTATAAATGGTCCATTTTCCATAGCTATGTTAGTCATATGCTCCATGTATGGAATATTTACCAACATTTAGCCCAAAAATCGACCAAAGGTACAAAGTGGTGCCTGCAAGATAAGATGAAGTTATGTAATTTATAATTGAGTTACCGAAGATAGGTTGAAGTTAACATAACTTAAGTTAGAGAAGTTATAAAGTAAGCTATATATATCTTATAAGTTCGCTAAGTTTTTTGTTTGTTGAAATTGCGGTTTAGGGCTAAATTTAATGGTTTTCACGATGAATTTAATGGTTTGAGGTTGGAGTCATGGCGCGAGCACCTTTTTTTCTCTCAATGCATGCAGAAAACGTAATTTGGATGGCTTGGGCGCCACCAGCTGCGTGGCCGCCAGCGTCTCATCCATGGCTGCCATGTCACTGCACCGGTATGGGATCAGGACAACTTGAGGATGTGAAAAAATGCTGTGGTGGTGCAACATCTCTCTCAGAAATGGAATGTGTTTTTGGTGCGAGAGACGGCTGCAGAGAACACATTTATGATAGTGGTGGAACACAAACGCGTTCTTATCGGGAGTGTAGGAACACATATGCGTTCTACATGGTTTTGTGCAGAACACATACGCGTTTCCAGTGTTTTTTGGGGTTTGAGGTGGAACACATACGCGTTCTAACTACAAATTTAAGTATATTTCGGATGTATAGAACACATTAGAACACATTAAGAACACATTGTGTTTTTTAGCGTTTTCCATTGGAATACATATTGCATACAACATTGAAACATTTATGTCCCAATTTTCCCCATGAGCCAACCAAAAATTCGGAAATGAGACCCAATTCTGCATTTCCTGCCTAACAGTTGCAGCAGCTAAAGGCTGCAACGCATCTGCTCCAACAGCCACATTTGCCATCGCCTACCTCAAAATGCTACTTTCGACACAAACTTGAGACAAAACAGCTTCATGTGTACCACACATCATTGGAATTCCCAATCAACATATACAAATTCAAAAAATAACATAGCAAAACCTAAGTTCGCTAACTTCCCCATATCTTATTTTTAAGTTTTCCACTTAAGTTACTTAAACTATGTTGTATCTTCATAACTAAGATATATCTCTAACATCAGTTACGTATAGTTATAACATAGGTTAACCCCTTTTATAAATCAACTTAACCATACTTATAACATGAGTTATAACTCGCAGGCACCACTTTGTAGGTAAATATTCCATACATGGAGCAACCGGGGTAGTTATAACCAGAGGGTATATTTTTTGAATCGGTGAATCGGTGAATCATCTCCCAACGAGCCACGGGTTCCGACGTTCCTATGGCGTCTCTCAGGTCTGGAACGATCCCACGAGCATCACGGTGCGGCCGGACATCCAGTCCAACGGTTCCTGGGTGGCTGCAACATGCTGCAACACCACAACGACCAAAGACCATGGTGACCATAGATATCCATGACATGACGGTTAAGATGAGAGGAATTATCCCAAAATATATTCCAAAATCTTAACATAACATATGAATAGATCTCTCTCTCTTTATATATATATATATAAACGGTATATGGATACATATGGTTCATTTATGTTCATTTAATTATTGCTTGTAGGATTAGGGAAATCATCGCCAAAGTTTGGTATTTTCTTCCAGTGGGTATTGACCCAGCCCACCAGCCCATTCATTACCGTAATTGCCATGAGTGTTCAAATGATTGTTTGCCTCAATATCCATCGGATTGTGATTGTTCGGCGTGTATCATAGTCATAACATTAATAGTATACCTACAAGATTACAAGTCCTTTCTTACGTGGTTTTAGCTTGATACTGAGCGGTGAAGCAGCACGATGAAACCAAATCCAGCAAGGGTGCCCCCACCGGTTGTAAGTTGGTTTACAATTTTATAACCCCGTCTCACTAGCCCGATACATCTACCAGAAACCCATCAGTTAAGCTACTGGTGGTGAACTATACCTATACCAACTTCGAAGAGGATGGGGGGCACCAAAGCATAGTAAAACAGAAGCAGAAGGCCTCAGGCCAACTCAAGCCCCTGCTTGGGCCAGACCTATGGTGATTTTTTTGGATTTTCCAACCCATCAACCCATCCTGGACACCCTCAATCTTCAAAAGGATTTGTGCATTTCTCAATTGGATGTTCCCCACAAGGTCAGAAATTGGTGCTTTGGAACTGCGGGAATCTGGAAGGTAGGAAATCCAGTACAGCTTGGATTTTCTGGGGTGAAAAACAAGGTAGAGACTGCTGATGTTATAAAATTAATTCTTGAACGTCTGAAAGAAAGCACATATCCATGCAGTGCCGGTCAAATGAAAAAGAAACACAAAAGATCACAAAAGCAGCAACACGACTTACTAGTGTCCGCATGACGACCCCGAATGAATTTTGCAAGTTGATTCTTCTCCCCGGTACAGCTGGTTTTAAACCTATACCAAATTCCCAAACAGCTGGCCTTCTAAGGCTTTCAATGCGTCGCTTCCTCCACAAGCTGTTCGTTGGCGGGCCTCTCCTTGCATGACCCCGATTGTGAGACTGTGGTGGCTTGGAATGTTATTGATCAAGTCACCCCTATGAATTAAAAGATGGCCTCAATTGACCAACACATTTTCTTGGTGTAGGTGGCTTAGCAACACCGTCTGGCCGGGATAGGTTCTTGTCTCCTGGACACGACAGAATGAAAGGAAACCATGCCATAACTCACTCGACTGGGTGTCATCAAACATGGCCCACGGCTGGGAAATGTTTGAACTACCATGGAGGTTTCTAGCTGGGAACATCATGTGTAAAACGCCTTGGAGTTTCCAGCAAGCCATGTTTACCCAAGGGCGTCGAGGTTTTTTGGAAGTTTCTGGGCCTGTTCTGAGATGGATCAGGAAATATGATGAACTCCCTGTGATTAGGATCTGGTGGAGTGTTGGAGGGTGGTACGTGTCTAGATATGGGGACTTCCCAGGACAAATCCTGGGAAAACTCATGAAGACTTCGTGTTTGCAACAATCTTCAACCCTTGGTGACTACCTTAGAATGGAATGGCTGGAAACTTATTTGAAACTATTTATATACATCATTTTGTTCCCATTTTTTTTCATGAACCCAGTTCAAAATTTGTAATTCAAGCATATTTTTTCACAGCGTGTCCTTCAAGGTGGTTCCTCCTCGTTAAAAACGCGGTTTTATAAGCCCCTTGTATAGATATATCATTTTTTATATATATCCCATAGGATCCATGGTGCTGGTATATTAATGCTAACATAAAGGGGGTATATTGATGGGATCCATGTTACCATATATAGCAGCACCATGGATCCTATGGGTATATATATATACTATATATCTATCATCTATCTATCTATCTCTCTCTCTCTCTCTCTCTGCCAGAAAAACCGACAGTTACTGGAGTTACGAACACACGAATCGTGCGATTCCTTTGGCACCACCTGATTTTCTTTGGAAGATCCAACCGCCCAACCGCCGTCAGGTGGATGGTTCCTGCTATCTGAAACTGACGCTCAACGTCTCCCTAGGCTTGCTGTCGCTCCCCGGGCATCCGGACACTGGGCGGAAGATGGCGGAAGGAGATGAACCAGCCATATTTGTGATGGTTTATATAATTCTGGTTGGTGGTTTGGAACATGGCTTTTATTTTTCCATATGTTGGGAATTTCATCATCCCAACTGACGAACTCCATCATTTTTCAGAGGGGTAGGGCTCAACCACCAACCAGAATTTCTATCGCCAATACCGGCCATTTAAAATTATGTCAAATTGGGGATGGTTTACATTGCACTCACAATCTCGCCTATTTTTCAGTGGCCTCGCCCGCTAGGGCCGCTAGGGTTGTTGTACAGGGGATGAAGAAAAATTACTTTGCTGAGAGGATGTTGGACATGGAATGCCCCAGCAAGGTGGTGCCCCAGTTCGTTAGCTAAGTTGCTTCGTAACTTCAATAACTTGGGGTTCTGGTAGATATACCTACGTATACTTAATGGATCTTAATGGTGCTTATAAACCAACTCACAACTGGGGGGCGCCACCTTGAATGATTTTCCAGGTTTCTTGGTGTTTTTCCACATTGATGAACCGGGATCGAGCTACAGCGACTGAGAAAACCTTGGTCAATCGTGGCGTCTGTGGGTCCAACGAGTCAATCACTCGGCTGCGTAAGTGGTACAATATATGTATATATCCCATGACGGATCCTAACGGTGCTGCTATACATGGTGTGCCATGGATCCCATCAACAAAAAACCCCGGCCCAATGTTAGTATATATATATATACCAGCACCAGCCGGATCCTATGTATTAATTGAGGTTAGACATGGAAGATTCATGGAATATATGAGGATCATCAGGATGACCATACCATGTGAGTCTCAGCCGCGGTTTCCAAAATTCCCTCAGGATGGATGGCAAGCATCCTTTCCAGCGATGATGGGCCTCGTGGCGTGAGGTTTGAACTTCGGGAGGAATCAGCACCGATGCACCGTACGTTTTTCAATGACGTAAATGCACCGTACGTCACATCCAATCACTATCATCTATCTGAATCTATATAACTTATCTAACTTCTATGCATCATTATGCATCCATCTATCCGTGTAATTCTTTCCGGCTATGTTCGATATCCACATACACATGCACATATAACAGCATTAGTAACTGCTGTGAAATGGAGCAGTTCAGCCAAATCTCTGGTTTTTGTTGACCTTTTTGGTGTAGAATCATGGCGAACGTCGCATCCCCAAAGTTGATGGTTTCAGATTCCTATTGGTTGCCCACGCCATGGGCCATGTTTGATGTTTTTTCAGTTGTTAATGTTCAAAGAAAGAAAGAGAGAGAGAGAGAGAGAGCGCGCGCGCGCGATAAAAAGAGAGAGAGCGCGCGATAAAAATGATCCCAATCCCAGCTCCCTCACGTGTTCAGCTCAACCGCCGCCCGGTCACAGAATTGCTTGAAGGCAAGATTAGAGGGTAACCTGAATATTTTGGGCAAAACACATGGTTTGTGCTGCAACTTGCCTCAACCAATCCAACGACGCATGTTTTTCCCCCCCATTCTCGAGATTCCTGGCTAACCCCTGGCCCCAGCGATCACTTGGACAATTCCTATTAGCCTATACAAACATATACAAATCCAAGTTTTTATATGGGTATAAAGTTATATGTTATTTTATTATATTATATCATATCATATTATATTATAATATATTAGAATATATTATATTATATTATGTTATTCCTATATATGCCTATATAAATTCTCCAGTTTTTCCCCAAATTCCTCCAACTTCCAAGGTCATTCCGGTCTCAACGCCGCCCTGGAGCGCATGTTGTACTTCCCTCCAGCCCTGCCCTCGGGTGATGCCACATTGCAGCTGATCGTTGAGCGAGTCATCGAGCGCGGTGTGGCGACACCGGAGGAGTTGTGGCTCGACGTTGTGGCGACGTTGTTGGCGGTTTTGGGTTGATGAGTGATTCAATGGCCACTTCAGGAACCGATTGATTGGAGGTACCTACCATATATAAGGCCTATTTTTCAGGCCTATTTTTTAGGGGATATTCCCCCAAAATATGGCCTGAAAAATGGTACAGTACCTCCAATTTAGGATCCTTTTTTATTCCCATTGAGTGATATAACTATAGTATACTTAGTATAATTCTAAACCAACACTGTAGAAGCAACAAACTATAGTATATGATTAATAACAATAGATCAGATAGATGTGAATGGGGTCGATAAACCAACAAAGTGAGATTTGGTGAGTCGATGAATGTTTATTTTACCCATGGGGAATCCACTGCGTGGGGAATCTATAGATCTATAGATATCTATAGGGAAATTTGAATCATATAATGGATGATATAAAAATGATCTGCTACAATGATGGCATCAGCAAAACCAAGCATTTTGATTTTAGTATAATTATTCAGGCTTCAAATTGTGTAAAACATGTGAGTAGGAGATGAAGTAGTTTCAAGCATTGGCTAGAACTGGATTGAACGATTTGAAACTGGAGCTGCTTTCAAGCAGCACAAAAATATGGGGAGAGAATGGGATCTGAGAAAATGTGGGTGTGTTCAAAAGTTGGGGATGCCTAACAATTTGGTCTGTTAAGTATGTTTTATAAGGCAAATCATGGCTTGGGGATGGATTACCCCTCAAGCCCATTGGAAATGACAGGCCTGTTCTCATTTTCCCTTCAACCAAGCCTTTGGTTCTCATTTACCCTCTGGTAAACATACAAACAACTATGGAACATCACCATTTTTTATAGGTAAATCCACTATTTCTATGGCAATTTTTAATAGCTATGGGACAGTTTACCAGAGGGTACATGTCAACTTAGGATTCACCAAAGACAGGGGTGGCTGCATGGCCAAGTTATTTGTTTTTCATGGCTTTGAAGTGGGAAACTAAAGACATATAGAAAGGGAACTTGTCTTGAGTTGAAGTCGGCGGTTGTCTCATCTATTTGAGCGCCAATCATCTGCGGTATGCCATGAAGCCACACAATATACGGCGCAACCAACCAGTTGTTGATATATTCCAGTGTTTGGGAGCCTGGGAGCCACCAATTTTGATGCATCTTGAGGGTCCCACAGGGCCTTGTGCGTGTGAGATCTCCATGTTCCCAAAAAATAATGCCATTGGCAGTCTGCGCAGATGCTTTCTTCTTCAATCTCCATGAAATGGCTCATATTCCATGATATTCCCATGATATTCCCATAGTTATAGCCATGATATAACCATACGGATATAATCTATAGATATAAACTCTAGATATCATATGGTTATATTATATTCCCATAATTTTAATATAATTCCCATTACATTCCCATAGTTATTACCTATCTATATTTCCGGATGGTTTCATCCGGCAATTTCACCACTGGAACAGGCATCCCATGAACGTCTCAGTGCAGCTGCCCATTCACATCCTGGCCCCCGACACGGCGCCAACCATGACTTTGGCGTCAGGCCGCAAGGGCCATGCAGTGAAAACGCCCCAAGATTTGTGGGTATACATGGGATACTCATATATATATATATAATTATACAAATGTATGTATATATATATATATGTATAGATATTATTTAAGTATATCTATATATATATATATGTATGCATGTAATAAAAACATATGTATAGATATAAAAACTATGATGGTTTAGACATGTTTTATGGTAGTTTATACCACCGATTTTGCCACTCCTGGGGTGATGGGCTATAAGGTGCTAATGAAATCTTGGGTGATGCCAAGCTAACTAGTTCAATGACTCTACCACAATCCTACCATAAACATCCATAAACTAACGATATGAATGATTCATTGATATGATATGAACTATGATATTTTTTAGGATTATGATATGAATGATTCATTGATATATAGTCATATGATATGATATGATATGAATTGAATTGATATGATATGATTTTATGAATTTGTTGTGGTGTGTTGTTGTTTTCTTGCCAGGTGTGGGCATGTGTTGAAGATTCCTGAAAGTGATGCATGAAAGCATGTTACGAAAAAACGGCAGGTTTTGCAGATATTTGGCTACAGGCTACAGGTGAAATTCCTATTCTAGCTGTACATGGCTGTACTAAGCATACTTTGCTTATCGTTAAACGGATGCGACGCTAAGCCCAGGTTTCATCAACACTTCACAGCTTTCCCATGTGCGCCACGCAGGTGCGCCATTTCATGGCGCTGTCTTTGAGATGGGTAGCGCTCGACCCTATAACTTCACCAATCTGGTTTTTGAACCACCAGGCCGGTCGCAACGGTGCCTGGTGCGCCAAATAAAGTTAGAATCACCCACCGAAAGATGACAATGGTGACACACACACACACATATATATATATATCCGCTAAAAGTAAAAGTTATAAGGTAGAAATTTGCGTTCGCAAGGTTCTATGTTAATTTTTTGCCATGATCATAGGTGCTCTTTTTGGAGGGTTGCTATAGAGTCATAAGTGCAGACAAGCACAGTTTTGAGGGCCGATTCGATTCACATCAAACGACTGGACGCTGCGTGTAGGCTGACCATGGGTGATCCTTCACTAGTAAAAAAGGTCTATCGGTCTAGAGTCTATCAATGATCACCTGATATCAAGCCGCCATGTGGGGGTTTCCTAAAGTAGGGGTACCCCCAGTCATCATCCATTTATAGATGGATTTTCCCGTGTAAACATGTGTAAACCATCCATTTTGGGACTTTTGGGTATCCCCATTTATGGAAACACCCATGTAGGAAAATGATGACATTGCACACCAGGTGCCATCGTGACGACTGTCATGGTGGAACTCTCGGTCTCGCGAGGCGTGGGCCCCGTGGGCCCGTTGCTGGCATGTTCAGCTGAGAACGAGATGGTGATCCTTAACTGAAAATAAGGGTTCTTTATAAGAAGATTGCTGTAACTTATGACAACTTATGCTCAATCATTAATTAATATGAACATACAAGATGCAAAAAAAAACACCAAAATGGTCGCCTCCGACATGATTTTACGTCTTGATTGAGCCATTTACCACCCTTCAAGACTCCTACAAGGAGATGCCCCACGTTCTAAACCAACTTAGCTCCTGGTGAAGCCCAGCTCGTTGCTCGTAGTACTTGGGATGTTGGGAGCAACCGGGGAGGCTTTCTCTTCTTGGGCAACATGACCGACCTCTCCCTGGCCAACGGCACCGAGAACGGTGAGCACCGGCTGCGCTTCTACGAGAACAGCAGCGACATCCGGCTGCGACTTTCGGATGTGCGCTACACCTGGGGTGATGACGACTGCTCCAATTTGGCACCTTGGAGATATGGATATCCTGGGTTTGGTGATGATAGGATGTTGATTCGTTGTGTTCCGTCATCAGTGGGAGGGGGTATAGGATCTAGGCCAGAATCCAGGAATCTAGGCATCTCAAAAAGTCAACAAGATTGGCCATGTGTCTTACAAGCCTTCCTTGTCTGCCTGAAAGAAATGCCTGCACACCATTTTACATACCTTGGGCCTTGAGCCATTTAGCCGGAAAACGTCGGTTTTGACCCAGGCTTCCCAGCTTGGGGAAGAACATCTGTGATTTCGTGTGTTGAAAATGTATTTTGATGGGCACGTTGATTTGGGCGCATATGGGTATATTATGCATAGCAATTGGGATAAACATGAAGTTCTTGTCATTGACGATTCTATTTTTCAAGATGTGCAGAAATTGGCCTTGGCCAAGGAGCAGTTCAACATCTCTATAGACAGTGGACATCATGAGCCTCTGACGCTGATGGCATTGCTAGTGCTACCAGACTGTCAGGCAGTGGGACATGGTTCCTTCTGGTTTGCATTTCTATCATCTCTACTTGGATGTGATGTGCATCCCACTTCAGGATCCGTGGTTTATAATCCATGTATAACCCGTATTTCATCCCATATATAACTGGGGGCTACGGTACGGTTCTGCATCCATTTGCTAAGTGGATGCACTCCCGAGATCTCCCGAGTAGATTTTTTTCGTTCTTCTAGATTCTTGGAGAGGTCTTATTTGTTGCTATCATAGCTATCCTTCAAACATATCAAACATCAACTTTGGATAATGCTTTGAATAATCAACGGGAATTTCAGGATCCCAAAATGGAGGTACCTACCATAATCTACCATATATAAGGCCAACAATTTTCAGGCCTATGTAAGTGAATATCCCCCCAAAATATGGCCAAAAATATGGTACTAACGTACCTCCATTTTGGGATCCTTTGTTATTCCCATTGAAATAATGAGCCAACTCTGCTGCTGAAAGAGATGTTTTTTCAAAGCCCTACAGCTTGATGTTTGGATCAGCCTGTCAGGGCTATTCTGCTGAATGGTTGGGTGGCTCCCTGACAGTGTCAGAAGATTCAGAGATCTCCATTGGACACTCGGCACCCGCACCGGAAAAATCCGGAAACCTATGGCCATCACTGGAAAAATCCCTGGAATATTTCGGTGAAACATGGAAGAAAATAGACTCAATAGACCATGATGGTTACCATCCACATATACGAGTTCCTGATGTGTCCCAGTTTTGCATCTAGTTTATTTTCCTTTCCAATTCTGGACCCGGTTAAGTCTTGGTTAGTTGTGCTTTGTTTTGTTCCATTTCGAATCCTGGTTTTGGCCGAATTCCATGTTTTCTAACCTGTTGTTTCATCATGTTTCATCATGTTTCATCCTTTTCGTTTCAACATGTTGTTGATTTTATGCTATATACCCTCTGGTAATTTAACATAGCTATTGAACATGGCCATTTATGGTGAGTTTTCCCATTAAAAACGGTGATTTTCCATAGTTATGTTAGTTTACCAGAGGGTAGGTTTTCCTGTGGTTCTTTTCATTCTTCACTTGAAGTCTACTATAGTCTACTACTCGCGGCCCGGCTCATCCTTTCGCTGGATACTTCATCGTTGGCATCGCTCTCAAAATCACCGTTAGATTCCTATATAGTTTAAGTTTAAATCGATTAGTTTAAGGTAAAATCTCAAGGAAACCATAGATTTTCCCATTAAATATGGGGCTTTCCTGTAAAATTTCCCTTAAACAAATCCCCTCATAGTTGGTCCAAAAGGTCTTCAGTTCGGCTTGTTCAACTCCGCATGTTGTTGGTTCATCATTTTCCACTCCAAATATGAGTAGAAATTGCAACATCGCGATTTTTTTAGACAAAGTCAGAGGATCTTACCACATGACTGTGTTGTTAACACAGCATCTTCAACACCACAATGCCACAAGGCACCACATTTCTAGGTGATTTGCAATTTCAGGTGCCCCCCGGCCCTGCAGTTTTTCACCATCGCAGGACATCTGAACCTCAGCAGTCGCGAGCCACATCTGTTCCTGGCAGTGAAAGTGAAGCAAGTTCTAGGCCCTGGGCGCCCTGGTGACTGCAAGGTGCGCAGAACAAAAGCACCCGAAGATCGAAACGTAAAATCCGATGCAAACAGATCTATTATATATTTTTTTTTATAATTAAATAAATAAATAAATAAATATATATATATATATGTATATATATATATGTATATATTAATTTAAATGTTAATTGGTCAATTATGGATTATGGCTATGCAAATTACAATTTCTATTTATTTTTGAGGGGGTCCACTCATGGACCATGTTAAGTTCTGGATAGTCCTGGGTTTGGGGTTTAACATGGGTCCAAGGAAGCACTGTATTTGGGTTTTGCAATGGTCATCATTTGCCCCAGTGGCTTTGTTAGATTTTTCAACACATATGTGTGGATCAAGAACATGTGGATTTTATATGATTTTACCTCGGAAAGTGGGATTGAAACTAAAAGAACGGGAACATCGATGCCCCAAAAACGGACATCACGGTGGTTTTGCTCTGAAAAAGAATACGCAGCCTCCACAGACCTTTGGAACTCAACCTGCTGGCGCCCCATACTGCCATGGTTTGGGGGTGTTTTTATCCAGGGAGATTACTACCCATCCCTCTGAAAACAACCCCTTCTGTGGTCCCCCTTTTGGGGGGTCATCATTAAACCACTTTGCTTTCAGGTGGTGCGGTGGCCTGAGGAGATTCCCAGTTTTCAGGGCCGGGAGTGTGAGCTCGATGGCTTGGTGAAAGGCTTGAACCAGGCACTGCCGTACTTGGTTTATAGACCTCCGCCCGACTTTTTTGGACCGGTCCAGCTGGAATTTTTGATTTTCAAGACTGACGTGGCAGATCCTAGTTCTTGAAGTTTTGCCATTCGTCGTGTTTTCGTATTCTTTTTTATGGTATATAAATATTGATGCCCCCACGTTTTTTTCGATTCTTATATAGTCTATATATATATAGTGGGTTTTGGGCTCAACTTGCACCCATGTCCTTTCACATCCTTGATCTCAAGTCCCAACTGAGGATGAGATCTTGGGTTCCAACAACAATTCGCGAGATTCTTACCAACGCATTCTGGTCGACATTGAGGTTTTGGGCCAGAACGATCCACCTGTGTTGGAGCTCTTGTTGGATACCTACACTCTGCCGGAAGACCGCGGCGATTTTCTGGTCTTGGGCCCAATGTTTGTGAGTGATATCGATGCCAACGACTATGAGCTGAGTTTTCGCTTTGAGCTGGTGGCGGGACACCCGGGGAATATGTTGATGGTGTGCGGGCTGCTCGGGGCCCTGATCCACGAGCCTTACAACTACACCTTGGATGAGAACGAATGTTTGATGGACGCGCCAGCGATCCAGTTTAACACCACAGTCCAGCAACTTGGTGGAAACACATGGTGGAAAACATGGTGATGGAAAGTCACATTAAATGTAGCCTCCATCCATTCGTGCTTTGGGAACAAATGAAACATGTATGTTGTATGAGGACGCTTATTGCTAAAAATCATCAGGAACATGAAGACCAATAGCTTTTAGCCTTGCCATACATCTTGTGACATGTTGTCACATCTTGAGGTTCCTGCGGGTTTTGAACATACTTTTCATCGTTTTGCAGCCGAATATCTATCCATTTATTGATCTACCCTGTGTGAGATGGAAGGAGGTCCAAGCACAGTGATCACCCAATCTGAATTGCACAGGGTACCCATGGGTACCCGGTAATTAGGTGCTCAACTGGAATCCCTGCAGTTTGATTTTCGAATGCCGGCTTTTTGTGGGTCAATGTCGCCAAGAAACCATTGGAACCCCCATAAATTTGCTGAAGATTTCGGAGGCCGGTGTTTTCCGACGCTTTTCCCATGGTTTTCCGAACAAGTTCGCCATGGTTGGTATCGAAGCCGGGTTTCGAAGCCGGGTTTCCCATGATTCTTCCCGGCCAAGGAACTTCAACAGCATGCAATCAGGGCCAGGGCGATTGCAATTCAAAGCAGTGAAGAATTGGCACGGCTCAGCAGCACCTGGGCCGCCTGAGGAAGTGCTGCTGGACTGGTTGCTCCCATGAAAAAAGGTAGCCTCAATTCAACATAGCTATGGAAAATCCCCATGAATATATCCATATGTTTTTATATGTTTATCTGGTTGGTGGTTTCAAACATTTTTATTTTTCCATAATATATGGGATTATCGTTCCGAGAGACTAATATTTTTCAAGATGGTTAAAACCACCAACTCGTTATACTACATTTAAAACATGTATAAATGGGCAATTTCCCATAGCCTATGTGAAATTACCAGAGACATTCCATGATAGCCACAAAGGCGTGGAAAGTGGTCATATCTGAAGTCGTACCCAGTTTTTCGCCTGTTGTATTTGGGGTCTTGGGAGCAACCCTATGATATGATCCACTTTCGGGGGTAAACACGGGGCACCTTCCAGCAAGCAACCCCCCAACAAAAAATGGCACCAAACTGGCCTCTTAGACGATATTAACCATGAAAACTGAAAACTGGAGGATTGAGTACCAAAAGCGTGATCAGAATGTCCAATTCAATATTTTGCTCAAGTATCAAACTTGAACATACTGATCATGCTTTTGGTGTGATTGGTTAAGTGCAAGCGTTGTGGAATGTCAACCCGTTGTTTTTTTGTCTGGGACCCCTGGACTGAAAGAAGCGGGTTTGCAAAGGTCGCACAGTCGACCTTTGCCGGTTGCTTGAATGATTTTTCTAATTTCTAATATGTTCTAACAATGTTGTTTGATATTTTGTGTCTTCCATTGCTAACTGGGACTATCCTCAGCAACTCATATTTCTCAGGACGCTGAAAGCACTTGAAACGATCAAAAGATGGGTTTTTGCCACGCTGTCTGGGACTTCATGGGAATTTAGAGGGGGATCCCGGAATATTCCGGAATCACGGGATACCCTCTGGTTATTTAACATAGCCGTGGTATAGATGGCCCATTTATAGATGGTTTACCTATTAAAAATGGTGATTTTCCATGGCTATGTTAGTCATAACCAGAGGGTAATATCCGGTGGCAGGAGAGTTGTTGGCCATGGCAATCCCGCCAGGTCATCAACATCACCGTTGATGATAGAGGCAGTGGTCATGGTGAGAATGAACGCCTCATTACTCAACGATCCTTATATCTCACCGTAGAGCCCCGGGTCGACACACCTGCTACTTGAATCAACCTCTGGAAAAAAGGGCTGGGGGTTGGACGTTGAACTGACACAGGTTGCATGGAATATGGAGGATTTTTTGAATCAAAGTCCCCCAGATGTAATGACAAAATATGCATAAATACTATAAAATACTATAAATATTACTGTGGTAGTATCATGATCCATGATGTGATTGTAAAGATGGTGAGTCATTCGAAATTGGGACCCACCCAGCCTGGTGAACATGCCACCAGCATTGTCACTAATCTGAGTTCATCAGGGTAGGGAGTTAGGGCCCGCAAGCATTAGATCCAGTAGATCATGTCCGAACACCGGCATTTTGCCAAAATCAATGGATCATTTAACCTCGGACTTTCTAGACTTGCAGCATTTGGATTTGGAGCAACTTATATAAATCATCCTTGTTCGCATTTTTGAACACTCCCAACGGGTTTCCTCGAGAAAGTCTATAGAAGTATAGGTTAGACGCAGCCCAAGCACTGAAGATGGAACATGTTTGAGCCGTTTTTTGAATTCCGAAACAAACCCAAAACCGATTCTTTGAGATTATTTTTGGATTGCAATGAACTTGGACAAACCATGAAATTGCTAGATGGGAACCATCTCTGAACCTTAACCTCTTACCTGGAACCACAAACAGAAAGAATCTGAATAATTTCTGGCTTTCCTAAACCAAGCATTTCTTGCGGGTGGGGATTCTTCAGTTTCACCATGGCGAGAACCTTGGTGGCTTCCAGAAGATCTTTGAAAACCAACCGTGGCGATCTCAGGAACTCTCCATCCTTTGCCCAGAGAAGTTGCCATTCGTGACCTATGGCAGGAACTGTTTGGAGGCCGGGACGCCCAGACACCCCAGGGACAGTGCCAAGAGGACGTGACAGGTGCCAGCTGGCCGAGATATTGCTGATTGATTGACTATTTGAAGTGGAATTTCCCAAGTCATCACCACATAGGCTGCTCGCAAACTCAAGTTTCATTCGGTCGGTTTTTGTCCACTTCACCAGGAAGATTGAACTCGAGGGAACTATAGGCAACAAAATTGACAACCATGTTCTCATATTAATATCGGATGGATACATAACTATACATATGGATAACTCATGTTTATCATTTGGAGGTTTCCATAAAAAAAGGGGACGCCCCTTGAATCATCCATTTTTTTTCGGATGTTCCCATTACCCTCTGGTAAACTAACATAGCTATGGAAAATCACCATGCTATTAATGGGTAAATCCACTATTTCTATGGCCATTTTCAATAGCTATGGGACAGTTTACCAGAGGGTATACACCATCCATTTTGCATGAAATTTCCCATTTCGCAAGATCCCTATAGATCACCGATGCGCGATGGATTCGTTTTGTATCCGAGGTCGTGGACTGCTTCGCACTTCAGGCACTAGATGATGAAGGCGGGGATCGGGTTCCGAGGGATAGGAGTCAAGTCCATGTTGGAGAATGTCTAGGCATAAATCATGTGGGTAAAACAATGGGAAAATGGTGGTTTAATGGCATTTAAATGGGATTTTAATGGAACCATAGTGGGTTATAACATGTTATAACCAACTATTAACTATTTTTGGGATTAATGTGGGTAAAACAATGCCATTTTTACCACCCATTTAATGAAATGGTTTATATACATATGGTGATGACTGGGGGATGGTTTATGACATTGTCTTACCCACATTAAATGATTTGGGTAAGTAATAATGCCATTGTGTCATAATGACTCATTTGGTGAAGCTAATTTTCATAAACCATTCCGATCACCAGTCATGGTAGGTTTATGGCATTGGGTCTCCAACATATATGTCTGGTTGGTGGTTTCAAACATGTTTTATTTTCCATAATATATGGGATGTCGTCCTTCCCATTGACTTTTATATTTTTCAGGATGGTTAAAACCACCAACCAGATGTGGTAAACCGTTGATTTAATAAAGCTCTATTGGGGATGGTGCCTGTGCCAAGTTGATGCTCGGATGCATGGTAGGTTGTATGTCCATGGTAGGTTCGTGGCATCAGGTTCATGGCATCCTGTTTAATATGATACCCTCTGTTTAGCTAACATAGCGAACTGGAAAATCACCATCTTGAATAGGTACCGGTAAATCAACTATAAATGGGCCATGTTCATCCATTTTCAATGGCTATGTAACAAAATTACCAGGGGGTAACATGGAAAGTCAAGCACCCATCAAAGATCATCAAACTGATGGGACTGGAATGTGCACTGGTCATTTTGGGATCAGCCCGCACTGGTCACAAAAGGCTTTTGTGACTATAGAAGTTTCTTAGGTAGATATTTTAATATGGGGTAATATGGGGTTGCTTCCAGGATTCGTTCAATCCTGTACCAGTAGGTTCAGGTGGGGTTCGCTCATCCAGAGGTTAGAGGTTGGAACATGTCTCCCTACCTGGCCCTACCTGGAACGATGAAACTGGTGGAAAATAAGATTCAATATTTGAACAACTGTACCAAAAAAAACATTGTCATCCCCAGTATGTTTTGTATGGAATGCCCCACTACTAACCAGCACTCGTGTGGTAGATGTGTGGTATTTATGAATTGTCTATTGTTCAAACCAGTTTACGAGCATTGGTTGGTTGGTTGATTACATCATATCAAAGTCCATTCTTTTTGCATCTGTTCTTCCTCACAGTTACAGTATCCTTTTGCCTCTATGCATGTCAAAACCAAAACTTTGTTGATTGAATCACTTTAGATCACTCAATTTGTTGGGCATGTTCCTGCTTCAAAATCGCTTGATCTGACTCAGATTTCTTTTCTCAGTTGGTTGCATTTGAGCGACCAAAATCCCCACGTATTCGTTTCATCTTGGGCTTAAAGTCATACACATGACGGATCCGGCTGGTGCTGGTATATTAATGCTAACATAAAGGGGGTATATTCATGGGATCCATGGCACACCATATATAGCAGCACCGTTAGGATCCTATGGGAATATGACCACAACTCATTTAATCCGTTTCTGGCTTCCACAGCTACACCAATGGCGGTGGACCTATGTGGACATCGGAACTCAGGTGACGGCTCCGCGCTCTCCTTCTGGTTGGTGATCCAGGCGAATGACCCACGCGTCCAGATCAACTTGGAGAACCGGGCGCCTGTCCAGGCCGGGTCCAGGTCTGTTAGAAACATCATCAATAAAATGTATGTGATTAATGAACATAGCCATGGAAAATCACCAGTTTTAATAGGTAAACCCAGGTTTAAACCATCTATTTCTATGGGCCATCTATACCATGGCTATGTTAAATAACCAGAGGGTATGTGATTAAATGTAGGATGTTTACGTGCATATTCTGCATGTCTATTATAAAATATTATTTCAACATGTTTGTGTATAATCATACAACATTGCATTTTCAGCATGCTGCTAACAATTAATAAATATACACATACATACATATATAATCATGTGTGCAAAATATATATATATATATACCACACATATACAAGACTACATATGTGCACAATTGCGCACATACTTACAAACCTCTTTGCACACTGTACATTCCTGTAAGGACATTCTGTATAATAATAGTACTCGTAGTTGTTTCATGTCACAAGTTGGCAACCTTTTTCCCGCAGGTGTGGCAAGAGGGAACCGCAGAACTTCACATGGCTGGGCTGTACCACAACGTGCAAGCAACTGGCTTTTGCTTTTGGCCTCAATTTCTTTTTTTGTACTATCAACCTCCCAACCACCTTACCATATCATATACACATATATAAATGATGGCTAGCAAAAGAAACCACCCATAGAACTGTTTACTTCTGGTGACATTCCACTAATTTGCCGACATTGTGCAGGCGAACAGGTGATCCCAAAGATTCTTTCAACCCATGTGGCCGTGGTGGCCTGGAAACCCATCTTCGCCCATGAAAATTTCATCGCAAAAAAAAGGGGGCACCCGGGCAGCCTGTTTTCCAGACAACCTCGACCCGAACAACCAATCAATCAACCATTTCGGTCCAAGAAATCATACCCATCCTCGTTGTTCAAGTTGATGAACATGATATCAACGGAATACTGTAATGCTGCCAGCAATTTGTTTGCATAGTTTCTTTTGCAGGAAACTGAGCCCAGGAAACCTTGAGAGCCTTGAAATTCCGTCCTCCTGGTTCTCTCTTCGAGAACGCCTACGACCCTCACATTTTCGAGCGCCTTGATCAACAGGGTGCGAAGGGTCCCAGAGGATTGGGATTCAACCAGAAGACATTTGTGAGTCAAGATATCAATCTTGGGAATATCTAAGATGTGCAACAAGCCTTTGGTAATCAAACATGGGAATGAAGAACCCTTTACTTCTAGATGATTTTCCATTCGACAATTAATATTGAGTTTATACTTGCACCAGAGGTAAATCAGGTGTCAGCACGGAAATCGTTCTCAATGCCAGGTGCTGGCAGGTCAAATGCCAGCCTTTCTTTGGAATATGTTGGAAGATGTTGGAATCTTATTATCAATTGTCATTGAATTTTCCAACATTTCTCTTGTTACTTGGGGCAGGGTTAGATCACAACTTTTGATCTTGAATGGTTTTGGTCATTCACTGGCATACCTGGCAGTGTGTCTTGAAAGCGTTGGCCAAAATTTAAAATGCAATCTTTCCTATCTGAGCAACAGGTCAGCCACCTTCCTTTTCTAGACCCCGACTGTTTCAGATGTATTTTATAGTGTTGAATCTTGAAGTCCATATGAATTTATTGTATGTTATGCCTCTTCTGTTCAAACATGTCCTGTCCCTCTGTCCAAAGCGCACGCTTCGAGGTTCAACGTGACTCTCACGGCCTATGCTTTGGGGGAAATCTTCAATGAACCTTGGCCACCTGCCCTGCTGACTTCTGGCGGCATGGACGAAATAGACTTGCCTTATCCCAGCGACCAGCTGGAATTTGCTGTGGAGGTGCTCTGCCCGAATAAGGTGGTGTCCCAGTTTATTAATTTGCTAATTTGTTTTATAAGTCAAGTATTGGTTAAATTACTGGTTTTCATGGCAGATGTATCATGCCCAGGGGTTCAATCATAGAAGTCCCAGTTTTTCCCACTGCTTGGTTTTCATGAGAGTCAATGTTCGAGGGGCACCTGATAATCCATTTTTTTCAGGTGCTTGGTTAAGGTTTGAGTCAATTTTCCAGGGGCACCTGATAATCCATGATTTTTCAGTTGTACACCAAACGAGTCCCTGATTCTATTTTTCCAATTGCAAAGCTCAATCAGCTCCAGCGACCATGTGGTAAACGTCCATGTCCTAAGATTTAGAAAACTGTCACGGCAGAACATATTTGGGGCACTCCAAATAAGGGAAATATTTGGGAAAATCACCATCAAAATATGGGTTGATCAAAGTTAAACAGTTAAACCAGCAACAAACCAGCAACAACGTGGATTTATCATGAGTTGACTCTGAAAAACCATGGATTCCACTGATTCCACCCTGAAAAGCAAGGGATTTCACATGAGTTCACCTCGAAAACACCGAAAAGAGAGAGCAACAGGTGCGCCGCATGAACCGGCCTCCCTTGTTCTTCGTTGACCGTCCCTCCTTCTCTGTGACGCAACTGCAAGATCATGTGCCTGGGCGGAACTGGCTGCATCTAGACACTATAAAGGCCATATCTTGCCATATAGCCTTTGGTAAACTAACATAACTATACATACATATATATATATATTATATATATAGAATAGGTAAAACATGGCTTATCTTCAATTGAACATCCCACCTATAAAAATGGCAATGACTGGAGTATGGTTTATGATTGTTTTAACCACACTATAGGATGGATAGCCATAAATCATATACCATGCTTTGACACTTCTTTCCGTAGTCATTTGCTGCTTGCATCTGAAATGATATAGTCTCCCTCTCATATTAAATCCCCCACATGGGCCCAAAAAATGACTAGATCCAGTGCGAAACCAGGGCTTCAAAGGGGGTACTTCATATAAAGGGGGAAGGAACTATTCACTTTGTTTGTTGACTTCTCCATATTATTTCCGCTTCGGCCCCCATGGAACTATGTGTTTTTTTTGTTAAGGGACCTCGAATGATGGACCCCGACGAAATTACTCCTCCCATACTATTCCCAGAAACCCCAATAGTATCAGAAGATTATGGGAATGAAGCTCTCATCATTAAGGGTCCGATCATGAGGGACCCCCATTCAGAGTTTAAGGGATTGAACCAATCCATTGGCCCATGTTTGCCACCCGTATTTGGGAGATCACCGCAGGAATCGTGGTTAGTGGAGTTGTTTTTTCTTTCATTTACACATCAGTTACCCTCTGGTAAACTAACATAACTATGGAAAATGACGATTGTTAATGGGTAAATCCACTATAGAGGGTAACCCGCTTCGGGGACTCATGATCAACAGGGTTCTTCACCACTTCTTCGTGGGCTGATCCTCCAAGTCGCAACCGGTGCCCAGGTGCTCCTTTACGGTGTCACCGTCGCAGAGCCCGACGTCCGCCGGGAGGATTTGTTGGAGGTGGTCGTGCAAGCGGACACTGAAGCGGATGTGGGCCGCTGGGCTGTTACTAAAGCAACATCCTTTACCGTCAATTATAAGGGTTTCCCCTTTAGATTTTCTCTTGAATCAATCCCAATGATAGACCTAAATAGTCAATAGGGGTTATAGACCAACTTATACCTTATGACTGGGGGTGATATATATAATAATAATAATCATCATCATCATCATAATATATATATATATATCAACGTAGCTCCGGAAAATGGCCCGTGATGAAACATGATTTCAACTGTTGCGGTGATTTTCCATAGCCGCCTAAAATTACTCGATGGCATATGAAATCATACATGATATTTGTTGAAAGATCAGAGTTGGAAGGATGAATATGCATTTGCCGGCCATTTTGGTGCGAAAACATGGGTTAGAAGCAGTTCAAGCTTCCATAGATGTGTATTTAAATGATCTCAAAGTTCCTATACCAACTTGGCGGGGGCTTTGGATTTCTGCACTATGTCAGCCCAGGATTGGGGAGTTGACATTGTCACGTTGCCCATGAAATAACGTCTCATATATCACTGACAAATCGCGATGTATCCATGAAAATCAATGGGAGGTATTTCATAGTAAAATTCAGGCATCCTGGCTGATTAGCTGCCTGGCACTTGACCGGCTGATGCTTTGACTTGTTCATTTTTTCCATCCTGGCCGGGGTGGTCAATTCCAATGGGTTGAAACTAGCAACGAACAGTATTTAATGAAGGGTTTAGGGACGTAGCAACCGCACTGATAGGGAGCAATGGTGTGCAAATGGGCATGGCCCACATGTATAGTGATTTTGTTGTTGAGTGCGTATATTATGCATGTTTATGTAAGATTTCGCGAATTGTTCGAAAGGAAATTGTCCAGAGACCCTACATTTACTGGCAAACTTTGGCAAAGATATTTGTGTGTCATGATGTGTCTGAAAATGGGGTATACTATGGTTTTTTCCGGGATACTCTAAATTTCTATTGACATTTCAATAATCAATAAAAATTATATAGATATTATATATATGTAATTAGGGATTATTCTGATCAACCAATGGATTTAGGGATACAGTATACCTTTTTTACATACCTTTTTTACATGCATGTATTAAATAATATTATATAATATATGTCTGTATATATATAATATGTATGTGTATATATATAAATAGAGAGAGAGAGAGAGAAAGAGAGAGAGAGATTCCTTAGGTTACCGCGCTGACCCAGCCCAGGCATGGTCTCCTTTGGTGGGCAACAAGGCATGCGCCTTCGACATGAAATGACGTTGCAGGAGCTGAACCAGGCGTTGCAAGGTCTAACCTTCGTCTTCAAAGATTCCCATTGGTTCGGTCCCTCGTTTGATGATTTGGGGGTCGGAATCACGAACAGTTTGTTGAACAAACTGCAGGTTTTCACGCATCCGTTGATGGGTACCACCTTGACCTTGTACTTCTCTTCTTTGCATCACGGCTGTAGGTGAAGTTCACCACTGTTTTAGTAAAATAAAAGGAATGTTTCGTGACATTCCCTTAGAAAGATTGAAGTGACGAAGCCTGGACGCCTGCGTCAAGTTGGCCTGTTTTGATTTGAGTTACTACGGCCGAATAGTTGTAGCGGGAGGTTTTGCGCATTTAGATGCATTTTGCTCTGATGCCACCTGTGGCCTAGCCACCAACACATTGAAAAGAAGGTGAAGGGATGTGACCCAATCGTTCCGCAGGTTGACCAGAAACACCTGGAAATGAGTTGCCCATTATTTGCCCGATCCTACTGAAAACATGATGGCAAGTCAAAAGGTGATTTCATTTTGCGAAACATTTTGCCCAAATGTTCTTGTCATTTTGCCCATTTGGGGATGGGTCAAGAGTCAAAACCATTCAAAAATTACCATAGAAATTACAACATGATTTCGGGAATGACTATCCAAAAATTCCAGCTATGACTTAGGGTACCATCCAGGCAACAGGCTTGATCCCCATAGCCGAGGCGTCACCGGGGTGTCGTTGTTCGTCAGCGATTTGGGCAACCACGGCTGGCGTGTGGATCGCAAGGCGACTCCCGACAGCATGGTGGGCCTGAAAGCTCAGGACCATGGATCAGAGGTGGCTGAAGAATGGGTTATATCAATGGATGCCATGATAATCATGGTGATATCATGGGACATTTAATCGACTATCATGGAATATAAATATAATATATATATGTGATCCATATATATATATATGAACATATTATAATATACGGGTATTTTTAGTTATTTTTATAACTAGAACCTCGAAAGCGTGCAAACATATTGCTCTTTCAGAATTATGTGATATTTTTTTTGAACCGGCGCTTTTTCTGGCTGCGAGCACTTTTCCATTTCAAGATGGTTGAACTGATTTTTTCAGAAATTGACAGTTTACATGAGTCTTTTTGCTCCAACGGACCTTCTGAGCTCCAGAGAGTGCTACCTGATTTCGTTTGCGCCCTTTTGTGAGCCTGGTATTGTCAATAGCTAGTTTTTGATTGGTTGGGTGTTCGGAATGATTGTGCACGAACGTTCCAGCATTACTAACGAAACAAATAACTCATGAATGTAATATTGAAAAACATGAAAAAGATTGAACAAGCGCTTTTGCCCGGCGAAAAAAAGTTTTTTTTCCCAGCGAAAATGCGTTTTTTTCTCGTTGAAACGCCTTTATTTTTGAAGGGCATAAACCATTGCCCTGGGAGAACCAAAGTAACCTATGTACCGACAATGGGTCCTTGGACAAGCCTCATTCGAATAGTTTGGCTTTAAGTAACGGGAGAATGATCTTGAACTCTGAGAGTGCAACAAAGTTTTGTCAAATAAATTGCGTGGCAGTCAGCATATTCTACATCCTGTTCCTATGAGGGTGAAGGGCCAGGATCAAGAGCAGAATTCCACGAAACGACCTTTTTTTTTTTCTGAAACGACTTAAATTTCCTGAAGCAACCAAAATTATTGCATTTTCACGAACCGCCCAAAAAAAGCAGACCATGAGGATGTAGGTATGTTACTAGCATATAGCTTTGATGATGTCCATGACATCCGAAAACCATATTACCCTTGGTTAATGAGCTCTATGGCTTGCTGGACAATGCAAATTTAGTTCAAGGATGTTCCGATTGCTCCATTTTGTTCGGGGATTTCCCATGCATGTTTGACTACCGAAATGTATTGGGTTTTGATGGGTTTCAATTGATTATTTTAGTGTGTTTTGTTGATGGGTTTCGGTTTTGGTTCCAGAACAATGGGGGAACATCACCAAAAATCACCAGCATTTGCATCTCCTTCCTCCACAGATGCCGACAGCGAATCTCAAACATCATCAACAAAAACATGCGTACACGAAGAGTATCAGCGGGAAACATATGAACAAATCACCAACAAAAAGGATCTGTTTGCAGACCCCAACCACTCAGGAACTAACCCTACATATCGGACTTCTCGCCAGGTTTTTGTTTTCCTACCAAGTATACGTAGCAATCCCAAACCAGGATTTCCTTTTTGTTAAAGAATCCTTCTAACTACTTCATAGATTTACATTCAACCACCAGCAAATCCTATATGCTCCATGTATGGAATATTTACCAATATTTACCCCATAAATGAGCCAAATGTAGGTAAATATACTATACATGGAGCATCTGGGAATATACTGTTTTAGTGATAAAAATTGGGCGATGTCGAATCGCAGGATCACAGCGAGTTGACTGCGAGCACTTTCCTGGCCGTGCATCGTAGCTTCATCAATCAGCCGCCGCAGATCACGGTGCTGGAGCCAAAAAGTGGGTTGTTGGAGACCTGGCGCAGCTGGTGTTCCAGGTCGGAACCGCGGTTTGTGCAAATAGGCCTTTTAAAAGGGTAACGAGTTTTTTTCAATGCTCAATATGAGTTGGGGTTAAACAGTTAATTATGATCATAACCCATAGGATCCATGGTGCTGGTATATATGCTAACATTGGGGGTATATTGATGGGATCCATGTTACCATATATAGCAGCACCATGGATCCTATGGGTAATATTAGTTGTTTTTTTTTACAGTTATGATTGATTTTAATGATAACTATGAGGCAAGTTTTTTCAGTGAGGGGAAGGACTCCAGGACCTTGGGAAGATCGCTGGTGCTGTCATTACCATATGACGTGCGAAAAAAATGTCAACATGTGGAGTTAACCGCAATAAGTACCTGGATAATCCACCGCAAAATTATCACTCGAAATTCGAAACAGCAATAATATGCAATAATTATCGCCAGTTGCCTAAATCAGTTTCCACATTTTGGGCTCTTGATTTGTTTCGCCGTTTCGTGGGTTTTTTTCGCCGTTTCGTTGGGATTTTTCGCCGTTTCAAAACCGGGAAACACATGCAAAATGACAAAAATGCAAAACTGTTCGGAGGCAGAACAATGCCGCCCGCAATAATTCCTGAAAAGGTAATAATTTTGCACACATTGGAAGACGCAGGTATGCTTATCATGGGTAGGATGGGGCCGAATTTTGAATTCAAAGGGGTTTTAACTTGATTCAATGTTCAGCCTCTATACTCACCCTATGGATCCAAACACCTCCTGAGAAGGTACTTAACCCCCCAAATCATGTCCCAAACACTTCCTAAGAAGGTACTTGGATCCATAGGGTCATTATACTCAAGGAGATCGCTGTAAAATGATGGGTATGTGATACACATATCTGTGGATGATGGGTCATGAAATTATGGGTAAAAAAAAAGTCGGTGTTGACAACAGGACACGTAGATTTGGCTACGAAAGATGAGGCGCAAAAGCAATAAGCATATGGCTGGCTCGGTGGTGTCAAATTTCAAACCCGTGAATTGTCCAACAATATGTATCCTTTACATGCGTATATATAATATGTGTGTGTATATAATATTTATTCTGTACTGTATAGATAGAACTAACATCAAACATGGTGATCTACCCCTAACTAAGCTGGCGTGGCTATTGAGATTCCAAACACGGCATTGAAGGCATTTGTGTTTCCTTTTAATTCAAATGAGATGATGATGTAATATGACTCGTACACCAGTTGGCCAAGGGTTGGTAGGTGGGGGGGGGTACTTTCTGGAATTCAACACGGCACTGGAAACATAGTACAGTAAATAATTAGTTTTTTTTTAAAAATAAACGGTTGATTCTCCAGCCCCATGAATTTCCATGTTGGAATGGGATGATGGGACTGGCCCAGTGCTGTGACTGGCCCCACTGCGGTTGAAACAGCCTACCCAGGTCATGGTACCATTTGATATTCTACTGATAGGATAGCTACACTTTCTGGCAAGTGCCAAAAATCAGTTGGATGTTTTCCCAAATTGCTTTGATGCTAAAAAAATCACATGTTACTAAGTTTTTCATAAACACGACATAGCAGGACCCATCCACATATGTGGTATATCCATGTATATTTGGTGCTGAACTGCTGGCTTACATAAAATTACATAAACATATTTTCATAAACTCCACTTAGAAGGTGGTACCCCAAAATCCAGTGGAGATCATCATTTACCCTTAAAGTATTACGCAGAAAAGATTGAGATTGCAGAACAAGTATTAGGCTATTCCCCTATTCTCAAATTATCGCAACATATACAAAAAAACATATTACCCTCCGGTTATTTAACATAGCCATGGTATAGATGGCCCATTTATAGTTGATTTACCTAGTAAAAATGGTGATTTTCCATGGCGAACTGTTTGTCATAACCAGAGGGTAAGTGTTGCCATGATTAAAGTATGGATATCCCCTGATATCCACTTTTTTCAAGACACATCCAACTCGTGGCTGGCAATCATTAGGAAGTCTTCGAAGACCATGTGCAGTTCGTTTCCTTCAGCGTGACCGGACGCCGAAAAAATGCGGAGATTTCACCAAGGAAAACAGAGGATTTTACCTGGTAAACATAGAGAAAACTATGGAAAGATCCACAATTTTTCATGGGAAAACTCACTATAGATGGCCATAAATTGCCATTTTTCAATAGCTATGTTACATTAGCATAAATTACCAGAGGGTAGCATTATTTAGCCAAGCAATGGGGATCTCTTGGCGGAGAAACATTGATTTGCGGAATTGCGGAGATAATGAGGTTAGCCAAATATGTGGATTTCACGTTAACCAGGCAAAAGATCATGGAAATAATGAAGTGGGCATTTCACCGGAAAGAATCAGAATGTTTGGCAAGCAAGTAAATTGGTTTTGAGGCACCAATTTGGGAAGCCAATGTGGAATTGTGAGAAACTGGCAATCTAGGGAGATTCCAGCCTCATACCTTTCCTACCTATTGACAATTTCCTTGGTCTCCTATTCTTGTTTCGTTCGTTGAACATTTCAGAGTGGAATCTGAAAATTGGTAGCTCATGTGCACGTATAATCACATAAATCGTCTCGGTTTCACGGAAGCAGGCAAATTTTAACCTAAGCAACAAAATCAGAGTTCACTGGAAAGTTTCTATATTGGGATTCAATCTATTCAATGGTTTGGCCAATCACAGACAATGAGATACACATTGGGATTTGATTAATTCCGGGGACTTTAGCCCCATGAGGTGGGCAACTAGTGTCACAGACGTTCGATGAAGTGGTGATGGCTATATATATATATATATAGTTCTAGAAATTATAGCTAGGTACCACATGGTACCACTATACAAGATTATACAAGTACAATTGTCATTGTCATTCTAACTTATACGTACACATATAATCATTTTCTTTTGTCATTCCCCATTAGTTGGTTATAGCTGGTGGGTTATAGCTATCTCTTCAGCCATATCTTTGGCGATTTCCGGCCTAGGTGAAGCACAAGGCCACGGAGCAACAGGTGGACGAGATGCTGACTGTCTTCCTCAGCGCCCAGCACGGGAGGATCCAGTCCATCTCGCTTCAGACACTGGGAGAGAGCGGGAAAACTAAGGAGGGGAAGCCGGAAAAAAATGCCGTGAACCAGACACTTAGTCATATAATTAGTATACTTATAGATAATCTAGTTAATGATATACTTTAATGATTAATAATACAAATCAATGAAATTGAAGGGTTGATAAGGGGGCCAAAAATGCTGCACCACTCAAAGATATGGGGATATCACTGAGATAACTATCAAATATTGGGATTTAAACCAGCAAACAAAAGAAAACAATGAATTAAGCTAAGACAATGAGAGTGTGGAGATGTTTTTCAGTCGTTGAAAACTGGTACTTTGGGCAACTGCACGCTGCATCTTCCGCGACAAATCAACGCTTTGCAGCAGGGTATCCAAATGAGCCATGATACTTGGAGAGGCCGATCCAAGATTCCTGCAACATCACCTCCATGTGAACGTTAATGACTAAAGATATAGGTTACATCCTGCAGGTAATCAAACGCGTTTAATTGCCGGAGGGTATTGTTTTTTCCCTTTCTGTAAAAAAACATGATTTTGGGATGCACCAGCTACCCAATTCATCAGCCAGGGTTCAAGCGGGGCAACGGTATTCATATAAGAATTCACTTATCAAGTTTCCAGGCTGTTCTGATCGCAGATGTCATTGCGCGATTGTTTTGTTGCCAGGTGGTAACCTGCAGTGGACCAATAAAAACGAGGAAAGTGGTACCATGCCGACCCTTCTATTTTGCGCAATTTAGATCAATTCGAAACATCATGCGGTTCATGATGTTCATGGTAAGCGCAATTTAGTATCAAATCTGACCGCTTTGTGAATGAAATTGAGTAATTATATTGAGTTCAAGGAATTTCTTTGCATGCTTTTGTTTTAACCATCCAAAGTTCCCACAGGAACCCTTTCACACCATTTTGGTCATCCGGGTGCCCAGCTTGGCCAAGCTGGCTATAGGAATGAGACGACGAATCGGGGCAGCCAGTCTCATGACGGCAAACGATTGGAATACCGAGCGTATCTTTATGAGTTGAACGTCTTTCTGGCACAGGCTGTGATTGGCCCAGTTGTGAGGGGGCTGGATTTGCACATCCTAGATCTCGTCAAAATCATATAAAATGCCCATGATTTAAGTTATGAGCAGTAAAAAGTGTACCGTAAGCAACCATTAGCAGAATATTAATTATGATTTTCTTACATGTACATCATATATCCTTCCTACATATTGATTATATTATAATTATATAGGTTATATATGAATGCATTCATACCTGTGTATCTCACAAAAGTCCTTTTCGACACTCCTCTTTTCAGAACAGAAGAACAGGTTTGATCTTGGATGGGCCGTTTCACACTTGATTGCAGTAACTGTGTCTTTGCCCAACTCCAAATTTGAATCTTTTACGGGGTATCGAAAATTATATCCCATATGCTCCATGTATGGAATATTGACCAACATTTACCATCATTTACCCCATAAATGAGCCAAATGTAGGTAAATATACTATACATGGAGCATTTGGGTATATTCAACCACTAACAATGATAGAACCATGTAACCCCATCGGGTTCGCAAAAACGGCGCTTTTTTTTATACGCGAAAAGAGGTTTGTCGCCTGCGACAGGTGCAATTTATGCCAGATCCCAACTACCACGGTCCAGATGAGATCATGGTCCTGGTCACCGATGGAGAATACGTTTCTGGGTGAAGACTTGGGGAGATTGGGGTCCGTAAAAACCCTGGCTTTGCTGGATCTGGATGGGTAATTTTTGGATGTTCCTACCCAGATGCTCCATGTATAGTATATTTACCTACATAACTGGGCCATTTGTTGGGTAAATGTAGGTAAATATTCCATACATTGAGCATATGGGCTAATGGGGACATCCAGGATTTGGATCTATTTTACGGGCGATCCAGACGTTTTCTCTTGGAGATCCTGACCATTTTCACCTGGATGAGTTTGGTGTCCCATGGCCTTGCTGGGTCACCGGGCTCATTTGAGGCAGTGAACACCAGCGTGCCCATCCAAATTGCGAGCCTCACGGATCCGGCCACTTGCTGTTGGATGTTGGGCCGGTGTTTAGTCTATGCAATTCTTCCCTGTTTCACACACACTGACTCTTTTTTTCTCATCTATATATTCCAAAATAGTTGTTGAAAAGCTGGAAACCTGGAACAATATGGACATAGAAAGATATATAAAGTGGATATCTTCGATGTACCATCCTGTTTTCACACAACTTTCGGCATTTTTGCAAAAATTACTCTTTTCGGTCGTTGGTTCAGACACATTTGTTGTTTTCAATTCTCTTTGGGATGATAGGTTGAAACCAACAACGTATAGTAGCTGATTATTGTTTCCCAGTTTCCCAATTTGTCATCCCCCAAATTTGTTTAACACCCAAACATATTTCCATAATGAGTCGGACCCTCAAGCCATCGGTTTCTGGGATGTACAAGGCCTGGCTTTCCGGCGTGTATTGTATAGGGGCGAGGGTAGGGATTACAAAGGGAGAAAGGGAATGACCAGCTAAAAAGGAATGGAACATGTTGCAGGATGTCCTATTTTGGCAAGTCTGGACTGGTTTAACCCTGACCTCAACATCTGGCCCCAAAAAAGATTGACAATGCCATGTGTGAATATCAACCCTGATGTTGATCAACTGTGGGTGATTAAGGGTTGACATATTAATTGTTGGTGAGAAACATGTTTCTCCGAACTTGCAAGCTTTCTTCAAAATCTCAACACACCTCAACCGAGTGCAAACATCCCCAAAAAGTCTTGACCAAAGGAATTTCTTCATGATCCATATTCCAAATCGGAATGGATGATGCAGCAGAACAGTCAGTGGATAACACTGTAAACATCAAACATCGCAAACATGTCCCATCTCGGATAGTTTTTACATTAGTTTTACTTTGAAAGGACAGTTTGCATGGATGTTGTCCACATTTTTCCATTCATATTCCATGACTATCCCCCAAACAATATCTCCAACAGATCCACCAGCATACAGGATGGTGGCCCCCCAGTTATAAGTTGCTTTATAAACCTCATTAACATTCATCAACTAGTTCGCATCTACCATTTATATCCATTTAGAGTTAATTCAACCACGGCAACTGAACTATCCAAATCTATCCAACGGCCCCATCCTGTTGTGTTCACTCCGAATTCGCAGGTGCTGATTCAGTGCCCCCCAGCGGTTGACCTCTTCGAGGGCCAATCTTTCGTGGCCATCGGTGCCAACATCTCCATCCGTGACTTCGAACCGCTGCCGGGCGCCGTGGATGACGAGAGCCAGGCGGAAAAGGGATGCTTTTTTTTGGGGGTTAGCTGGGGACATATGGGAACAACATATTGGATTTATATGTTATGACATGTTATGAAATTTCTGGATCCAGTTTTTTTTTGTAGTGTTTTTCATGTTTGGGTGGTCAGACTATGGAGAAGTTGTTTGTAGGAAGCATATAAGAAGCATCAGTGTGAACAAATTGTAATCTATCTAAGGCCCCAGTTATTATACCAAGTCGTCTAGATATCCCATCGATGGATGGTATTGAATTTGCTTTTGTTCTGTCATTTTTTGGTGCTATGTTGTCCAACCACTTTTCCGCAGGGGCTGCCCCCATTACTGTACAAGTTGGCTTAGAACCCCCATTAACTCTTGATAGATCTACCAAGAAATAGTTGACCTAGTGAAGTGCTTAAACCTTAAGTTATAATTAGTTATATCTAAACATATCTCAACCATTCTAAAGCTTAGTTAATCCTATAGTTAGTTGTTAACGATATGTGAAAAACCAACGATTCCAAATTGTTTCCACAGCAAAAAAATGACGTCGTGACAGCCATCGATCCAGGTTGAGGTGGAAATTTTTGTGGGCGACGGGGGCTTACACCTTCCAGATCTAGGCAGGGCATGGCCAGGCCATGTTCAGTAGCAACCTTTTTGCAACACGACTTGTTTGACAGTTTCAATATTCTTATTGCTGGATAGGGGCATATTAAGCGATGTTTGTTCTGGCTAACATGTGAACAATTAATCCCATAGGATCCATGTATGCTATATATGGTAACATTTACCATCAATATACATGGATCCTATGGGTCATGCTTTGTTAGAACCTTGAAAGCTGATGTGAAAGCAAAAAGAGCGGGGCATGCGGGGCACCCTTCAGGGAGATGTGACATGTGTGGCCGTTGGGCAGCTATAAGTGTCTAAACACGTCGGTACATGTATATATATATATATACATATACCCTCTGGTTATTTAACATAGCCATGGTATATATGGCCAATTTATAGATGGTTTACCTATAAAAAAAAATGGTGATTTTCCATGGCTATGTTAAATAACCAGATGGTAATCTATTTCATTCTATATCACATCTACACTGTATACTTAGTCTACTTATGTCATGCAACAACACAATAGCCAGGGCCAACTACTGTTCAACTCCTAGAATGACTCCACATGCACAACACATGTCAACCGCGGAATGATTTGGCCCCGGTCTACAATTAGGGTCCCCTTAGTGCCACACACTTGAGCCCCAACACGGCACGGTGCAGTGCGAACCTGTTTTTGTTCATGCTCATGTGAGCATACTAATATTATATATCACATATTATAACCGAGGGCCACAAATTCAATTTGTTCAATCAATCTTTTGACTTCCCTTTTATTCACTATTGATATCGATCTATTAATAACAGAATATTAATAACCACTAGTGTTATTATAATGTCACTATTATTATAACATATTATAACCACTATTAATACCATTAGTGGTCTCCTTTCAATCCTAGCACCTGACAGATGATTTGGTCAACGACAGCGGTGTCGTCCTGTCCTCGCTCAATCGCAGCATCGGAGTCGCCACGTACCACTTCAATACCACGCTGCAAGGTCACGGTGAACGGGGAAATACCGGGAGAAGTTGGGATATGTTGGGGATGAATGTGACGATGGTACGTACTATATATAGAAACATATCATATATAATTTTATGTGTTCGGTGGCTCATCCCAGATGGTACGTGGATTATAACCCCGGTTATAAATGGGATAAGTAGGATTAATCCACCTAACCAGGGTGAACTAACCCACTTGCTAAGTGCGATGAGAATCCTATAGTTGAAACGTGTTGAAACATTTTGCTCGCGAGGCCAGGAAATTGATGAAGTCCTGTTTGGAGGAATTTTCAAAAAACCATTCAATGATTTAGTGACTAAAGTGTCATCCTGGTTAAGGTTAGTCCGAGAAGTGGAAAGGGGTTGACTTTGTCAAGAAAAACTGGGGAAGTTTCAATGATTCTGTCAATTTTTGATCCCTACCCAGAGTTTCAGTATCCCCTGCTTCGAGACTGCGAGTTCTTATATAATCCAAATTTTTGCTTGATATGATAAAAACCAACACGATCCTCATTGGAGTTTTACAAACCGTGGCCAAAAAAAAAACTTCCCCTTGGTAGTACCCTCTGGTAAACATACAAAAAACTATAGACAATCACCATTTTTCATGGGTAAATCCACTATTTCGACTGGGCCATTTTTGCTATTTTGACATCACCAGAGGGTACCTGGACTTCGGAAATCTTCGAGTGCCAGGCTTCAGAAGCGCTCTGAAGGCCTTGCAATTTACGCCCTCTCCGGCGCTGTACCACGGCGTGGTGCACTTGGAGATCCGCGTTAAGATGGCGGAGACGCCGGAATGGACCTGGTGCGAAATCGGCCGCTTGGCGGGCCATGGTGGTTGTGTTTTGGTGAGCAGAAAAAAACAGACATGGCTTGGAGAATATATCCAAATGAATCCAAATGACATATCATGAAATATCTAAAATTGAAACTTTTTGACAAACCAAATCGGGTTCTAAACGCGAAACATAGTAATTATATATTTGAGTTTGAAGTAAAATCTGTGTCATTTGGATTCATGTGGTGGGTTCGTTCCAAAAAAGGATTCCTTCATTAGAATGTCTGTTTGGTGAGCGGTACCAAACCGACCCCTCTATGTTTCCAAAAAAGGACATCATTGGTGGTGGCTAAGCACACGTATTTGAGATTATCTCTCCAGTAGGACCAGACCCTTGGAAGGAAACTTCGGTATACCTTGCGATGTGCGTCCCAGCTGCCAAGTGGGAAATAATAGTAATTCAACATTCAACCATATTTTGTTACAACTATGGGATTTACCCTGGCCCAACATCTCAGAATTGAATATTGTTGGAAGGGGCATTTTATACAAAACCCCTCTATTTGGAGATTCCGTAGATTTTCCCTTTAAGGCAATCCGTTGTATCATAACTTTGCTCTCAGATTCTAAATCCCTGTCATGTCAAGTCCCTGCCGGTTTCCTAAAATGGGGGTACCCCCAAATCATCCATTCAAAAACATCGATTTGTTTATCGGATGTTCCATGATAAACTATCCATTTTATGGGGGTTTTGGGGTACCCCCATGGAAACTTCCATTTATGGAAGCGGATCTCCCTGAACTCATCCAACATCATCCAACCACTTGGAGATCCGCTTTTTGTCAGGTCTTGTGGTTCACCCTGTGAACAGCCCTCCGGTGATCCACGTGGATGAATCGCGCTTGCTGGCAGCCACCAACGGCGGCCTGGTGAAACCTCATAAGAACATCCATCTGCACGGCGTCCTAAGGCCAGGGGTGCGCAAGGTTGGATGAGATCAAAGTGGGCGATTTAACGGCTTTGACATCGCTAAGTTGGTGAATTTTTTGTGAAGTCCCGGAGACTCCAATTTGACGACTATGGTTTATGGTACTTTGAACTATAGTTACTGGGGTTTAAAAACACACTTATAATTATGGATTTTTTTACTATTGTTTTGACTAATTATAAGTTGGAAAATTCACTCATGAAACTTGTTTTAGAGTTTGTGTGCATTTCAATTCATTGCCCTGACAATATAAAAATACATCAGAAGCTTGGTTTAAGCATTTGATCTATTCAATTTGGAGTCCCTGTTTTTTTCGGGTGATTCAATGTACAATACCCCCAAGCACCACATAGATCCACATAGTACTTATTTTGAATTCTTTATAATCCATGTATTGTGGGTGGATCTATATGGTATCACCCAAAAAGATCAAACCGGTTCAACTTACCTCCAATTTTTTGAATCGGATTTTCCAAACGTCTCATTTTTGGGGTTTAGAAAGGATAGGTTGGGAGTTTCCTACACGGATACACGTTGTATATTTCCATACGCGCACCATGTATGAAACTCCGCTCCAGCATGCTCCAGCTGCGCAGGCTCTCAGACCCAGACGAGGAAGACTTCTCTGGGGGTCGCTGGCCAGGTGTAATGGATTTGGATACAATGTGGGGCCCCCGTTCGATAGCCACATTGGTTTATGACTACAATTTTTCTAGGTTTATGGTGGATATAAACTATAACAACTACTTATGGTTTATGGTGGAGATAACTATAACCACTACCTATGGTTTATGGTGGATAACTATAATTTCACTTGGTTTATAGTTGGTTTATAACTATAACTATACTAGGATGGGGTTATAAACCAACTTACAACCATGGGGCCCACCATATATGGGTCAAAATTAAAGACCTCGATCGGGGGACCATAGGTTTGAGTCTATTTGTAGACTTGTCCATGCAAGTATTGGGATACCCAATTTTGACCCAGACCCATTTAAATGTTGTTCTGATTTGTACACACACATAAATAAATAAATATGAATATATATATATATATAATAATATATATATATATATATTGATGCATGCATTTACTATAATGAATATTTCTGTTGTATGTGTGTGCTGTATATATGCTCAGTACTTCCACGAAACCATTGCAAAGTAGCTTGCGTGTGCTTGCATTAAACACCAAGCAGGTATTGCTTTAGGATGCTGTTGTGGTTATCAATGGGTAAAACCATGGTAAATACCCACATAGGTTGGTGGCTTTGGTTGGTGGCTTGACCCTGTGAAAAGTTGGATTTTTAGCCCCGCCCCCAACAGACAGAACTACAATGAAGTGGGGTTTTACACCCTTGTGTGCTAGCAAACTGGGGCTTCATCTTTTGTATAGATGTATCATTATATTGATTTAGTATGATTGAAATTAAGCCAGGCTTCGATTCATGTGACGCATTATTGTTCCTAGTGTTGCTGTGCTTACTTTGATTGCTACTATTACTTTTATTATGTTTGGTTAACTATGACTATGTTTGTTACTAGCAGTGTTATTGTCAATATCGTGTTTATTAATGTTTATTATACGTGTATTATCAAAACTACCCATTATCACTCTCATAAGCAATCATCATTATCATCACTATCATCATTACTAATGACAATTAAGAATAATGATCAGCAATTACAATCATAAAACACGTATTAAATGATCAGATTCTCCGCCTTTAAAACGCCCGTCGCGACGGTCGCGCAACCGTAGGTTGGTTTGTGGAGCGTGTGCATTCCGCGCGCCTCAAACTCCACGCCTCCTGCGGCACCATGTCCTTCCTCATCGCAGCGGCGCCGCAGGCCTATGGGCCATTGGGGATCTGCCATTTCAAGAAGCCAAAAAAAATTGGGACTCTAATATATCATGATATATACCCATAGGATCCATGGTGCTGGTATATTAATGCTAACATAAAGGGGGTATATTGATGGGATCCATGTTACCATATATAGCAGCACCATGGATCCTATGGGTATATATATATAATACACTGTTGAAATCTGTTGCATATGTCGGATATGCCGCAAAGTCACAACTCCCACAGGAAACCCTAATATTGAAATAGTTTCCTGCAAATTGTCCCTTGATCAATCCGATCCATTGATCATATTTTCTGCGTGAGTCCCAATTCTTGCCGGTTAAAGGCGGTTAAAGGTGTCAAACCGCATCAAACCGCTCCATTTTTCATGGTATAATTGTATAGTCCATCTATGTCCATCTGTCTATCTGCGTCATCGTCGTTGCTCCTCGTTGCCGCGTCATCGCCTTCCAGGACTACGTCTTGGGCGTCCAGAATGGTTCCATCGCAGGCACTGAAGGGATCACGTTCCACGCAGGCGACGGATCGCATGACACGGACATGGACATCACCTCCACCCTGGCGAATCTGAATCTGCAGCTGGGGCGCCTGCCACTGGGACCGAAAAGAGAACCCGTGGGCATCCGTGGGGCCAAGGTTGTTGACGCTGAAGGAGAAGTAGATGATGATTATGACATATAGATATGTGTAGTTATGTGTAGATAGGATGTGAGTATTATGGCATTATGGGAAGTGTGTATATATATATACACATGTCTCATAACCATTTAAATATGTAAGATTGTT